TGACCACATTGAAAGTGGTGGGGAAACATCCGATTGGAAGGTGTGATCATTGTCAGGAGGAGATGGAGACAGTGGAACATTTTCTATTTCAGTGGCAGAAATATATGAGAGAAATGGCACGATTGCTATTAGATTTGAGGAGTAATGGGGTTAAAGAGCCAGGATTAAGTGAACTGCTGGGGAAATCTTCAGGGGATGTAGTATTTAATTATGTATTTCGTTTCCTTAGGGAGATTATTGGGTATGATTTAGACCTTCACTGTCTCTGGTCCACATTCCAGTCCAGTTGGTGGCGGTAATGCACCTTAAAGTTGGTTGCCAACTGCCATATAAAATCAACAGAAGAAGAAGCACTTGAAAGACCAGTCCCGTTCAGTCAGGTCCGCCTAGAAAAGTTGTGTGCACCAGAGGATTTACAATTGGGATGCGCTGTTGAGCACTACATCCCGAGGGGTTCGTGCTGATTGTACGGAGATTGTGAGAGCCGATTAAATGGCGTCCCTTGACAAGGCAAGAACAAGATGTATGTCAGGAGAAGTGCAGTATTATCAAAAGGAGACGTATACTTGGAATACGGAGGAGGGAAAAAGAGAGGCAGAGGAGGTCTAAGCGAGAGAGGGAGGAAGAGGGTGAGCTTGAGTCGGTTATAAATGGTGGAAAAAAGGGAGATGGTTTGTTAAAAGAAGAATGGTAGAAAGTGTAAGCAGAGTGAGTTGAAGACAGGAGGAGAAATGGAAGTGAATGATGGCGAAGTATCGGAGGTGGTAGGTGTGGTGAAGTCCTCGGAGCCCGAGGCTTGCACCGAGGGTCAGGATAAAGATGAGTCTGTGACAGTAGGAGTGACGTTTTTGGAAAAAGTGGATCCTTGCCTTTTGGCTGATCCATTTGTGGTTTCAGGGTGGGTGAAAACAGAGTTGCGTGCTGTGGAATCGGTGAGGGTAACCAGAAGTGGTCTTGTGATAATTGTTTGTGTTTCTGTTGGTCAGAGGGAGCAGGCGGTCTGTGTTAAATGAATGGGGGCAAGAGATGTGAATTGTTTTGCTCTCAAGAAAAGGGTGCCATTGAAAGGAGTGATTACTGGGGTAGCGGTAAATGTGAAAGCTGAGCAACTGAAGGGGAAGATTCCTGGTGTTTGTGATGCTCGTCGTTTGGTGCGACGCAGACAGGGTGGCGTGAGTGGAGAAACAGAAGAGTCATTGTCTGTTCTTTTGAGTTTTGATGTTGAGTCTATGCCCGACAAAGTGATGTTAGGATATATAAGTTATCCCTCACGAGCTTTTGTGCCGAATACATTACGTTGTTACAGGTGTCAAGCTTATGGACATGTGGCAGCAGTGTGTAGGAGGGAGGTTCCTAGGTGTGAGAAGTGCATGAGACAAAGGAATGTGTAGCATTGGGGAAGGTAGTGGTATATGTTAATTGTATGGGTGCCCATGGGGCTGGGGATCAGAAATGTCCCATGCGAGAGGCAGGTTGAGGTTTCCAGGGTTAGAGTAGTGCAGAAGTTGTCATATGCTGAGGCAGTGAAGAAAGTAGAGGAAAATGGGTCAAGGGGGAGGGATCCTGAGAGGAGTGGTGTGAGTAGTAGATCTGTAGCAGTACAGAGGGATAAATCAACAAGTGATACAGTGAGGGAAAAAAGTATTTGATCCCCTGCTGATTTTGTACGTTTGCCCACTGACAAAGAAATGATCAGTCTATAATTTTTATGGTAGGTTTATTTGAACAGTGAGAGACAGAATAACGACAACAAAATCCAGAAAAACGCATGTCAAAAATGTTATAAATTGATTTGCATTTTAATGAAGGAAATAAGTATTTGACCCCTCTGCAAAACATGACTTAGTACTTGGTGGCAAAACCCTTGTTAGCAATCACAGAGGTCAGACGTTTCTTGTAGTTGGCCACCAGGTTTACACACATCTCAGGAGGGATTTTGTCCCACTCCTTTGCAGATCTTCTCCAAGTCATTAAGGTTTCGAGGCTGACGTTTGGCAACTCAAACCTTCAGCTCCCTCCACAGATTTTCTATGGGATTAAGGTCTGGAGACTGGCTAAGCCACTCCAGGACCTTAATGTGCTTCTTATTGAGCCACTCCTTTGTTGCCTTGGCCGTGTGTTTTGGGTCATTGTCATGCTGGAATACCCATTCACGACCCATTTTCAATGCCCTGGCTGAGGGAAGGAGGTTCTCACCCAAGATTTGACGGTACATGGCCCCGTCCATCATCCCTTTGATGCGGTGAAGTTGTCCTCTCACCCTTAAAGAAAAACACCCCCCAAAGCATAATGTTTCCACCTCCCATGTTTGACGGGTGGGGGATGGTGTTCTTGGGGGTCATAGGCAGCATTCCTCCTCCTCCAAACACGGCGAGTTGAGTTGATGCCAAGAGCTCCCATTTTGGTCTCATCTGACCACAACCACTTTCACCCAGTTCCTCTGGAATCATTCAGATGGTCATTGGCAAAACTTCAGACTGGCATGAATGTGCTTTCTTGAGCAGGGGGACTTGTGGGCCGCTGAAGGATTTCATCCGTCACGGCGTAGTGTGTTACCAATTTTTTCTTGGTGACATAATTTACTTTAGTCATTTAGGACCTCTACCAGAGCGCTACAGTAGTGCATTTTGATAAACAAGCCCTCGTTGCAAACACCATGCTCTACACTGAGCTACTCCCTGGGCCAAATCCTCACTACCTGGACGACGGCCAATTGGTTCTCCATGTGTCTCCCGCACCGGCCTGCTACAACGAGCTGTGAGGATCTCTAGTGGTATAGCAGCGTGCAGCCTAACCATGCGCCGGGGGAGCTGATAATATTGACAGTTCCCTGTGTTCTGGGCTGTTCTCACCTTTTCAGATCATTGCACTCACGAGGATGAAATCTGTATGGACCCCAGGCCAGGAGATTGTGTTTCTTCCATTGCTATCAAACTGTGTACTCCACCAGCTGCTTGGCGATGGTCTTGTAGCCCATTCCAGCCTTGTGTAAGTCTACAATCTTGTCCCTGACATCCTTGGAGAGCTCTTTGGTCTTGGCCATGGTGGAGAGTTTGGAATCTGATTGATTGATTGCTTCTGTGGACAGGTGTCTTTTATACAGGTAACAAGCTGAGATTAGGAGCACTCCCTTTAAGAGTGTGCTCCTAATCTCAGCTCGTTACCTGTATAAAAGACACCTGGGAGCCAGAAACCTTTCTGATTGAGAGGGGGTCAAATACTTATTTCCCTCATTAAAATGCAAATCAATTTATAACATTTTTGACATGCGTTTTTCTGCATTTTGTTGTTGTTATTCTGTCTCTCACTGTTCAAATAAACCTACCATTAAAATTATAGACTGATCATTTCTTTGTCAGTGGGCAAACGTACAAAATCAGCAGGGGATCAAATACTTTTTTCCCTCACTGTATATGTTTCAGTAAGATTTGAATTTGGGCATTTATAGCAATGGTTATCAACTGTACTGCAGGGATGGAACGTAAGACGCAGAAAATAGAGGTTGTGGTGGCAGCTGCAGAGAGGTATTTGGGTTTGTGAGACTTGACATCAGAAGAGTTACAGGGTGTGTTAAGTGGTGGTGTCCCATCCTTTAAGGCTGTTGGCATGAAGAAGGACTAAATATATTTAAATAGTATGGTATTTTATCATGATTATTTTTGTATGTTTTGTGAGTGTTAGATGGTAGGGTATTAGTATTATTATATATATATATATATATATATATATTATTTTTTTAAGCAAAGTATAAGGGAGTTATGCTCCAGTCTAGTAGGTGGTGGTAATGCAACATTTATTGAATGCCAACCGCCGTTAAACCTCATCGAAGAAGAAGAACTTGGCCTTTTGTACCAGTAACAAGGTTCCCCTTCACCTTGTGAAGGTTATTGTGGTGGGTGCGTTGTGCTTTAGTCCAAATTCTATGTATCAAGATTTGTAAGTATGTTTCAGGCGTGAGTGCCCATACCCTTGAACTATTTATCTATCAAATCCCCCACATTACACAGGGTCTGCAACAACATCAGAACATCATATGCATCTTCAAATATAACGTTTATGCATTCCTCCAAATCCCTAATTAGATATAGCCTTCATAAAATGACAGGGAAAGCCACTCAAAGTTGTTTGAAGGCATGTCGAGACATTGAACTAATTAATTTAACCACTTCTTAGTATTTGCTTTGTACTGTATGTGGTATCTTGTAATTGACACAAGTGTGTTTGTACACCCATGGCTTAATGTAAAAGGCATGTGTACATGGGTTCACTAGCAACCAAATAGGCTAAAAGGAGGGACTAACCTGAACTTGTCCAATAACAAATGCTGATTTTCCTTTACAAAATGTTTTGCTATGGTGTGCACTAATGAATACACCCCAGGTAGTGGTGCGTTGGATGAGTGTGCAGGCCCTGGGATGTTGCCACTGCTCCCCCCTCCTCACTTCCCCAACTGGGCCAGAGAGGCCAGCTGTGGGGAGTGTGTGTGCTCTGTTTATGGAAAAAGTGTTGGGGAGAGCGAAGGGGAGAACAAGACAGTGGTTTATGGAGCAGCACTGTTTCTCACTAAGTGAGGGAGTGTTAGTTTGTCTTTTAAGACTTGGCTGTTAGGCTAAACAAATTAGTTGCTGGATTTGCATTTACATTTTAGTGAGAAGTTAATTGTTTCAGAGCTGTGCTCTGTGGCTGCCAACAAATTCAGTCGAAGTTGACAAATGTCCTTTGTATCAAACCTCATAAATTCACATTTTATACAGCCTGCTCTGTGAAGGTGACTATTTCTCCAGAGAAACGACAAATAACATTGTTTCATAGTAACGATTAAGTGACAAAGTTAACAATCTATACCCTGATAATGTTTTTAGCCCTGTCATATAGTTCAACCTTCTTATTTGTGTTTTGTTAAGTAAGATGAAACTGTGGCCCCTCCTTGCTTCTCTGGTTTTCTGGAAGCAGGCCACCACCCACACCACTCCCCCTCCACCACTCCCCCTTCTCTCTAGTCACAGTCAGACACAAGCAGACTGGTTGAGTGGCAACACACTATGAGAGGGGGGAAAAATCTGTGGAATTGGAATGAGCTGTTTAAGGGAGCCCTAGCTAGTCTCCCTCTCGGAGGAAGTGGGAAACGTGAGAAAAGCAGCGCCTATTCTCTGTGAGTAGTTCTGAAAGGAGCACGAGGGGAAAATACCATATCTAGAAAAACGACTCCCTTCAAACCCCTGGAGCTGTGACTGTCCTGAGGAGAACACTCCTCTAACACATACTCGCCAACGGACTGTGGAGGCGTGAGAAGAGCCGTGGAGAGGAGCAGCTGACGTTAAACAGACAAAGCACAAGGAAGAAGAGAGTAAAAAATAGCGAACGGGAGGAGAAAAGATGGAGGCCTTGCTTCCTGTGTTACAGCGGCACCCTGGACTGTCTGTGTTGGTGTGCGCTCTGATGTTCCGGGTGGCCCACAGACTACTACAGAACCTGCCTGTGCCCAAAGTGGTGGCGGTGGATGACTTCCGCTCCTGGAAGTGGAGGAACCTCTCGGTCTCTATGGTCCACTCCCTCCTGACAGGGACTTGGGCTGTGACCTGGTGAGTCACTCGCTGCACTGGGACACCATTGTTCATTCACAGTGGATCCACATGATGTTGTGTTACGTAGGGGTGTGTGGAGCAGAGCAGTAACAGTCACTGACAGGGGAGAGGAGAGGGATGAGCATGTTCAGACAGGGGAAGGGGTGGGGAGACTAAGGCATTCTCAAGTGGGGAGGGAAATAAATACTTGTTGAACTCTGCAACCCTGTATAGGCAGCAAGATGTGTTCATTTTATGCTTGTAGTTTAGAGTAGCTGATTAGGGCAGTAAATGTTCCCCTTTATAGTTAATAACTATCTATGTGTCAGAGGTTATTGCAAATAGGCAGATATTGAGTCAGCAAAGATGGAGCCTTAATCAGATTGAGGCAGTTTAAAAAGCAGATCTGTTTTGATATAAGAAAAGTTGACTTCTTGAGAATCCACTCAAGTCAATTAGCCTAACTAAAGTAGTGTCATGACATAGACAAAAAAAAAACAACTATCCTATCATAAGAATGGTGAAGTAGCCCGTTTCAAAGAGAGCAAGTAAGTGAACTGGAAAAACCTGCTGGCTAGATGACTGTTGTAAAAGCTGTTATGTGAGGTGGGGACTTCTGAAGGACTACAAATTGAGCCTCCATTTAGGGCCAGATCAGAGCCATAAAATATGTCATTATGTTACACACATTGTTTTTGTAGTACAAGTAGATATACATTATTATTATATATATTTTTTTACATATACAGTACCTACGCTACTTGTATAGCTGACTACAACACATATGTACATAGGCAGGCTATACGATATAGGCTAGTAATAGATGTATCAACAGTTGTTTCATAAGAAAGTGAAAACAGTTATTCAACAAGCTGCTTGGACAAGCTGTTGTTCATGTAGTTCACTGATTGCCATACACGTGTTCACCCTAACCTGCTAGAAAGCACCAGGTCACTCATTAACAAGGGAATGTACTGTCTTACCGTAGACTTTGCTATAGACCTTGTTAAGGCATGTATAATCTTGTAAAGAAGCAGGAGAATCTGTTACCAGATAGTGATACTAAGTCTGTGCTTATTCAAGCTATTCTCTACACTGAAGGGTTTCCCAAACTCGCTCCTGGGGCCTCCCCTGGGTGCACGTTTTGATTTTTGCCCTAGCACTACACAGCTGATTCAAAGCTTGACGATGAGTTGGTCATTTGAATCAGCTGTGTAATGCTAGGGCAAAAAAACTAAACGGGCCCCCAGGACCGTGTTTGGGAAACCCTGCTCCACAGGAGTGAGCCATGTGTGTCTGAATGAGAGGAACTCAGACTTTACTGGCCATAACCATGTATCCCTGTCCTCTCCAGTGTGATCATTTGGCCTGAGATGGCAACCAACATTCACTCCTTCTACACGGCCCCGGCCTACATGCTCATCTGCATCTCATCAGGTCAGTCACTACCCCTTTAAGATGGCTGCTAAAAGAGCTGCGTGTGAAAGAGTTAAATAAAGGTAAACTGGGAATGAATTAACGTTGACCACCACTGGCATGGGAGAGTGGGGTTCATCGTGGGGAATCTGTAAACACTTGAACTTTACTTATAATGGCTTCAGTCTGGCTTGATCAAATAAAAAAAAGTTAAAAGGCATGGAGTGAATTCTGAGCACGTGCTCACACAACACACTGTTGACTAGGCAGGCTGTAATCTTGAAAGAGGGAGGGAGGAGGGCTTGACAGCTACTTTTCCCCCTTGTTCCTGATAATAGCTGGTATATCCTGGGAAAATAGATACTCTCCCACCTTTCAGTGGCAGCCAGATAGAGAGAATGAGCAATGCAGATCCACCCATCTCACCGGGCTTAAATAGGGGATGGGCCACACCTTCGGATTGCTATGGGCACCAAAACTAATCCCCTAAAGACCCAGCAGTCTAGAGAGCTGCTGAAAGATGTGATGACGAGATGTGACTAGCGGTGGGTGTTGTTATTCCGTGTGTCTCGCATGCATGTGTAACTGAGGATGCAGGTCTGAGGAGAGCCAGCCTGACAACTACAAACCTTCAATTCCATTGAGACAGATGGCCATAAATAGAGGTTCACACAACACTCATTTTGAAATCCTGTCTAAAGCGGTTTCCCTGTTTGCCTTTCAAGAGTAACATAAACGTCCATGGTGCTGATAACTAGGATGGACTATGCCAGTACAGTCCAATATATTTCTCTCCACTGATGTACTTAGGACAGGGAAGTCCTGACCAGTTGTTTATGGTACTACTGTTATCAACCCTTTAGATGGCCTCCATCAATTGTTTGGACCTCAATAAGTAATCCATAGAAATATAATATTGGGCTCTGTTCCAATATCCACACTAGCATAGAATTAGGAATTAAGCAATGTATTGGGCATGCATTCAAAGGGGTATGCTGGTATGTACATTGGAACGTGGCCTAAGATTAGATTCTGTATCTAAGAGCTATCTAATATATCTGCACATCGACTCTGTACTGGTACCCCGTGTATATAGCTAAGTTATCGTTACTCATTGTGTATTTACTATGACGTGTTTAACTTTTCTATTGTTTCTCTATTTTCTTTCTCTGCATTGTTGGGAAGGGCCCGTAAGTAAGCATTTCACTGTTAGTCTACACCTGTTTATGTGATGAATAAAATTTGATTTAGAACGCTTCAAAAGGCCTTGAGACTGAGGCATTGACCTTTACTCTCCTTTGACAGGATACTTTGTGCAAGATGCAGGTGACATCCTCCTAACTGGACACGCAAGAGGATCCTGGGAGTTCTTAATTCATCATGTCCTGGTAAGAGAATTGACCTTTTGTTTCAGTTTGTACCTGCTACCTGGTAAGATAATTAATTTATGGCCTCTTAATTATTTTTTGCAGCAGCAGCGACTGCTGGATTGTGTCTGAAGGTTAGATACACCAGTATTTTAATTCACTGGTTTTATTTGATGGCCTTGTGAAACCAGACTGATCGCTGCGCTCACGCTTTGTTTCAATTCCCTTCACTTCACGTGAAACAATGAGAGCTGTGAAGGAATTTTTAATATTGTATGGTGCTAAGAGTTCCAGTAAAATCCGCCTAGGAGGAGCGCGGTATCAGTAGTAGAATTTTAAAGGTGCTACAGCGAGGGCCTATTCTGTAATCTAAATGAATGATCCTGTGTGTCTGTCCCTGACTGCAGGGGAACAACACCCACCATTATGTTCGAGCACACAGCCATGCACTCTCCATAGACAACCATTGGCAGTAGAATGGCCTTAATGAAGAGCTCAGTGACCTTCAACGTGGCACCGTCATAGGATGCCACCTTTCCAACAAGTCAGTTCGTCAAATGTCTGCCCTGCTAGAGCTGCCCCGGTCAACTGTAAGTGCTGTTATTGTGAAGTGGAAACATCTAGGAGCAACAATGGCTCAGCCGCTCACAGAACGGGACCGCCGAGTGCTGAAGCTCGTAGTGCGTAAAAATCGTCTGTCCTAAGATCACAATGCGCAATGCCAAGCGTCAGCTGGAGTGGTGTAATGCTCACCACCATTGGACACTGGAAACGCGTTCTTTGGAGTGATGAATCACGCTTCACCATCTGGCAGTCTGACGGACGAATCTGGGTTTGGTGGATGCCAGGAAAACGCTACCTGCCCGAATGGAAAGTGCCAACTGTAAAGTTTGGTGGAGGAGGAATAATGGCCTGGGGCGGTTTTTCATGGTTTAGGCTAGGCCCCTTAGTTCCAGTGAAGGGAAATCTTAATGCTACAGCGTACAGGAAACAGCAGAGGGTGCACCCCCCTATCCACATCGACAGGACCGCAGTGGAGAAGGTGGAAAGCTTCAAGTTCCTTGGCGTACACATCACCGACAAACTGAAATGGTCCACACACGCAGACAGTGTGGTGAAGAAGGCGCAACAGAGCCTCTTCAACCACAGGAGGCTGTAGAAATTCGTCTTGGCACTTAAAACCCTCACAAACTTTTACAGATGCACAATTGAGAGCATCCTGTCGGGCTGTATCACCGCCTGGTACGGCAACTGCACCGCCCGCAACCACAGGGCTCTCCAGAGGGTGGTGCGGTCTGCCGTACGCATTACCGGGGGCAAACTACCCGCCCTCCAAGACACATACAGCACCCGATGTCACAGGAAGGCCAAAAAGATCATCAAGGACATCAACCACCCGAGCCACTGCCTGTTCACCCCACTATCATCCAGCACTGTCGGAGCTAGAAGCACAAGCATTTCGCTACACCCGCTATAACATCTGCTAAACACGTGTATGTGACAAATAAAATGTGATTTGATTTCACAATGACATTCTAGACGATTCTGTGCTTCCAACTTTGTGGCAACAGTTTGGGGAAGGCACAAAGCGAGGTCCATACAGAAATGGTTTGTCGAGATCGGTGTGGAAGAACTTGACTGGCCTGCACAGAGCCCTGACCTCAACACCATCGAACACTTTGGGATGAATTGGAATGCCGACTGCAAGCCAGGCCTAATCGCCCAACATCAGTGCCTGACTTCACTAATGGAAGCAAGTCTCTGCAGCAATGTTCCAACATCTAGTGGAAAGCTTTCCCAGAATAGTGAAGGCTGTTATAGCAGCAAAGGGACCAACTCCAATTTTGGAATGAGATGTTTGACGAGCAGGTGTCCACATACTTTTGGTCATGTAGCATACATCCCAATATTCTGATCTTCTCTAACATGGCCCATACTGGAACACCTAAAGACCACTAGTTGGGTGCTAGTATTTTTTGAGGGATCCATTAATCATGCAGTATATTCAATATAAATTGTTATTTTATTCCCCCCCCCCATAGTTTTACTTTGCAAAGATTACAGTATCCCAATCACCCAAGGTGCAGAGTGCCATTAACCCCTTTCTCTCTGTCCTTCCCTACCTCAGGTGCTCTGGTGCTTCCTGTATGCTCTGTACTCGCACCTCTACGTGGCCGGTACTGTGGTGGCTCTCTTCGTGGAGGTTAATAGTGTCACCCTGCATTTGAGGCTAATGCTGAAGCTAGCATCACAGCAGTCGTCCCCTCTGTACCAAATCAACAAATTCCTCAACCTCTTCACCTACGTTGTCTTCCGCCTCAGCGCCCAGTTCTACCTCACGTATTACATCATCCAGAACTACTCCTGGATGGACAAAGGAGGCTACTTCCTGATTACCATGACCCTCATGAATACCATGATCCTGGTCTACTTTTATCGTCTTCTCCGCGCCGACTTCTTCCCCCGGAGCAGGGCTCACGTGGAGCAAAATGGCACCCGCAACAACAACATCAAAAGATTCCTCACTGAATGACACGGAGAGCGACATGGCCGTATACCAGCTGTTGCGTTTGTGTTTTATTGTTGTTGGTTTGTTCGGTTACTGATATTGTCGTGGAAATTATTTTACACAGGGACACTCGAAGTAAATCTTAAATGAATCATAGTTTATTTGTCAGCACGCTGGAGAGCTTCCAACCAACTCAATGCACCATAATACACATGTATGTCAGAAGCTCTGCTGGGGCAGTCCCAGCAGTCGTCTTATATATGGCTATACACAGACAAGTTATATTTGCATGATTTAGCATAATTAATTCATCATTACCGTTTTGTTTCCTCCATGTGACCGACTGGTTCATAACATGTAACAGACCAACACTCACTAGGCTTCTTCTCTCTAAGCTGAGACCTTGAAACTGAGATATATTTCATTCTCAAAACAAGGTCTGGGAATACTGCCAAATTGCAGCTACTGATAGTGAGGATTCGTTCAGTCAGCCACTTGCATGAACACAGAAATTGGTTTATAGAACAACACATGAATAGAACATAGAAATGTATAGAATAGAAAAGCACCAACATTAAAACGTCCATCACAATATCATTCCTCAAGACATTTCATCTGGTTGCGTTTTGTCATCACAACAACAACAATAACAAAGCTCTGTGTCTCGACAGCTCGCGTTGAAGTGAGAGGCAGCCAGGAAAGGATGGGGACAGTGGTACATGCCCTATAGTGATGCTTCTCTACTGATGATTGTGCCCACTGTGGCTGATGATCCGTCACAGACACCCAAACAGGGCAGCATACAGTGAGAGACTGGTCTGTTCACACTGACTGGGAGAATCCTACTAAATTACCTCTAGGATACTGTGCCACTTTTGCTTCTGATCATAGCTAATACCTTTGTTTAGAATATAGGAATTTATATGATTCATGTGGAATGCTCTTTAACAGAAAAAATACTTAGAAATGCTAACATAATTTGGTGGGGGAAAAAAGTGTATATATATACAGTAGAGAAACAAACTGCCAAAGATAACAGGCACCACCTTGGTGTTGTACATCCCACCCCACAAATAATGTCAGGTGTAGCTTAGCAACATCGTTTTATTGAAATTTCCACTAATAGGCTTTTGTAAATATATTATATTCATAACTATGGTACAATCAATATATCTGACACTAACAAACTGTCAGACAATACATCCGTTTTACTTTCATTCTTCCTTGCTTGGTCTCACCAGGTCAACACCAATACATGGGTGACCACCATTCTTACATGTTTCATGAGCTGAAATAAAAGATCCCAGAAATGGTCCATATGCACAAAAATCTTATTTGTCTCCAATTTTGTGCACACATTTGTTTACATCACCCCAGGACTCCCGACTCCCGAGTGACGCAGCGGTCTAAGGCATTGCAGTGCTTGAAGCGTCACTACAGACCCGGGTTCGATCCCAGGCTGTGTCACAGCCGGCCGCGACCAGGGGACGTGTGAGGCGGCGCACAATTGGCCCAGCGTCATCCGGGTTAAGGGAGGGTTTGGCTGGCCGGGATGTCCTTGTTCCATCGCGCTCTAGCGACTCCTTGTGGCAGGCCGGGTGCATGCACGCTGACTTCAGTTGCCAGCTGTACAGTGTTTCCTCTTACAAATCGGTGCAGCTGGCTTCTGGGTTAAGCGAGCAGTCTGTCAAGAAGCGGCTTGGCAGGGTCGTGCTTCGGAGGACGCATGGCTCTCGACCTTCGCCTCTCCCGAGTCCGTACGGGAGTTGCAGCGATGGGACAAGACTGTAACTACCACTTGGATATCACGAAAGGGGCAAAAAGTAAAAAAAATATATATAACATTTGTTTACATCCCTATATTAGTGAGCATTTCTCCTTTGCCAATATATGCCACACCTGTCAGGTGGATAGATTATCAAGAAGCTGATTAAACAGCATGATCAATACAAAGGTGCACCTTGTGCTGGGGACAATAAAATTTGCAATTTTGTCACACAACACAATGCCACAGATGTCTCAAGTTTTGAGGGAGTGTGCAGTTGGCATGCTGACTGCAGGAATGTCCACCAGAGCTGTTGCCAGATAATTGAATGTTCATTTCTCTACAATAAGCTGCCTCCAACGTCGTTTTAGAGAATTTGGCAGTACATCCAACCTGCCTCACAGCCGCAGACCACGTGTAACCACGGCAGCCCAGGACCTCCACATCCGGCTTCTTCACCTGCGGGATCGTCTGAGATCAGCCACCCGGACAGCTGATGAAACCCAGGAGTATTTCTGTCTGTAATAGTCCTACAACTAATTCTGATTGGCTCGGCCTGGCTCCCAAGTGGGTGGGCCTATGCCCTCCCAGGCCCACCCATGGCTGCGCCCCTGCCCAGTCATGTGAAATCTATAGATTAGGGCCTAATGAATTTATTTAAATTGACTGATTTCCTTATATGAACTCAGTGAAATCGTTGAAATTGTTGCATGTTGCATTTCTATTCAGTCTAGTAAAAAATTATAATAATGCAGAATACAACCAAACATAGATATTGAAATGGTAGGGTATACCATGAAAATTTACAGAACATGATCTGTGGTTACTTATTGTAAAAAGTCAAATATACCTGAAGACATAATAAATTATAAAGCAATTGAGTGACTCGAAGATGACATCTGATTTTTATTATTTTATTTCATGTGCCTTATTTTTAAAAGCCTTTTGTTTGTTGAATGCAACTTCATGATCTGTTGAACAAATAAAGACAATTAGTTAAGGAAGGAATACATTGTCTAACTGTTTTGAATTATAGTCCCATTACGTAAAGATAAAATATTTAATGGATCTATGCCGCCCTCTAGAGCTGTTTTGTGTAAACTAAAGACTATTGATGCTGGGTGCAAATGCAAGACGAATATACCACCTCCAGGAAAGAAGCTTAGACAGGAGTTAAAACCCTGTCTAATTGTAATTTTCCATTGGCTACTACTGGTAAGACACCGACATCATGTATCCACGAGACAGGAAGTGTCGATGAACATAGAATATAGAAAAAGTGGCAAAGCAACATGGGCCTATAGTAAATATCAAAGGACAGAAAACCCAGCGTTCTATCACCGGAGTATGGCGCCAATGGCTATAATGTTGCATTGTAGCCTACAAGATTTTGTATAATGAACAATGTTGCAAAAAAATTAACTCAGCAAAAAAATAAACGTCCCTTTTTCAGGACCCTGTCTTTCAAAGATAATTAGTAAAAATCAAAATAACTTCATAGATCTTCATTGTAAAGGGTTTAAACACTGTTTCCCATGCTTGTTCAATGAACCATAAACAATTAATGAACATGCACCTGTGGAACGGTCGTTAAGACACTAACAGCTTACAGATGGTAGGCAATTAAGGTCACAGTTATGCAAATCTTAGGACACTAAAGAGGTCTTTCTACTGACTCTGAAAAACACCAAAAGAAAGATGCCCAGGGTCCCTGCTCATCTGCGTGAACGTGCCTTAGACATGCTGCAAGGAGGCATGAGGACTGCAGATGTTGCCAGGGCAATAAATTGCAATGTCCGTACTGTGAGACGCCTAAGACAGCGCTACTGGGAGACAGGACGGACAGCTGATCGTCCTCGCAGTGGCAGACCACGTGTAACAACACCTGCACAGGATCGGTACATCCGAACATAACACCTGCGGGACAGGTACAGGATGGCAACAACAACTGCCCGAGTTACACCAGGAATGCACAATCCCTCCATCAGTGCTCAGACTGTCCACAATAGGCTGAGAGAGGCTGGACTGAGGGCTTGTAGGCCTGTTGTAAGGCAGGTCCTCACCAGACATCACTGGGAACAACGTCGCCTATGGGCACAAACCCACCGTCGCTGGACCAGACAGGACTGGCAAAAAGTGCTCTTCACTGACGAGTCGCGGTTTTGTCTCACCAGGGGTGATGGTTGGATTTGCGTTTATCGTCGAAGGAATGAGCGTTACACTGAGGCCTGTACTCTGGAGCGGGATCGATTTGGAGGTGGAGGGTCCGTCATGGTCTGGGGCGGTGTGTCACAGCATCATCGGACTGAGCTTGTTGTCATCGCAGGCAATCTCAACGCTGTGCTTTACAGGGAAGATATCCTCCTCCCTCATGTGGTACCCTTCCTGCAGGTTCATCCTGACATGACCCTCCAGCATGACAATGCCACCAGCCATACTGCTAGTTCTGTGCGTGATTTCCTGCAAGACAGGAATGTCAGTGTTCTGCTATGGCCAGCGAAGAGCCCGGATCTCAATCCCATTGAGCATGTCTGGGACCTGTTGGATCGGAGGGTGAGGGCTAGGGCCATTCCCCCCATACATGTCTGGGAACTTGCAGGTGCCTTGATGGAAGAGTGGGGTAACATCTCACAGCAAGAACTGGCTAATCTGGTGCAGTCCATGAGGAGGAGATGCACTGCAGTACTTAATGCATCTGGTGGCCACACCAGATACTGACTGTTACTTTAGATTTTGACCCCCCCTTTTATCAGGGACACATTATTCAATTTATGTTAGTCACATGTCTGTGGAACTTGTTCAGTTTATGTCTCAGTTGAATCTTGTTATGTTCATACAAATATTTACACATGTTAAGTTTGCTGAAAATAAACGCAGTTGACAGTGAGGACGTTTCTTTTTTTTGCTGAGTTGCATGTTTGCGCTAAACTGTGTCCAATGATATCTACCGCCAGGGGGACTCTACCCGTGCTGAATTTATTTCCCAAATTCCAATGAGAACCTGGAGCTGAGTCCGAGGTCCGCCTAAAAACCTAAATAATTTGCAAACTACGTTTCCCACTCATTTCCGTAGGTCTGGTCTATTTGGTGTAAGCGAATACGGTGAGTGTTTTGGAAAGATTCTGATTAATTTATGTGAAAACCTCAAGTCTAGAAACCAAACTAAAAGTCAAAGCATTATTTTATTTTTTTGACTGAAAGACTGGGTTACCGCTCCGTGACGAAGAAACTCCATCCCGTCACAAGGTATGTAAGCTCCAGTGACATCCCATCATGGACTGACTCTGTTCCAGTTAGCAGCTTTTATTTTTCCATTGTAAACAAAACTTCGGTTTTGTTTAACCATTTTAGGAGATCATGTTTAAATGTGTCCACGTGTTATGGTTCTTGAAGAGGCTAGAGCTGCTTCTTATCTTGTGAATTATGATTAAGCATGATTACAATTATAAAAAGCAACAATACTTTTTTACAATCTATTCTCGGTTCAATATGAATTAGCTATATAATTGTAAACAATGTACAGTCATTTATTTTCTTTGTGCACAGAACAATAGGATTAAAATAGAGATTAGTGGATAATCTCCAGTTACTGGCTACTGACTCATAGGCTAATCATGTAGTGGTTTGTCATCCCACATGTTGCATAGGCTACTCTTGCTCATAATTGTCATGTTAACAAAACCCAGTGCTTAATTTGAGCCGAATCCTGCCGGAACATGACACCTCTCAGTTTTGGACTGTTTCGTTCCGGAACCTATTTGCCAGGATCCGGTACCTCTCGTGGCATGAAACATAATTTTCACTGTTGGCAATGTAAAAATTCGAATAAACGCGATCAGAGTTAATTCGTGTTGCCTCCTCTGTAATTATCCTAACCCCCTAAAAAAACGTCATGTGAAAACGTAGGTTTTCATCCCGCGCCTGATATTCTAAGAATTTATTTGGGTTGGGCCAGCCCGGGTTTATGACATGAGCCTGCAACTACCATCTCTCCAGAGTTGTACTTCATAATTTATTTCCTAATAGAATCATAGCCATTTGCCGAAGTTATAGAATTACTGTCATCTGTTCAAAAATAAATGAAATAATTCAGAATACTACACCAGGAGTAGGCCTATAATTTAGCCACAGAGGATCAATAACTTCTTCTTTTTAAATAGCCTATCTGTGGATTGTGTGTAGCCCAATCACAAGCCATTGCCTACAGTCGGGAATGCGTGGCAAATCTGTCAGTGAACAGCATGCAGCCAAAACAGGCCAGTCAATATTTGAAATACTGAACAAAAATATAAATGCAACATGTACAGTGTTGGTCCCATGTTTAATGAGCTGAAATAAAAGAACCCAGAAATTCTCCATATGCACAAAAATATTATTTCTCTAAAATGTTATGCACACATTTGTTTACATCCCTGTTAGTGAGCATTTCTCATTTGCCAAGATAATCCATCCACTTGACAGGTGTTGCATGTCAAGAAGCTGATTAAACAGCTTGGCTGGGCCTGGCTCCCCAGTGGGTCGGCCTGGCTCCCAAGTTGGCTGCACCCCTGCCCAGTCATGTAAAATCCATAGATTAGGGCCTAATGAATTTATTTCAATTGACTGATTTCCTTATATGAACTGTAAGTCAGTAAAATCGTTGAAATTGTTGCATGTTGCGTACAATCGTGGGATAGCACAGGTTGGAAAGCAAATGGCTCCTGCTGAAAGAAAAATACTTATCTGTCTGTAGGCTAAGAAAATATTTTATCAACTTCCAAATAGGCCTATTGAGCAAACAGCATTATTTTTACAAACTAAAACGAGAGAGAGAGGCTTTTGGCACGAGCGCATCGGCCATCAACGGTGAGTGAGCTGCGCATCATTGGGTGAGTCAGTGAAACTGAAAAGCTTTTTTAGGACTATAACTTCCTCCCCATATTGTACAATATTTTTGTCTCCTCCACACACCTAGGCCTAGGCTATTGATGGATTCAAGACGAGGTGATTTTTTATGATCTCAATTTGTAATTGTCAAAGTAGCCTGACATTTCAATCATTTGTGCGGTTTAAAAAAAGATTCTGCTAAAGTCTCCTGTCATGTAAAATGACATAGAATTGCATGAAATGTGTTCAATTTTTGTTCTGGCACCTCCCGATTTACAAATTAAGCACTGACAAAACCTAAATCTCCCCTCCCCTTATTCATTCTGTAAGCTGTAGGTCCCTCTGATGACTGTTATCTTGGCCTAATGTCTGTCCGAGTGCCATCCATGAGTGTGCTGCCTCCTGTTCGAAGGGACCGCATCATTGCCCAGCTTCCTCAGGTAAGCATCATACAGTACATGCTAGCAGTCAAACAGTCATTTGAATGTGTTACCCTGTCTGGGCTTGCCCTCTAGGCTGCTTAAACCACCAGTCTCATGAAGCTGTGTTCCTTATGTTCTAATCTAGTGTTACAGTAAGAAGGCTGCTGTGCACGCTAAAGATGAGTTCAACTCCAAAGTGAAGACTGCCTGCCAGGAACAACGCACTGGCACAGTAGGGTGGGTAGGCCACAAAGCCATTTCATGTTCAAGAAATACAGGTAGTTCCCTTATTGCATTATGGGGATGAGGGTGGTATGTTGTCTCATTGTGATTTTTGATTGTCTCTCTGTCTGTGTCACCTTCTCCTCCAGTAGGTTTAAAATCGCTAAGGTCATAGTGGTTGGTGACCTGGCCGTGGGAAAAACCTGTCTGATTAATAGGTAAGCAAAGTTTGGATACTCCTAGTGCGTAGTACTTGATTGCAGTATGAGTCAACTGGGCCGTTTTGGTGAATTAATAACCAGATGGAATGCAGTGCATACACCCACCCACCCAACTGGAATACCGTAGGTTGTGTTTTTTACAGGTTGTTTGCAAGTACAGATTGTCATCAGATTTTCCTAATAATTCATGCCTTTTAGGTTTTGCAAGGATGCATTTGACAAGAACTACAAGGCGACCATTGGTGTTGACTTTGAGATGGAGCGATTTGAAGTGTTGGGGGTGCCTTTCAGCTTACAGTTGTGAGTCTTACTCTACTGGTGTGTTCTACAGTATTAATCCCCAAAGCTAACCTGTGTCCCTTCACTCACCAATATCTCTCTCCTCTACAGATGGGACACTGCGGGGCAGGAGAGGTTCAAGTGTATTGCCTCCACATACTACAGGGGAGCTCAGAGTAAGGGCTTTCTCTTTGAACAGTTTTTATGTTTCCATATCATTCATTACGACCTACAACGTGTTGCCATGTTCTTAGGGACAGATTTGATGAGGTTTGAGTTTACTAATGAAGTTAATTCTGTTTTCCAGCTATTATTATTGTGTTTGATGTAAATGATGTGGCATCTTTGGGCCATACAAGGTAAAATACATTAGAATCAACTGACATGAGTATGAATACGCATTTCAGCTGCACGTGTGCTCTGTAAACTCTATTTAACATATTTGAATGTCGCTATGTTCCACAGGCAGTGGCTTGAAGATGCCTTGAAGGAGAATGATCCTACCAATGTCCAGCTTTTCCTGGTTGGCACAAAGAAAGACCTGAGTGTATGTGTTCACTCTTTTTATATACCATTTTCAGAGGCACAATTGATCCGTTTTCTCCGCCCATGTCAACTTCCAGAAGTTCAGACTATATACTGGATACTAAGATATTGAAAAAGCTTCTGTGTACAATGCATGGAATACTGTTTATTATTATTATTATTATTATTATTATTATTATTATATGTTTTGTATATCTATTGTGTTTGTATTTCCCTCTTCTCTCTGTTATTTCCTCAGTCTCCTGCTCAGTACTCTCAGATTGAACAGGATGCCATCAAACTGGCTGAGGAAATCAAAGCAGAGTATTGGGCCTTGTCATCATTGACAGGTGGGTGGGCTAATACATCAGATCAATGTTGAGATGGGTAGCAATAAGACAGGATGCAGCCTACTTGTTTGTAAGGCGGTATTATCATTTGTGTAAACTAATTGTCTAAACATCTGAAGAACAAATGTGACTTCATGTTTTTTCCCCTCCTGTTCTTGTTGTAGGGGAAAATGTGAGGGAGTTTTTCTTCCGTGTTGCATCATTGGCATTTGAGGCCAACGTTCTGGCAGAGCTAGAGAAGAGTAGATCAAGGCACATTGGGGATGTTATCAGTGAGTATACAGCTGTGCACTGTTAAAATATGGCAACATGCTTTATGTAATATTAATAACATCACTTCTCTCGCTACGTTAACCCTAACTAGGTTACAGACAGACCCTTGTATGAGTAACATAAGAAAGTCCTTTTTCATGCGAGTTTCTTTTGTTTGTTTCAGAAATTAACAGTAATTCAAACAACCTGTATGCAACATCAAAGAAGAAACAGTCAAACTGTTGTCAATGAAGACAAACACATGACTACTACAGTAAAAAGGTACCAAAGCAAAAGGCATAATTTCCTCAGAAGAGAAACTGAGAACCCATGACCACTCCCAGAGACATGGAATTTGCAGTGAGGCAGGACAGACTTTTGCCTTCACAGACATTTTATTTTAATTTCTGCTGGCCCAGAAAGAACAGCTCCTTGGTTGGATGTGGATTCCTGTGGTGCTTGGCTCATTTTTGCCTATCTAGAGTTTTGGAATATAATTTCCTCTGTGTCATTGCACTCCATACTGTACAATTCCAGTTCTTGAGTCTTGACAGAAATTGTGATCGAGGTACTGCTTAAATGGTTATGGAGTATGGACAATCATGGATGTCTTCAAATACCCAATATGGATATTTTTAAGACACTCCACCATTAGCCCTATTAGATATTTTACAGTGTTGTTTTGTATATTGTTGTTTGCATGCTACATGTTTTTTACACCATTTGTAACTTTTGCATAGATGAAAACTCATGACTCAATCCTGGGATGTTATATTATGCTAGCTAAGGAGGATGATTACATTGTTTAGATAGTCCTATTTTTAACAGCACAATGGCATTCATACAGTATAAGAGATTAGTCAGATGTACCTCATCTACGCTAGATAGATACAATAATATAACTGAGAATTATACATTTTTAATGATGTGCGATATTTGAATGACTGATCTTACATTATCCCTCTAGTTGAATACCATTATCAGAGTGAAAAGTGCATACATACACTACCGTTCAAAAGTTTGGGGTCACTTAGAAATGTCCTTGTTTTCGAAAGAAAAGCAATTTCTTTGTCCATTAAAATAACATCAAATTGATCAGAAATACAGTGTAGACATTGTTAATGTTGTAAATGGCTATTGTAGCTGGAAACGGCTGATACATAGGCGTACAGATGCCCATTATCAGCAACCATCAGTCCTGTGTTCCAATGGCACGTTGTGTTTGCTATTCCAAGTTTATCATTTTAAAAGGCTAATTGATCATTAGAAAACCCTTTTATGTTACGTTAGCACAGCTGAAAACGGTTGTGCTGATTAAAGAAGCAATACAACTGGCCTTCTTGAGAATCTGGAGCATCAGCAATTGTGGGTTTGATTACATTTTCATTTCATTTTTGTCATTTAGCAGACGCTCTTATCCAGAGCAACTTACAGGAGCAAGTAGGGTTAAGTGCCTTGCTCAAGGGCACATCGACAGATTTTTCACCTAGTTGGCTCGGGGATTAGAACCAGCGACCTTTCGGTTACTGGCACAACGCTCTTAACCACTAAGCTACCTGCCTCCCCAAGAAACAAATAACTTTCTTCTGAAACTCGTCAGTCTATTCTTGTTCTGAGAAATTAAGGCTATTCTATGCGAGAAATTGCCAAGAAACTGAAGATCTCGTGCAACGCTGTGTACTACTCCCTTCACAAGTGGATTCAGTTAGATTTTTTTCCTACAGTATCTATCTACACAACCTACTCCACATTTTCATAGTGAATATATATATATATGTTGTAATTACTAAGAAATACAAAATGAGGATGCATTGATTATATACTGTATGTCTTCACACCCCAGAGTTAATTTTTTAAAATGTATTTATTTAACTAGGCAAGTCAGTTAAGAACAAATTCTTATTTACAATGACGGCCTACACCGGCCAAACCCGGACGACGCTGGGCCAATTGTGCGCCGCCCTATGGGACTCCCAATCACGGCCGGTTGTGATACAGCCTGGAATCGAACCAGGGGGGTCTGTAGTGACGCCTCAAGCACTGAGATGCAGTGTCTTAGACCACTGCGCCACTCGGGAGCCCACTTGGTGGAAGCACCTTTGGCAGCTATTACAGCTGTGAATGATTTTTAATAAGATTCTATCAACCTTACAACTCTTAGGGCAACATACTGTATATCCATTGTTTTTGTCACAATTACTCAAGCTCAGTAAATTTGGTTGGGAATCCTTGATGGACAAAACATTGTCTATTTATTTATTTTTTTAGCAGATTTAAGTCAGGACAGACACTGGACTATTTATGAACACTCAAAACCTCCTGGAAAGCCATTCTGGTGCATCTTTGACATTACAATTTGGGTAATTGTTGCGTGATTTGTATTTATTCCAGGGTTTTCAGAAGACTGAGGTGGGTTTTTATTTTATTTTCATCCTAACAAACTCCCCAGTCCCTGCCGGTGACATGCATACCCATAACATGACGCTGCCACCACAAACCTGTAGTTTCTCCTTCGACCTCTCTCATCAACAAGCTGTTTTCGCCCACAAGACTGTCGCTGTTGACTGGATGTTTTTTTTCTTTGTCGCACCATTCTCTGTAAACCCTAGACACTGTTGTGCGTGAAAAGGCCAGGAGACCGGCCATTTCTGAGATACTGGAACCGGCGTGCCTGGCACCGACAATCATACCACGCTCAAAGTCGCTTAGGTCACTCGTTGTGCCCATTCTAACGTTCCATCTAACAGTAACTGGATGCCTGTCTGCCTGCTTTATATAGCAAGCTACGGCCACGTGACTCACTATCTGTAGGAGCAAACTATTTTTGTGAACGGGGTGTTGTACCTAATAAAGAGGCCTGTATGTTGCCCTAAGAGTTGTGCGAAGTTGGTCCAATATTATTCAAAATGATTCACAGCTGTAATGTCTGCCAAAGGGGCTTCCACCAAGTATTAACTCTGGGGTATGAAAACATAGGCAATCAAGAAACATTTTTCTAACTTTCTATCACTTTGAATATATGGTGGAGGTTGTGTAGATAAAATGGAATCCCTTTTTAGATTACATTTTAAGGCAACAAAATGTGAAGACTGTGCAACCGGTGTGTAGACTTTCACTAGGCACTGTATATACAATATACTTGTATAGAAGCCAAATGTATTGAATGCATTCAACACTCCAAGGCAATACATGATCTTAGTGACTTCATGGACAAAGCACCATACAAGAATAACATAGAATCCTGGTGACCTTGAGTTTGAGCACTTAACTGGCGAAGCTCTTGGAAGGAGTCAGGATATTGTTTGTCAATTTGAATCTGTAGTTCCTCCGGGATGCAGTGAGAGCTTGTCTTCTCCTTGATACACTTCCCTCCCTCGCTGTTCTCAATGGCCACAGCAGCAATACCTGCAAATATGAATTACTTTTACTTGATAATAATTAAGATAGAAGAAAACTTTACAGTATACAGTTGTGATTAAAGTATAGATTTTGAGCACTTTTCAGTGATACAACAAATTAAATTAAGTCTAGCCTACCTACAATGAGACACATTGTCTGACACTGTGATTACACACAGACCTACAACAGTAGCTCCCTGCCTCTCCACCAGTTTGATAGCAGCCTTCATGGTTCCTCCGGTCTCTCTCCACTGGTCCGCTATCAGCACCTGGAGCCCCTGCAGCACAGAGACAGAGCAACTAGTGGTTGTGGCTCCGTCCCAAATGGCACCCTTTGGGCACTGGTCAAAATAATGGAATAGGGTGCCATTTGGGACATACACTGTATTTCTATTCAACTTCTTAACTCACAGGACCAAACACATTCAGAGAATCTCCTTGAAGGGGAAATGTTTCCTTAATACAAAGTAGTTCTCCTGAGTGGCGCAGTGGTCTAAGGCACTGCATCGCAGTGCTAACTGTGCCACTAGAGATCCTGGTTCGAATCCAGGCTCTGTCGCAGCCGGCCGCGACCGGGAGACTCATGGCCGGCGCACAATTGGCCCAGCGTCGTCCAGGGTAGGGGAGGGAATGGCCGGCAGGACAGAGTGATAGAGCATGGCGTTTGCAATGCCAGGTTGTGTGGTTTCGATTCCACGGGGGGCCCAGTAAAAAAATATGTATTCACTACTGTAAGTCGCTCTGGATAAGAGCGTCTGCTAAATGACTTAAATGTAAATGTAAATGTGTTCAGTGGCTATACAAACACTCTTTGCTATACAGACTAGGGCCCTTGGTTCCTGCACCAACACTAGCTTATTATATCACAGGAAATTGGAGTGGTTATGTCAGAGGAAATGAGGACATGGTTGCATTCATTGAAACAAATACAAACAGTCAGAGCCAAAACAGGCCATACTGCCTCTTAGCTTGTGGGTTCATTGAGCTTGTCTATCACACTGTATGTTGTCTATTGCTACATTCATGTTAATGAGTCTGTCTCCTTATACCTTCACCTCAGGATTCTACAAACAAGGCAGGACTCTTGAAACCTTAGATGAGTGGTGTCCGTTCATTGGCCATAGACTGAATGGTGACTTATTCACCAAGGAAAGCAATCCTGTCAGACTGTGATGGTGACTCACCTGGCCTTAACACATCCAGGCGAACCTCCATCATCTTCTCTCTGCCTGAGTAGTCACTGTGCTCTGGGATTGTATGCACAGGTGCCAGAAAGGGTGGTAGCCTTAGCCGATCCTGAAAACCACCAAGATATAAATGACATCTTAGAAACAGCACAGATAGACTTTTGTTTTATTGATGAGATTGTGAGAGTTTATTTCACCAATCAATATTTTCTCTCAGAAGACTTATAAACCTGATTGAAGTGACAGCAGATCAAGCCATACAGATCCCTTTTACACATAGTATGATTAATTTTGCAAGGCTTTTGTTTTGTGTTGAATGGTGTGATATTTTACTCTTAAAGTGTGTCCTTGTTGTGGCAATTCCCCAAGCAGGACCTATATGTGTGCTACCCCTAAATTAAGTATCATTCACAGAGGGGTTAGGTTTCCTGCCCTTTCAGTGGAGCTTGCTGGATGTGAAATATAATTAGTATGCAGTAAGTCGCATGGAGCCACACTTCAGTAACAACACATGAGCAGATTGGTTGAGATTGTATGTTTTCCTGAAACATTGACTGGTTGTTTACCGAGGATGAATCCCATTGCATCTATACCCGCGACCAGGTCAATGGCCTCATTCTGGAATGGACAGAGAAGGTCCTTCAAACAATCTGACAGGGCCTGGATTAGATACAAAATGAACCAGATTGACCACCCGGACTGCTGTGGGTTTCCTTACAGTATCTTTACGGCATATGCACTGGTCAAAATACCGATTTTACACACATACTTATAAGTATTCACCCCCCCCCCCCTCAAAACGAGTGACCTAAGCGACTTTGAGCGTGGTATGATCGTCGGTGCCAGGCACGCCGGAGCCAGTATCTCAGAAACGGCTGCCCTCCTGGGCTTTTCACGCTCGACCGTGTCTAGGGTTTACAGAGAATGGTGAGACAAACAAAAAACCAGCTAGTTGATGAGAGAGGTCGAATAAGAATGCCAAGAATCGTGTAAGCTAACAGGTGGGCCACAAACCGACAACGGCATCTCCAAACACAACTTGTCGATCCTAATCACAGATGGGCTATTGAAGAAGACGACCACACCGGGTTCCACTCCTATCAGCTAAAAACAAGAAGAAGCGACTCCAGTGGGCACGCGATCACCAACACTGGACAATTTGAGTAGTGGAAAAACATTGCCTGGTCCGACGAATCCCGGTTCCTGTTTGGCATAAATCCATGGACCCATCCTGCCTGGTACAGGCTGGTGGTGGTGGTGTACTGGTGTGGGGAATGTTATCCTGGCACACGTTAGGTCCCTTCATACCAATTGAGCAACAAACGTTTCTGACACCTTGTAGAATCCATGAATTCAGGCTGTTTTGGAGCCAAAGGGGGGTCCGACCCTGTACTATATGGGTGTACCCAATATAGTCGTTGCATAAGTGTTTACCCCCTTTTTTAGGCAAGCCTAAATTAGTTCAGGATCAACATTTGGCTTAATAAATCACATAAGTTACATGGATTCACTCTTTGTGAAATAATAGGAGTTTACATGATTTTTGAATGATCTGTAAGGTCCCTCAGTCAAGTATTGAATTTCAAGCACAGATTAAATTACAAAGACCAATGAACTTTTCTAAAGCCTCATAAAGAAGGGCAGTGATTGGTAGATGGGTAACAATAACAACTCAGACATTGAAAAGCTCTTTAAGAATGGTCAAGTTAATAATTATGCTCTGGATGATGTATTAAACCACCCAGACACATCAAAGATACAGACGTCATTCTGAACTGAGCTAAAGTAATACTGCAAAAAACACACAGCAAAGAATAAACTTTTTGGCCTAAATGCAAAGCCTATGTTTGTGGCAAACACAACACATCACTGAGTAACTGCCTCCTTATTTTCAAGCATGGTGATGGCTGCATCATGGTATGGGTATGCTTGAAATCAGCAAAGACTGATCAGGATAAAAAGAAACAGGATGTAAACTAAAGGACCAGGAAACTAAAGGTATATCACTAGTTCCTGGGAATTACAGTAAAGTCTTGATGGGTCCAAACAGGCAAACTTTGGTCCTTTGGTGTTCGGTGCCATTAGGGAAAGGTACCAGCCTTTCTCCCTGTCTGTTGGAACAGCCAAAGCTTTCATTCTGCTAGACCCTGATATGGTTATCGCAATATTTCATATAATTTGAATAATGTCAAGACACATTTTAGATTGCAGAATCAAAATTCACATGTAGTCTCCTTAGTTAAATTAAACACACAATTGGAGCAAAAGTTAATAACATTGGTTAAAATGAAAATCTAATCGTTACTGCAATAATATGAAGTGTATTCAGCTCAAATAGCACAGAAGATTACTCTAAATGGGGCTAAAATATTTGAACGTTTGCTGTTTTAAATGATTAAACAAAATGTCAAATATGCAATGTTGTATTTCATCGATTTTCAGTTGACTTTCCGATAAATTCAGTTCTAATGCTATAATGTTTTACAAGTTAACAATTGCAAAAAAAAGCTTTAACCATTAGAAATTAAATAGACATACAATGCTGTGGTGTGGTGGAGTCTGTGAAGATATATACTGCATACAAATAACTGGTGAATCCCAAACATAGAGAATGATAAGAGGCCTCTAGTGGCCAAAAGGCTGTTTTGACATGGGCAGCACCATTGAGGGCTTCCACCATGCTTCCGCCATTTTAAAGTAATCAAAGTAGTCAACTGGGTGGAGATTCCTATGGGTTTTAGACGCAATGGCGCTGCCCATGCTGTCAGACACTATAATCGCGCTCAGGGGGACAGAGTGGGGCAGCGGTCTAAGGCACTGCATCGCAGTGCTAGAGGCATCACTACAGACCCGGGTTCGGTCCCGGGCTGTATCACAATTGGCAGTGATTGGGAGTCCCATAGGGCGGTGCACAATTGGCCCAGCATCGTCCGGGTTAGGGGAGGGTTTGGCCGGGGTAGGCCGTCATTTTAAATAAGTATTTGTTCTTAACTGACTTGCCGACGTGAGTAAGTAATTTAAGCGTGTTAACCCTCGCAAGATGGCATCCCAAGCCACGTCCTCAGAGCATGTGCAGACCAGCTGGCTGGAGTGTTTACGGACATATTCAATCTTTCCATATCCCAGTCTGTTGTCCCCGCTTGCTTCAAGGTGTCCACCATTGTTCCTGTACTGAAGAAAGCGACGGTAACTGAACTAAATGAGTATCGCCACGTAGCACTCACTTTGTCATCATGAAGTGCTTTGAGAGGCTAGATAAGGACCATGTCATCTCTACCTTACCCGAAACCCTAGACCTACTACAATTTGCATATCGTCCCAACAGATCCACAAACAACGCAATCGCCATTGCCCTGCACGCTGCCCTATCCCACCTTGACAAGAGAAATACCTATGTAAGAATGCTGTTCATCGACTATAGCTCAGCCTTCAACACCATAGAGCCCTCCAAGTTCATCACTAAGCTCAGGGCCCTGGGTCTGGACCCCTCCCTGTGCAACTGGGTCCTGGACTTTCTGAAGGGCCGACCCCAAGTGGTGAAGGTAGGCAACAACACCTCCGCCACGCTGATCCTCAACAAGGGGGCCCCACAGGGGTGCGTGCTCAGCCCCCTCCTGTACTCCCTGTTCACCCATGACTGCATGGCCACGCACGTTTCCAACTCAATCATCAAGTTTGCTGACGACACAACATTTTAAAATTTTTGTCATTTAGCAGATGCTCTTATCCAGAGCGACTTACAGTTAGTGAGTGCATACATTTTCATACTGCCCCCCCGTGGGAAACGAACCCACAACCCTGGGGCCCCGTGTAGCTCAGTTGGGAGAGCATGGCGCTTGCAACGCCAGGGTTGTGGGTTCGTTTCCCACGGGGGGCCAGTATGAAAATGTATGCACTCACTAACTGTAAGTCGCTCTGGATAAGAGCGTCTGCTAAATGACTAAAATGTTTTAATGGTAGGCCTGAATACCAACAACGATGAGACGTCCTACAGGGAGGAGGTGAGAGCCCTGATGGAGTGATGCCATGAAAATAACCTCTCCCTCAACGTCTACAAAAAGAAGGAGCTGTCGTGGACTACAGGAGACAGCAGAGAGAGCACGCCCCATCCACATCGTTGGGTTTGCTGCATCTGCGATAACATCTGGAAATCTGTGTATGTGACCAATGAACTTTGATTTGATTACAAAAACTCCTCCCTTGTTGAGCAAAGAAAAACCGTCACCTGCTGGAGAAGACAGATTTTGTGAACAGTTAACGCTCTTGCTTCGCCTCTTCCTCTCTGCCTTGCAGCATTGTGTTGCAGAGGCAGTTGCAGTGCATTCTGTGTTCTGTGGGTCATAAGGGTTTATCCAACAAAGTTTGACTGCAGAATGTATTATGCAGCATTGACGCAATTACGTTGTTGGTCTGATCGAGGCCTGACTTCCAGAGCATGGCAAGGGGATCAATAAGCCACTATTCTGCTAGCGCCACTTTTCTATGGTAATGAGGAAACCTTAAAAAATAAAAGCCAGCATTTCAAAACATTCCAAGGTGGATAACACATTCAAAAGATATTACATTTTAATCAATGACGATTTTTTATTGTACTTATAAGCAAATGCAAAAAGGAATTTATGGAGAATTTAAGGAGTAAAAAAAAAATATACTGTATATATTTTAAGACCACTTGAAAAATACAATGTTCAGACTGGGCTTATAGTGATTTTTATTTTATTTGTGCCAATGTAAAAGTGTGGTTGGGTGTACTCCGTAGGGTCTGTAGAATCTACAGTTGAAGTCGGAAGTTTACATACACTTAGGTTGGAGTCATTAAAACTCGTTTTTCAACCACTCCACAAATTTCTTGTTAACAAACTATAGTTTTGGCAAGTTGGTTAGGACATCTACAGTGGGGAAAAAATGTATTTTGTCAGCCACCAATTGTGCAAGTTCTCCCACTTAAAAAGATGAGAGAGGCCTGTAATTTTCATCATAGGTACACGTCAACTATGACAGACAAATTGAGATTTTTTTTCTCCAGAAAATCACATTGTAGGATTTTTAATGAATTTATTTGCAAATTATGGTGGAAAATAAGTATTTGGTCACCTACAAACAAGCAAGATTTCTGGCTCTCACAGACCTGTAACTTCTTCTTTAAGAGGCTCCCCTGTCCTCCACTCGTTACCTGTATTAATGGCACCTGTTTGAACTTGTTATCAGTATAAAAGACACCTGTCCACAACCTCAAACAGTCATACTCCAAACTCCACTATGGCCAAGACCAAAGAGCTGTCAAAGGACACCAGAAACAAAATTGTAGACCTGCACCAGGCTGGGAAGACTGAATCTGCAATAGGTAAGCAGCTTGGTTTGAAGAAATCAACTGTGGGAGCAATTATTAGGAAATGGAAGACATACAAGACCACTGATAATCTCCCTCGATCTGGGGCTCCACGCAAGATCTCACCCCGTGGGGTCAAAATGATCACAAGAACGGTGAGCAAAAATCCCAAAACCACACAGGGGGACCTAGTGAATGACCTGCAGAGAGCTGGGACCAAAGTAACAAAGCCAACCATCAGTAACACACTATGCCGCCAGGGACTCAAATCCTGCAGTGCCTGCCAGACGTGTCCCCCTGCTTAAGCCAGTACATGTCCAGGCCCGTCTGAAGTTTGCTAGAGTGCATTTGGATGATCCAGAAGAGGATTGGGAGAATGTCATATGGTCAGATGAAACCAAAATAGATATTTTTGGTAAAAACTCAACTTGTCGTGTTTGGAGGACAAAGAATGCTGAGTTGCATCCAAAGAACACCATACCTACTGTGAAGCATGGGGGTGGAAACATCATGCTTTGGGGCTGTTTTTCTGCAAAGGGACCAGGACGACTGATCTGTGTAAAGGAAAGAATGAATGGGGCCATGTATCGTGAGATTTTGAGTGAAAACCTCCTTCCATCAGCAAGGGCATTGAAGATGAAACGTGGCTGGGTCTTTCAGCATGACAATGATCCCAAACACACCGCCCGGGCAACGAAGGAGTGGCTTCATAAGAAGCATTTCAAGGTCCTGGAGTGGCCTAGCCAGTCTCCAGATCTCAACCCCATAGAAAATCTTTGGAGGGAGTTGAAAGTCCGTGTTGCCCAGCGACAGACCCAAAACATCACTGCTCTAGAGGAGATCTGCATGGAGGAATGGGCCAAAATACCAGCAACAGTGTGTGAAAACCTTGTGAAGACTTACAGAAAACGTTTGACCTGTGTCCTTGCCAACAAAGGGTATATAACAAAGTATTGAGAAACTTTTGTTATTAACCAAATACTTATTTTCCACCATAATTTGCAAATAAATTCATAAAAAATCCTACAATGTGATTTTCTGGAGAAAAAAAATCTCATTTTGTCTGTCATAGTTGACATGTACCTATGATGAAAATTACAGGCCTCATCTTTTTAAGTGGGAGAACTTGCACAATTGGTGGCTGTCTAAATACTTTTTTTCCCCACTGTACTTTGTGCATGACACAAGCAATTTTTTCAACAATTGTCTACAGACAGATTATTTCACTTATAATTCACTGTATCACAATTCCAGTGGGTCAGAAGTTTACATACACTAAGTTGACTGCCTTTGAACAGCTTGGAAAATTCCAGAAAATGATGTCATGGCTTTAGAAGCTTCTGATAGGCTAATTGACATAATTTGAGTCAATTGGAGGTGTACCTGTGGATGTATTTCAAGGCCTACTTTCAAACTCAGTGCCTCTTTGCTTGACATCATGGGAAAATCAAAAGAAATCAGAATTTTTTTTGTAGACATCCACAAGTCTGGTTCATCCTTGGGAGCAATTTCCAAACGCCTGAAGGTACCACGTTAATCTGTACAAACAATAGTACGCAAGTATAAACACCATGGGACCACGCAGCCGTCATACCGCTCAGGAAGGCAACGCGTTCTGTCTCCTACAGATTAACGTACTTTGGTGCGAAAAGTGCAAATCAATCCCAGAACAACAGCAAAGAACCTTGTGAAGATGCTGGAGGAAACAGGTACAAAAGTATCTATATCCACAGTAAAACGAGTCCTATATCAACATAACCTGAAAGGCCGCTCAGCAAGGAAGAAGCCACTGCTCCAAAACCGCCATAAAAAAGCCAGACTACGGTTTGCAACTGCACATGGGGACAAATATCGTACTTATTGGAGAAATGTCCTCTGGTCTGATGAAACAAAAATAGAACTGTTTGGCCATAATGACCATCATTATGTTTGGAGGAAAAAGGGGGTGGCTTGCAAGCCCAAAAACACCATCCCAACCGTGAAGCGCAGGGGTGGCAGCATCATGCTGTGGGGGTGCTTTGCTGCAGGAGGGACTGGTGCACTTCACAAAATAGATGGCATCATGAGGAAGGAAAATTATGTGGATATTATGAAGCAACATCTCAAGACATCAGTCAGGAAGTTAAAGCTTGGTCGCAAATGGGTCTTCCAAATGGACAATGACCCCAAGCGTACTTCCAAAGTTGTGGCAAAATGGCTCAAGGACAACAAAGTCAAGGTATTGGAGTGGCCATCACAAAGCCCTGACCTCAATCCTATAGAATATTTGTGGGCAGAACTGAAAAAGCGTGTGCGAGCAAGGAGGCCTAATAACCTGACTCAGTTACACCAGCTCTGTCAGGAGGAATGGGCCAAAATTCACCGAACTTATTGTGGGAAACTTGTGGAAGGCTACCCGAAACGTTTGACCCAAGTTAAACAATTTAAAGGCAATGCTACCAAATAATAATTGAGTGTGTGTAAACTTCTGTGTATGAAAGAAATAAAAGCTTAAATAAATCATTCTCTCTACTATTATTCTGACATTTCACATTCTTAAAATAAAGTGGTGATCCTAACTGACCTAAAACAGGGAATCTTTACTAGGATTAAATATCAGGAATTGTGAAAAACTGAGTTTAAATGTATTTGGCTAAGGTGTATGTAAACGTCTGACTTCAACTGTATGGTGTTATTTCATGGGGCACTGAATAATAAGCCAGTATGAAAGAGAATTAGAGGATACACTGCTTCCAATTCAGAAATACCTGGCATTAAAGTATCTGGCAATGCATGGGGTTGTTGTGGTGGATGTGACACTAAACTATGCATTTTCTCATCAGTGCCCCCATTTTAGAAAACAGTCAGATGGTAGTAGTTGTGTTTATGTGTGCTTGTTTTCTAAAGCAGTCTTATTAGACCGCAATGTGAATAAGCTTTGTCACAATGGCATGCAAGACTATGTTTTACATTAGTTATCAGAAATGACTTAGTTGAAAGAAGTTAAGGTCTAAGGTTAAGGTTGAAGATTACAGCAGACTCGTGTAATGCATTTTAAACTGTAAAGAAAATGCCTTTGCTGACCTTGATAGATAATCATCACAGTATAACTTGTAAATAATCTAGTCTCTGTTATTGTTTTGGAAAATATAGTTCATAGGCCTATTCCTTTACCCTACACAATAGCTTTGAACATACCAGTATTGGTTTAAACCAGGGTTCTTCAATTCCGGTCCTGGAGGGCCAAACACCTCTGTTTTTCATCCTCTCCTTCTAATCAGGGGCTAATTCAGACCTGGGACACCAGGTGAGTGCAATTAACTACCAGGTAGAAATTAAAAACAGAAGTGTTTCGGCCCTCCAGGACCGGAATTGAAGAACCCTGGTTTAAACTCTCTAAAGAAATACTGGTATAAATAATACAATATTGAAAGTAAGTCAAATTATCATTTTTTAAAAAGGTGGTTGCACTAGAGTTAAAAAAATACAAATAAAGATTTTCCCTAGTTTAGCATGTCTTTGTAGGGGACTCAGATTTTTTGAAAAAAAATCTGTGATCGTGCTGCCAGCATATATCCTGCTGCCAGGAGAACAGTAATCAATATCGGTACACACTAGTGACTTGAATTATGTAATACATTTAAATAATAAAACAACATTCAAAAGAACAAACCCCCCTTGTCGTTATACAAGATATAAACCTCAGTAACAGTTAAACATTTATTTTGGGAGGTAGCCTATTTATTTTGTTACATTTGTCAAGCATCTAAAACAGACAGAAACAAATACACTTGTCATATAATTAGGCACGCCTCTCCATTGTTTTGTATGAAATTGCGCAAACTCCAAACATACAGTATCTCGGTGCTTGTTGGGATAGCACTTCGCTCTGGAGCCTTGGTCAGAGGCTATCGAAGGTCCTAATTAGCCCATACACCCTCGATCATTTTCACTCCCTCAGCTTTGGGACACTTGGGACGCCTTGGAACACGCGTGAACGAGCAAATGGTGGGGCGAGGTGCGAGGGGAAGGAGAAGGGGGTAATTTCAGATTCATCCTAAATTCTCTTACTTATTATTTGGTCTAAGAACGTTTCTATTCATTAACTCTAAAGTTAAGACTGCAAAACCATTATTGGTGAGTGATAACCACCCCAGCACCCTCTTGCGTTTTTTATTTTTATAAAACAGTAACCGCTTTAACTTCATAACTTGATTATGGATGGGGGAAAGAACAATCATATAAACTGTGGGTAAGTAAGTTGAAAATATACTGACAGAAATAACATTTCAAAGAAACGTATAAAAAAATGCAGCAAACTGTTCAGAAAAATGAATCTTCTCTCCGTTGGTCCTGTGTCAAACAGGGTTGTATTAGTGAGGTCTCTGAGCTTTGATGAGGAGGCGCATCTGACTCCTCCTTGACACATCATGTGTTCAATAGTCTGGACTTTTGGTACCTGCAATACCGTGTGTAAATATAGGTCAAAACCATTGGTAGAAATGTGAAAATACGTAATTCATGAAAACATTTGATTTAATGAAAAATGTAATGAAAATGTATTTATTTATAATTTCTATAGCTAATGCCATAGAGATCCTATTTAATTACTAGAGGGGGTATGTCATTGCAGCCATGTTGGTAAGTGAGAAATTCAAACCAGTCTAATTGGAATTAATGGCAGTAGAGGAATAATCCAGATTTTACTGCAGGTGGGGAAAAAGTAAGGCGTGTGATATATCAGACATTGTGTAATAGAAGTATTGTCACCCTAAAATATTGTCACCCTAAAATATTGTCAATAAATACAGTTTATATGGGTTTTATACAAATTTTCTGTATAAATAGCCTTTATAATATATGTAAACAGGCCATAAATGTCTACAAAAATATATTGGAATGCTTTGAGTGCTATTATACTATATGATACAATATCACCTACTTGTTGCACTTACAACTTGTCTAAGTCCCATCATCAACTGATTTGAGCCAGTGTATGGCTGTGGATTGACTGCATTTTTTGAATGGAATGTTGGCATATTGGCAGTTCATTTGAAAAAGTAATGGAATCATTCCTCTAAAACTGACTGGCTAGCTAGCTATCAAACATACAGTGCAGATAAATTCTTCAAATTCATTATTTTACACAATATTTTATCACAGCACAGTTAATAGGCATATGCCTTTACCCTACACAATAGCTTTGAACATACCAGTATTGGTGTATTTCCAAGGTTTAGTCGAATGTTGCCTCGGGTGATTTTGCATCATTTCTCTCAACAATCCGATTCCAGTGCATTTGCGGAGAGAATACAAAAGACCTACGCCTCTCCTGGAAGCTCATTGTAAGTCCTTCCTTGTGACAAAACAGTGGCCTGATTAGAACTCACTGCCGATTTTTGTCTGGACTAGGGGCTGCACATGCAGACCTAGCTAATTGGGTGAAATATTTAATAGTCCATAAAACCTAATAAAATGTTGCCAAAGCAGTATATGGATGGCAATATCAAATGAGTTCCATGATACAGCTAGCTACTTTAACAGAATTACCTGCCCGTGCCACCATGCAGTGCCAGTCCAATAAATTACACCATTCGACACCAGGGCAGCATTTACGCTTGGCTTGGGTACAGTAGTGCACCCTCTGACATGACCTCAACCTCAACTCTCCATCCTCCATCGGTAGTAGGTTTCAACCTCTGAAAGAACAGTAATTAAACCCAGCTTGCTCAGACATGCTGCTGAGAGAGCGCGGATTGCGTGCGAGGCTTTGCAAACCTTTCCATTCTTAACAAAGAAAGACGTTTGTTCCGACATTCTAATTTAGGTCACCACCAATGCCTTTCGTGGAATCTAAAAGATGTCCAATCTCTTGGGTTGGAAGAATCACGCCATCCTTGTTACCATGGGAAGCGCGAGAAGAACCTCCTCCTTGCCTGCAGCGTCACCAAAGCTAAATCTCGATTTTTGTGAAAAGGGGGACTGGGAGTTACTTGCGGTCAACGCACGGCAGAGTAGCCTAGGCTGCCAGCAGTAGTACACGCCATCCTATTAACCCTATCCGTTCTGCTTTCTTTGATTATTCGCCTATAAATAAAAAGAAAGCGTGTAAAAGACAAAGACGCACACAAACAAATACTTTCCTGCAGTTATTGTCTCATTTGGATTTAACGAAATTCAGGCACACGTAGGCTGATTATTTTCTTGTTGAACTGCTAGTAATTGTAGAATAGTCGTGCTTTTATGTTTAAATTACTAAGCATCCGTTTGCGCACATTCTGAAATTAGCCTGGCCTCACAGTCTCAATGGATTCTGTTGAAATAATGGAAAGTGTGTAATCGGCCACTGAAGGAGTTAATTTTATGTGTCAGACCCCTCCCATTATTGTCAGTCATCGTATTAATAATCGCACCACTAGAAGTGTCGCTATAAAGCTGGTTTTGGCGAGAGCCCGGGAAAAGTAGTGGTGCTGTCTCAGTGCGCGTGGTGCTGAAAGTGCCATCTGAAGTGATGTGGTCGGTATTTTTTTTCTTTCTGTCTTATCTGGACAGAAACTTTGTCAAGGGAGAATTCCCCAATTATTCCCTAGATGCAGAGAAACAGAGTAAAAATGTGTTTTTCATGCTCAACAGCACTTTCTGTGCCAAAATGTCAGGCATGGGGGGAAATTGCCTTTACCAATTGTCAGACGGAATTGAGGAAGTGCGCTCCGTGCATGACCCGGCGGGTAAACTGGTGGACTGCTCAGTAACCATCAACCAGATGCAGGTGAAGTCATTCATGCATGTGTGCAGATTGGGACTGAAGCACCAGAGAACCAACCCAGAAGATATGGAGTTGAGTTTTGCAGACATGACAGAAGCCAAATACAACTGTCAAGCGTTCCAGAGGACATCAAAGCGCACGACGGTCACCACGGAGAGGATAGCCGCACCAACCGCTCAGACACCGAAGGAGACGAGAGAGACTTCTGTCCACGAGGATGACAAGCAGGTGATACGGAGATCCAAGCGAGGATTCACTTATCCTGGAACCCTGTGGTGTGGAGCTGGCAACATGGCTGATAATTACGACCAATTGGGTAGGTTGTGTAATTGCGTTTGATGTTATTCTGTATTTTAGATACATGATTAACTATTCTGACCACATTTACTCATTCAACTGTTTCAACGGTGTTTTTTTTATATACATTCTCTGTTTGCAGGAGAGTTCGCGGCGACTGACAGTTGTTGCCGCGTTCATGACCACTGCCCCTACGTCATCCATGCGTTTTCCTCAAAATACGGCTACACCAATTTCAAGTGGCATCCCCTTAGTCACTGTGACTGCGATAATGCGTGAGTTGCCTACATTTACATTTACATTTACATTTACATTTACATCATTTAGCAGACGGTCTTATCCAGAGCAACTTACAAATTGGTGCATTCAATTTATGACAGCCAGTGGGACAACCACATTTTTTTTTGTGGGGGGGGGATAGAAGGATTACTTTATACTATTCCAGATATTCCTTAAAGAGGTAGGGTTTCAAGTGTCTCCTGAAGGTGGTCAGTGACTCCGCTGTCCTGGCGTCGTGGGGGAGTTTGTTCCACCATTGGGGTGCCAGAGCAGCGAATAGCTTTGACATTATACATTAGAGTTGAAACGCCTTTTTTTGAATGTTTTAATAGAATGTTATGAGCAAAATGCAATGCACTTGATCCATCAGTTTAAATAATCATTAAAAAATAATTAATAAATATACTGCTTCATACACTTGAGTAATTATGTTGTACAGTCAGAGGCTGAAACCAATTATATGATGTACTGCTGTCAAACCATCCAGACAGGCTATAGTAATCAGGAGTGGCTAATTTTCTCTTTGTCACACTGTCTGTGTAGGTTGAAGGAGTGTCTGAGGAAAGTCAATGACACTTCCTCCAGGGTGGTTGGCCAGGCTTTCTTCAATGTCATCGAGGTGCCCTGTTTCCAGTTCATATATGAAGAGCAATGTGTGGAGCGCCACTGGTATGGTGTGTAAGTACAGTATTTACTGTAGGTTCCAATAATGCGCGTATGTGAACTAGAATCTCTTGCAAATACAATACAAATACACAAATAATCAAAAAAATCTAACAAGAAATAACAATCCAAGCATTTTTAAGTGGCTTTATAGTACACTACAGGGAGCACATCTTAAACCTCTCTCCATCTCTCTTATCCACACAGGTGTAAAAAATATGACAAGCTCCCGGTTGCAGTGCCTAGAGAGTCCATCGCGTATGATTTCGGAGGTATTGAGGTTATTGACGTGCTGACCGTGGCTCCTCTGAAAGAGACAAAGAAAACAGGCACAGAGCAGGACAATCCTGAAGGCACAACACAGTCCACTGTGTCCGGCTCCCAGACCACTGGCCCCGAGGAGCCCTCCCTCAGGAACATGGTCACCGTCGCTGAGGACTTCATCAAATTTCTGGCCACCGTCTCCACCTCTCAGGGCTCGGCTACAGACACCGCCAAAGGAGAGACACAGACCTCAGAGAAGAAGAAGAGGAAGAACACTGCAGGGAAAAAGAAGAACAATAACAAGAAGAGGAAAGGAAAAGGAAAAGGGAGAAAGTGGAAGCAGAAAATCGACTCAGTCTCAAAAGGAGCAGAGGAGTCCTACCAAGTTAGTCGTACCAAAGCAGAGGAAGTTGTCAATAAGAGTAACTTTGTGAATGAGCCTGAGAATGTTGACCAGTTAAACAGAAATATCAACAGTTTCAGTGATGGTGAAATAGATCATGGAGGGAAAGAGGAGCTTTTTAATGATGTCATGAGAGATGAACCACGTGTAGATCAAGAAAGTGCTGCAGATGCCTCTGTCACCTCAGTCACTGCTGTCAAGAAGGAGCAGACAATGCTGGAAACTCCGGCTCTGACGGATCACACAGAAACAGCGTTTCTTTCTGCAACCACAGGCACACCCATTGTGACCACACAGAAAACCAAAAGGCAGAGGTCAAGAAAGGGGGAAGGGAGGAAAAAACAGAGCAACATAACACCAACTGTCACCCCTAAAGGAGTTGCACGCCATACCGCCATTAAACAGGACCTCCCAACAACCACAACAGAGAGCTCTGGCACCCCGACCGTCCCTACCAGCACTGCCATAATCTCTGCAGCACAGCCTGTGCAACAAAGGTTAGAGAGCCACAGTGAAAAGGGACCTGTTACGGCTACTGCCGGCACCCCCATTGTGACTTTTATCAAAAGCAAAAAGCACAGGTCAAAGGAGAGAGAGAATAGAAATAAAAGGAGGAAAATCACTTCCACTCTTCCCATGGTGGGGGTTACTTTCCCAAACCCCACTGAAGAGGATCTTGAAGTGATCACTACTGAGAGCACAAGTGCTCCAGCCGTCACCACCATCACTACTGTTAGCATTGCAGGGCAGCCAGTGTCACACAGACCAGAAGGTCACAATGAGAAGGGGTCCAATACCACTACGACTGTAACCTCAACTTTGAGTGAGACCAAAAGGCACAGGCCGAAAGAGAGAGAGGGAAGAAAGCGAAAGAGAAAAATAATTCCAACTCTTTTGGCTGAGGGCACATCTCTTCAGAATACCACTGAAGATGCCCTTCATACAGTCACTACTGACAGCACTGGTGTACTGAACATCCCCACAACCACCACTGTAGTCACTGCAGAGCAGGCTGAGACGCTAGCACCACAGAGCATAGAGAATCACAGTGAAAAGGGACATCTCACCACAACAGCCAGTGACCTCGTTGTGACTGGGAGAAGACAAGGATCAAAAGAGAGGGAGGGTAGAAAGAAAAGTAAAAAAGTGACCATACCCACTGTTGTCAAGGATGAGGTTCCTATCCATGATGACAATGAAACCAAACTTGAAGAAATAATGACGAGTACATGTCTGACACCCTCAGCGTCAGCAATCTCATCCAAAGTTGACGAAGTAGGAGAATTCAATCTACAGGAATCTGAGAACGTCAGAGAACAGGCCCTCTTCCCTGTGCAGACCAGCACACCCACTATAAGTCTGAAAAAATCCACTGTCCAGAAAACGGAAGAGAGAGTAGGTAGAAAGAAAAGGAGAAAACCACCACAATGAGACTCATACTAACAATGTTGCTAGTATAGAATGAAAGAGTGCAATGATGTCCTAGATGACTAGCCTAGCTCTTGACTATCAGAAAAACTTGCTATGCAGACTCAAACATATGTGTATTATGTGTTAGTCATCATTTTGTGTATGTTTTGTAAAATCAACATTTGTGCCACTATTCAACAGGAATTGAAACAAGTGAATGAAGGATCAGGATAATGTTTTGTAATATTGTATGTGAATTTAAACACCAATGATTAATAAAATATTGGAAAGAAGCATATATTGAGTGCAATGAATTCTAAAAGTGATGATTTCATTAATAACACATTCATTTTTGTGCATGTAGGCATATACTGTCCTGTACTCCCAAGACACAGCAGGGAATATTTAATACGGAAGAAATTAATTAATTCCAAGTTCAGGGAGTTGTCCATTTCATCTGCTTAGCCGTAAACGGATTACTTTTACTTTTCTGCAAACAATGCTTGCAATATTGTATACACAGACAGACTCCAAGCCAAGAAAGCTGAGCCTTCTTCCAGGTTTAAATACTATTTCCTTTGTTCTGTGGGGGACTTTGGACCTCTAGTCCCTTCCAATGCGATATAAGGCATTGTGATGAAAGGGGTCACATTCTTAAAAAAGGATTAGGTGCTCACTATGAACTCTATTCTCCCCACCTAAATGAGGGTTGTAAGACCCTGTAACACTGAGGCTCAAATCCCTCAGCTGATTCTCACATGCTACTCTGAGGAGTTTCACAGAATGAGATGTACATACTATACTGTCACTTACTGTACAGACACAGATGTATAGAATAAGTTATGTAATTACGTCCAGCAGTTAATGGAAGGTGCACATTCTTTTTTTGTATTTCCCACTTACAGACTGAAAACACCAGCTAGGATAATAGTAAAACAGTTGGACACTTCAGTAAGCAGTGACTGGAATTCAAAGCTTAATAACAAAGAGGACTTTCATGCTACTGACCGTGTTCCAGACTGGGACAGAGTGGGGGGTGCTGCTGGGGGACAGAGTGGGGGGTGCTGCTGGGGGACAGAGTGGGGGGGTGCTGCTGGGGGACAGAGTGGGGGGTGCTGCTGGGGGACAGAGTGGGGGGTGCTGCTGGGGGACAGAGTGGGGGGGTGCTGCTGGGGGACAGAGTGGGGGGTGCTGCTGGGGGACAGAGTGGGGGGTGCTGCTGGGGGACAGAGTGGGGGGTGCTGCTGGGGGACAGAGTGGGGGGTGCTGCTGGGGGACAGAGTGGGGGGTGCTGCTGGGGGACAGAGTGGGGGGTGCTGCTGGGGGACAGAGTGGGGGGGGTGCTGCTGGGGGACAGAGTGGGGGGGTGCTGCTGGGGGACAGAGTGGGGGGTGCTGCTGGGGGACAGAGTGGGGGGGGTGCTGCTGGGGGACAGAGTGGGGGGTGCTGCTGGGGGACAGAGTGGGGGGGTGCTGCTGGGAAACAGAGTGGGGGGTGCTGCTGGGGGACAGAGTGGGGGGGGGTGCTGCTGGGGGACAGAGTGTTTAAGCAGTACTGGCAACGTAGTAGGCTAGTTGGATCTGAGACAAAGTAGAATCATTTCTCACCTCATACCACATAATATTAAATAATCTGCTTTGTCAGTGTTTTTCAATGGTCTTTTGAATGGAATCATACTGTATTTTGTATGGTCTGAGTACTTGAGAGGAACAATTGTTCTCAGTTGGCAAAGAAACAAGAGAGTTCTGTATTTTACATTTTTATGAAGGAAAGGCATTCAACAATGCTAACATACCACTTTAATTAGTACTGCAGGCTGGCACTGATAGATCTCTTTTCTTTGTTATGGACTCATTTTGTTTGTGGAACATGATGAATACTGAAAATAACTGACACTGTTCTTACATGAGTTGAATTCAACTACAGGAAGTGAATTTGATAGATTTAAAATACATTAATATGGGTTAAATACATTGATAAAGGATAACATTTAAGTGTACTGTATATTACGGGACAGTAGCTGTAATGTGAATATGCTGATGTAGCACAGTAAGCACAGACCACATGTTTCAGTTGGCAATGCATTTAAAAATACTAAAAACATTCAAAATAATACAATTAGTAAAAGTGCTTGAGGTCCTATACCTATTTTGTTCAACACTTCCAAGTAATACTGTCAATGTTCTTCATTGTGTTACACACAGAGTAGACATAAAGCCTGTATAGCTACTGTAGGCTAAAGCCTATACCCAGTCAGCTCTCAGGCAATACACTAAGCAGCAACTGGATATCAAACCAGAAACTTACAAGATAGTCATTAAAATGGCCTAAGACCCATGTGACAAAGATAAAATGGTATAGATATAATATACATGGTACTACAAATAGCCTTTTCAAACCCCTACTGAGAGATGGTTAATATTCATATAGCATATGTTACAATAACCTCAGGTGTGATTCAGAAAGAAATAGTTTTCATTGGTTTTTGTTGCATCACATGCATTTTAAGTTAATACGGTTAAAACCTGGTTTAAACAAGGCATGCAGTTTTCATTGTTTCTAGTACATTCCACTAAAATTGCAATTGAGGAACAGTGCTACCAAAGAAGTGATAATCAACCAACCATTTTCTTTAGGTGAATTTGAAACAAACCACTGTTATCAAATACATTTTTCACGTGCAATTCAGTCATCAATGTTGGTCACCATCATCTTATCCTTCAATGTGACCAACTGAAGCGGTGAAGTGTATGCAGTATTATATAATGAGTCCAGTTCATATACAGTACAGTAGGGGTGAGTAACAGTGGGCTCGGGAGAAAGAAAGTCTCCTCTGGACCTAGCGATCCATCTCATCCAGCAGCGGTGTGGCGTCTCCAGCGAGGGACATGGGCGTGCTCTCGATCATGGGGCTGGGAGAAGGTCGTGGGGTCATTCTGGGCCTCGTCTTCTTGCGCTCTGCTTCTTTCTCCTGGAGCCACTGCTCGGCCATCTTTCCCCAGTCCACCGCTGTGTGGGAAGTTGCCCTGATGGTTGGGAGCAGGGAGAGAAGATAACTCACTATTTACTTACTCACACACAATCTAGCAGTTGTATGCTTCCTGAACAATTAGAGGCAAGTTATCTGCTGTTGGAAACTTCCGTAAGTACCCAGCTACATACATGGACCATAGTCTCGCCATTTGAATTACCCAAATTGAAATAGTTTCTCTATTTGGATAATTCTGTCTAAGAGCTAGTTTTGAGAGGTGACTTACTTTGGTGTTGGTGTCCTGTGGTGGCGGGAGGAGGATGTTGATGATGGTGTGGAGGAAGGGCGGTGTCCATGTCCGTGTGATCCGTGTGAGGACTGGGGAGTGCTGCTGGGGTACTGGGGCGTGGTGATAGTCTGCTGCTGGCTGGGGGTGGGTGTGGTGTACGAATAGCTGGGCGTCAGAAGGGGAGTAGCAATGGGCTGCTGAGCTGGTGTGGCAAACACCTGGGACAGAAAAAATAAAGTTGAAGGGCTCATGTTGAACAGAAATATGAAAAACGGATAGAGATGAAACTCAAATGTTTTTGTGATGACATTCAGATATACAGTAAGCGACTGTGTATTCCAAACCTACGTGATAGGCGCTACTGCTGCCCCCTCCGCCGCTGCTGCCCCCTCCACCGCTGCTGCCACCAGTGTAGCCATACTGGCTGGATGCCCACCCGGCAGGTGTGGTGTTGGGGTTCTGGCCCTGGCCCGTTACCGCGGCAATGGCACTGAACATCTGAGAGGTCATGTTCTGAGGGAGGGCGTTCACTGCACGAGTCAGATCTGAGTGACAGACACACAGGGTATACACAACACATACAACTTTATACATTAGGAGAAGATTAAACAGAGAAACTGTTACTTAAAAGTCCTTCAAATGTTGATGATTCCAACCTTAGGATGCATGAAATGTTAAAAACCAATTAAGGTAACATACAGTATATTATAGCCATAGAAATCCTTGGGAGTGAGTATACACAGTAACTGACCTAGGGCCTGACAATACCAGTATCGCGATACTCGTTAGTATCGTGGCAAGGAAACAAAACATGAAGCAGATTTAACTTCTTTAGGAAAACAGCCCTGATGTTGGAAACAAACATCATTATGTTGTCATTCAGAGTCACATTTATTTATTTACCAAGCTATAGCACACAATATTTTACATACAGCAGGTTTTTAAAGGACCAAAGTGTCACGACTTCGGCCGTGGGTGATTGTTTATTTGTGAAGGTTAGTGAAGCTTGGTGGAGCTCGTGTATTTTGTTCGACGGGAGTATTTTCCTGTGTGCCTTGTATTTTCCAGTGCACCTTGTATTTTCCAGTGCACCTGTTTTGTGCCCTGGAGTGTGTTTGATGCAGTTCTGCATAAACCTGTATTTTGCGGATTAAAGCCTGTTATTCTGTGATTTACCCTCCTGCGCCTGACTCCTTCAACACCACCTCATCAAACAAAGAGTTTTGTCTGCTTCGTGTTTTCATTTTTGCCATGGAAAAAATATGGCGATACTGGTATCGTCCTGGCCTTAAACTGACCTGCAATGTTAATATTGGCTGGCGTGGCATTGATAGAGGCTGGGGTTCGTGTTCTACTGCTGCTGCTGGGAGTAATCCCTGTAGGAGAAATACCAAATATCAGATAACAGAAGTGATCCACCATTAGAACATGATTACCCTGGACTGTAGGTTTCATTGTGAGGCATTTCTAAGGCAGCATTCTGTGTAGGCTCTGACCTGCCACTGGCTCCTGGAAATGGTCTTTGAACCAGCGGAAGAGTCCATTGACTGTGGGAAAAATGTGGCCTCTGTATCTGAACCCCTCAGGCGTGACAGTCACAAACTCAACCCTGCATGCCAGAGAAAAGTAATGACATTCTGATTATGACATTATAACAATGACATTACATTACATTATGTGACATTACATTACAACATCACAGTACAGTACTTTATGAAGGTTCACTTAACAGTGATGATTACTGTGGATACATGTGACAAACCCTCCTGAGCGAGAGGTAAGTAAGGGTTAATGTTTATGTTCATGTCCTTTCATGTCTCTAAACAAGCACCAATAATCACTCTTGCTCTTGACAGGCAACAGCGGCTGAGACAAACAGGCGCTTCATGCTTCCCCTACTGTCCTGACACACATTCTGGGTTTGGGTTTGGGGGTGAGGCAATTCCATTTCCAACACAAGAGCATTTTTCTTTAGGGTGTCAATTGCACATGGAAATAAATGAAGCCAAGCGCATCTCCAGCATTTCTATATCTATGCAAATTCATGCATCGTATGAATGGGTGTTGATTTGAATGACAAAGGCAGCGGCTAGTGTGGTTGGCAGTCCTGAGGTAACCTTGGTTTTCCGCGGGGCTGGTAACCGAGCAGAAACTTCCCTGGCAGCTCTCTACAGGCAGACACATAGTAGGGGATGAATGTAGGCTTCTCCTTCTTGCTTTTCACCAAGACCTCCTCCATTTTCTGCAATTCAAAAACAGGGACGGCAGCTGATGATCAATCGAAGAGAATTGAAAAGGTTTCTATCCCACCTGTCTCTTTGAAACTATTATTCTCTCTCTCTCCCAAACACACACACACTGGCAGATAGATGGATACACACATAAATACACATTCATACACAATGATACTGTGAATTGAAAGAAAGTATATCCTTGTTCCTACCTTTCGGTCTCCACCATTGCATTCTTGAAAATACTTGTGACCAAGCAGATCACGAGCAAACGCAGCCATTGGTTGAATGTATCTGGCTGTGATTTCATCCAGATCTTCAAATTCCTGAGAAAAAGGTGAAACACATTGGTTTCGTGCCAAATGGCACCTTATTCCCTACATAGGGCACTACTTTTGTGGATTATATAGGGAAAGGGTGCCATTTTGGACACACCTATTTATATTCATACAGGCATATACTGCTTCATAATGAAGAAGCCTGTGAATGGAGCTGACCTCAGTGTTGATCCACAGGGTATGTCCCAGGCTGAAGGCGTTCTCCTTGCCCTCCTCTCGTACGTCAATGTGCTGGTAGATACCATCAGCAACCTTCCAAGTAACAGTCAGGTGGTTCTCTCCCTTACTGCTGGGCCTGATGATCACATCTCCCTGGTCCATGGACTCCATCATCTTCTCTGCCTGCTTGAAGTTGATGTTATGGAACGATGGGTGGGCTATCACCCTCTTGATGTAGGCTATAGGGAGTGGAAAGCTGTATTTTAGCGTTTGGTATTATATTGTTAGGGCTGGTTTCCCAGACACAGATGTAGCCTAGACCTGGACTAAAAACCTTTTTAAATTGAAAGTTTCCAATGACCATGCTTCTGATTCCAGGACTAGGCTTAATCTGTGTCCCGGAAACCAGCCCAAAATCTACTCTTACTACCATTACCAAAATCAACCAATAATAAAAGATGAATCCAAAATGTAATTTTATCCATTTATCAATTCCAGCTATGTTCTCCATCTAGAGTTGTACAGTAAGCTCTCAGACAGGTACACACTTGTTCTCTGCTGTTTCTTCTTGGCCTCCTCCTCCTGCTTCACATCCTCTGTCTCAGTGTCAAAGTCGTAGTAGGTGTCCTTGGGAAGCTTCCACTCGTTGTTCTTATCCGACAGGTCTGACGTCCGACAGGTCAGATCCACACTGAGCTTCTCAATGTCAATCTTCATGATCCTGCAGTGCACTGTCATGCCCACCTACAGCAAGTTAAAGTGTTATATGACTTTGGTAATTCACTGTTCGTTATACTGAAATCGAGATATATTTTTTGGGAAACTACAGTGATACCTTAACCCTTTCTTCAGGGTGCTTGACCACTTTGTCACTGAGGAACTTGGTGGGGATAAAGCCGGTGACTCCGTTGTCCATGCGACAGCGGACCCCAATAGCTTGGCCAGGGCAGGAGCCACTGTCAAAATGATTCCACACCTGCCAGAGAAAACAGAGGCTATGTCAGACTTTGTTGATCAAAAAGACAGCTGTGGCCAATATAACTATAGCAACAAATAATAATCTAGGAACTTAAAACCCATAACCCACCACTCTTCAGATGGGCTGTCACTCACAGAGCAGCAGAATATGGAGCATATCAGATTCTCACCTCGCTGAGCTCAGGGAAGTTATCCTGCTGACAGAAAGGACACTGCCACAGACCTGTCTCATCATTCCTTATGGCCTGGTCATAACTCTCCCCCTGGGGGCGCCGGTGAGCAATGCCTGTCACCACACTGGTGATCAGTTTACCTAGAGAACCACGAAGACAGACAGACCGAGACCATGAAAACAGTGTTGAGATACCAATAAGGGAGTTATACATGTTTTCTACTATGTCCACATTGGGGCTGTGACTCCCTGCACCAAAAAAGCATGGTAGTGTGTGTGTTAACCCATCACTTTGAAAGAGATATCAATGAGGCCCTGGTTGAGAAGGAACGGTACGTACCAATGTAGAAGGTCTCTGGTGTCTCCTTGGTGAGCAGGTTGAAGATCTCCTCTGTGTTAGGTCCTCTGTAGGTGGACCTCAGGTCTTTGTACCTGCAGCTCAGCTCAGCACGGATGTCATACAGGGTGATGCCCTTGTTACCATAGCCCTGTGGACACAGAGAGTCTCAAACAGTGAGCACTAGAATGTCCTCAGATCAGGAGGAGTATGCAAGCTCTTTATACCCACCCAGAGAAGGACAACGGATGTGTTCCAAATGGCACCCTATTCCCTATATAGTGCACTACTTCTGGGACGCAACCTACATCTCCCACACTGACCTGTCTTTCCAGCTCCTCAGCAAAGGCGTCCAAGTCCAGGTCTTTGAGCCGCTCCGGGTTTTCCAGGATCTCCTCCAGTGCTCCGGCCGGGTTGGCGTCCTCCGCTGACTCGTCATACTCCAGAGCATCCACGGCCATCTTCCTGGCCCACTCGTAGGTCTCTGGGTGCACCCGCGACCCGTCCAGAACCTCAATATAGGAGTCAGTACTGCAGGTAGGGAGAGACACTTGATGTCAATGATTCAGTTATTTAGTGAATTGGCTGTGTGATGATGTCAATAAAAGTAGTTTTGTCAAGTTATTCAATGTTATGAGTTAAATTTCAAATAAAAATATGGTTTTTAGTCTCAGAAATGTTCTGCAGTATTGCATGAATGACCATGCCCAATGTTCTGAGACCGACCTATCTCCAAGAGAAGCTGTGTCAATCTTGATGAAACCAGCGCAGTTGATGAAGACCTTTGGGCCCATGTGACACATGGTGACCAGCTGAGTGCGGTTTTCCAGACGAGTGTTATTTTGCTTCAGGATCTGGAAACAGAGATGGATAAATGTACATGTAAAAGTATCTGTTCAGAGGTCAGTACAGTAGAGCAGTGGTTCCCAAACTGTGGGGCGCGCAGGGTCCGGCTTTAAACTTACTCTTGAAAGTTGTAATAGTAGAATGCCCAAGGTGCAATTTTGAGTAGTGCATCATCAGTTTTTCTCTTGTCATGTCAGTCATTGCATACCTTAGAGAGCTATATATAACTTGTCAGAAAAGTCCAGATCAACTAGCCCATGTCAGATAAAGTTTTTTTAGCCCATAGATTTTGTTGTAATGTTTGAGTCACTCAAATATCACATGAATACACATTAGACATGGCAAAATGTATAGAATTGCAAGAAAATTAGCTTTAAACCTGCAAAATGTTCTCTCTGCCAGCAAGAGGGGTGTGAACAGTTCGTGTCATGAACAGTGCTTGTGCCCATAGAAATAGACATGACGTGCGCGCGTGCTAGAGGGGGAGTGGGATGTTCCACAATGCTGGAAGGGGGGCCTGAGTGAAAAAGTTGAGGAACCCCTGCAGTAGAGTACTGAGATACTATAATAATAAAAACATAATGGTACATATTGCTACTGTATATTGATCAATTCTATCTGGTAACACTTGGTATATTGTTGCTTTTATATCTGTTTAGTAACACTGTAATTACATTGTATTAACATGTTGGCAATCTAGATGCCTTATGTGATCTATGTCTTACCCTGAGCAGGTGGGATCCCTTCCTGGGCCCCAGGCCACAGACGTACTGCACCAGGCTCTGGGTGTAGGGGTGGGCCATGGCCCGGTTCACATCCACACCCACTTCATTCACCCGGTTGATGAACTCACAGTACAGAGCATTCAGCAGGTCCTCCTTCACTACATGCTCCTGTGTGGGAAGCAGACAGAATAGTCAGACTCACTTTTTACAGACACATTGATTCACAGACTTTGATTCAAACCAGACTATGATTACCATGTACAGTCAACTAGACTTGCTACTGCATTTGGGTGATTCCACGCCAGCATGGCCCGAAAATATTTATGTTATCACAGATGGTTCTGGGAATTCTCACAAAAACTTCATTTAGAGGAAGGATGTTTAACATGCTTTTTACATTTGTATCACAAACAATTTTTTATAACCTTTTTAGGCCCTTTTAAGACCTATACCTGCCTCCTGTAAGACCCTATGATCCGTGAACTGTACATGTTACAGACAACATCTTGGTGTTTGGAACAATATACTCTTCAAACACATCAAATTTCAAGAGTGGGCTCTGATAATTTTGAAGAAATTATTCATTTTATACATTGACATTATAGGTCAGTAACCAATCACAGCTAGGGCTGTTACGGTGACCATTTTACCGCCACACCGGCTGTCACGAGTCATGACCGTAGTCAAATTCCACGTGACCGTTTAGTCACAGTAACTAGGCTTCTCCAAGCTCTGATGCTGCTGATGGTCATTAGTAGCCTACCAAACCTGCTAACTGCCTGGTACGCAGCACTCTATTGTCCCTCTAACCACTCTGAGATCAATGCAAATGTTATCGAAAATCTAATCAAACACTTCATGAGTGCCCATGAGCTCATGTTGCGCAACATTTCTATAGGCTATGCAATTGCGTGAGAAAACAGAGTTTTGATGGCCTCTATTAAAAAGAGGAGGTTCCCATCAGCTTTCTATAGGCTAGGCCTACTATATTTATTTCTCAACATTCCTAATATTAAGCACATTGCTTTGCTTTACAACAGGAGTATAGCCTACCTAGCTGGCATGAAAATAAACCATGGGAAAAGCGTCCTCCATTCGTTATTTAAGTGCATAGATTACATGTATTTTTTACCCCCTGCCCCTGTTCCAAAACAGGTGCATGACAATGGTCCATTCTAAATCAAAACTAATTTCACACATACAGTATATTATTTTGTATATGTAAAGACAATATAAAATTATGAATAGTCTGAAGGGTGACAATATTAGCCTATCACTTGTGAATTTTGTATTATCACTTTTGAATGATGCCCAGCTTGTGCAGTAAGGCAGGAAACAGCACATGCCTTTTTTTGTGTGACTTTTTCAAATCATAGTCACACACCTCATGTAGCCTAGTCCATAGGCCTGTATGTTCTGATAAGGTTTGTATCACAACTTAAGTGACCAAATTTCTTCTTAAAATTAAGCATATTAATACGCTTTACAACTGGTGTAGTCTAACTGGCATACATAGGCGGCGTGTGAGTTTCAAGTTTGGAGAAGATAATTTTCACCATAGAAATGCACCTTTATAATAAAGCATTACATGCATAATCTCATTTGCGGTCACTTTTGAGAACAGTGTTTTCCGGCTAATTGATTGCATTTTGGAACATTTGCGCTTATAGCCTACTGCGCTTATAATGTGAAGAATAGCCTAATAGTTTATAAACATTTTAAGATAAACACTGATCTGTTGCATTGCTTTTAAAAGTTATTTTGATGCGAGTGGTTGTATTATACTGAACAAAAATATAAATGCAAGATGCAACAATTTCAATGATTTTACTGAGTTAAAGTTCATTTGAGGAAATCAATCAATTGAAATGAATTCATTAGGCCCTAATCTATGGATTTCACATGACTGGGAATACAGATATGCATATGTTGGTTACAGATACCTTTAAAGAAAATGGGCCTCAAAATGTACCTCAGGATCTTGTCGCAGTATTTTTGTGCATTCAAATTGCCAATCGATAAAATGGAATTGTGTTCATTGTCTGTAGCTTATGCCTGCCCATACCATAACCCCACCGCCACCATGGGACACTGTTCACAATGTTGACATCAGCAAACCGCTCACCCACATGACGGCGTACACATGGTCTGCGGCTGTGAGGCTGGTTGGATGTACTGCCACATTCTCTAAAACAACGTTGGAGGCGGCTTATGGTAGCGATATTAACATTCAATTCTCTGCCAACAGCTCTGTTGGACATTCCTGCAGTCAGCAGGCCAATTGCACGCTCCCTCAAAACTGAAAACATCTCTGGCATTGTGTTGTATGACAAAACTTTCCATTTTAGAGTGGCCTTTTATTTTTATATTTTTTTGGGGGTAGATCAGCTTAATATTGCAGATAGATTGTAACTTCTATCAATGTAATTGTCTGCATCACTTCCAATCCCCTGTGTTTTTTTTATATATATACTCCCCTTTATTACTTTTCAACCCAGCCATCCTTTCTCTACTTGGGGTAAATTAGTGAACAACAATGCCCAGGCCTCTACTTCCAGCCTATGCTTACTATCTACACCTTATGGACACAGTCAATTTTACAATAATTCTATTTTATTTGTGTTTTTTGTTTTTGCTCCTGAACTTCTTCTACTCTCAACCTCTCCGATCATTTTCATGATGTCCATCCGGTTTGCTTCTATATGCCATATCTTTCTAACTGTGCTCTTTCCCAAAAGCTCCCAACATACAACCTATATACTTATTATGGACACAGTATGCTTACATTATTAGTTATCTTGTTATTATTTGTTGTTATTTGTTATTAGTCCCATCCTTCAACTCCATTCAACACCTCCCATCTATCTCTTAACACCATCCATATATGATTTCTATTTGCCATATACATTTCAACCGTACTGTGATGTTTTACAAAAGTTCTGAACCTTTCAATTCTCATTGCTTCTACAGATTGTGAATTAAAAATAAACATTTTTGCTAAAAGTATTATTATATTATTGATCGATTGACTATGACTTTTCAGATCTCCCAGTAATGCTATCTGCAAGGTTAGCTCCAGGTAAATATTGCAATCCTTTAGCCATTCCTGGACCTGTGTCCAAAAACAAGCTACAAATGGACAGAACCAAAACATGATTCTGTCTCTTCACAGCAAAATCTGCAGAGCTGGGAAGATTGTATTCCCCATATAAATAACATTCTATTGGTAGCAAGAATTTTATATAATAATTTAAATTGAAAGATTCTAATTTTTGATTCCGGTGTCGTTTTGCGTGTCAGTTCATAAACACTATGCCATGGGATCGGTACGTCAAAAATCTCTTCCCAACTATTTTGCAATCTATATGGGACGGCTGTCAATCCTTTGGTCCTTAAGTGAAACTGATATACTTTTGTATTTATCACAGTTTTCCTTAACCAATTATGTTCTTTTATGCAAGGCCGACAGACAAGTTCCTTACTTTCTGCCCCTTCCACTTTCCTCTTCCACTTTTGCGGTAAGGCTGCAATTATTTGGTTGTAATTTTGTGTAGAGCAGACATTTCCATATGTTTTTGTTAGCTGCATGTGCGACATAACTCCACCAGTACTACCGATGATATCATTTATGAAGATTATACCTTTTTTAAACATTCTGTAAAAAAATAAAGGTTTTTTGTCAATTAGTATATTTGAATTTAACCACAATATTTGTTGCATTATTTGTTCTGTCGTTTCTGGAGGATTAAATTGAAATTGCAACCAACTTTCTATGGCTTGTTTTAGAAATAGTGATATTTGGGAGATGATTTCCTTTTCAAATAACTGAAAATGAGTTGTTGTAATCTGAATAAAGGGAAAAAGGCCATTCTTGAACATTGGGTGAGACAATCTTACTAATTTGCTTGAGAACCAGTTCGGATTTAAGTATAACTTTTGTATGACTGAAGCTTTTAGTGATAGGTCTAATGCTTAAATATTAAAAAAAAATTCTGTCCTCCGAATTCATATTAATTATATAAATAGGCCCTTTTAATTTTGTCTGGCTTGCCGTTCCAAATAAAATTGAATATTTTTTTCTCATATAATTTAAAAAACTGTTCGCTAGGCGTAGGCAAGACCATAAGTAAATAGGTAAACTGGGATAATACTAAAGAGTTAATCAGGGTGATTTTTCCACAAATTGACAGGTATTTACCTTTCCATGGTAGTAAGATCTTATCTATTTTTGCTAACTTTCTATTAAAATGTATTGAAGTGAGATCATTTATTTCCTTTGGGATATGTATTCTGAGTATATCCACATCACCATCAGACCATTTTATTGGTAAACTACATGGTAATGTAAAAATTGTACTTTTTAGTGATCCAATACGTAATTGTCATAATTTGGTTGTAATCCAGAGAGGTTAGAAAATGTATCTAGATCCTCTATGAGGCTGTGGAGGGATTCTAGTTGTGGATTTAAAAGAAAACATGAATCATCAGCGTACAATGACACCTTTGTTTTTAAGCCCTGGATTTCTAATCCTCTGATATTATTATTGGATCTGATTTTAATAGCTAACATCTCGATGGCCACAATAAATAGATATGCCGATAGTGGACAACCTTGTTTCACTCCTCTTGACAGTTTAAAACTTTCTGAGAAATAGCCATTATTTACTATTTTACACCTAGGGTTACTATACATGATTTTGACCAGTTTTATAAGAGATTCTCCAAAATTGAAATGCTCCAGGCATTTATATACAGTGGGGGGAAAAAGTATTTAGTCAGCCACCAATTGTGCAAGTTCTCCCACTTAAAAAGTTGAGAGAGGCCTGTAATTTTCATCATAGGTACACGTCAACTATGACAGACAAATTGAGAAGAAAAAAATCCAGAAAATCACATTGTAGGATTTTTAATGAATTTATTTGCAAATTATGGTGGAAAATAAGTATTTGGTCACCTACAAACAAGCAAGATTTCTGGCTCTCACAGACCTGTAACTTCTTCTTTAAGAGGCTCCTCTGTCCTCCACTCGTTACCTGTATTAATGGCACCTGTTTGAACTTGTTATCAGTATGAAAGACACCTGTCCACAACCTCAAACAGTCACACTCCAAACTCCACTATGGACAAGACCAAAGAGATGTCAAAGGACACCAGAAACAAAATTGTAGACCTGCACCAGGCTGGGAAGACTGAATCTGCAATAGGTAAGCAGCTTGGTTTGAAGAAATCAACTGTGGGAGCAATTATTAGGAAATGGAAGACATACAAGACCACTGATAATCTCCCTCGATCTGGGGCTCCACGCAAGATCTCACCCCGTGGGGTCAAAATGATCACAAGAACGGTGAGCAAAAATCCCAGAACCACACGGGTGGACCTAGTGAATGACCTGCAGAGAGATGGGACCAAAGTAACAAAGGCTACCATCAGTACCACACTACGCCGCCAGGGACTCAAATCCTGCAGTGCCAGATGTGTCCCCCTGCTTAAGCCAGTACATGTCCAGGCCCGTCTGAAGTTTGCTAGAGTGCATTTGGATGATCCAGAAGAGGATTGGGAGAATGTCATATGGTCAGATGAAACCAAAATATAATTTTTTGGTAAAAACTCAACTCGTCGTGTTTGGAGGACAAAGAATGCTGAGTTGCATCCAAAGAACACCATACCTACTGTGAAGCATGGGTGTGGAAACATCATGCTTTGGGGCTGTTTTTCTGCAAAGGGACCAGGACGACTGATCCGTGTAAAGGAAATAATGAATGGGGCCATGTATCGTGAGATTTTGAGTGAAAACCTCCTTCCATCAGCAAGGGCATTGAAGATGAAACGTGGCTGGGTCTTTCAGCATGACAATGATCCCAAACACACCGCCCGGGCAACGAAGGAGTGGCTTCGTAAGAAGCATTTCAAGGTCCTGGAGTGGCCTAGCCAGTCTCCAGATATCAACCCCATTAGAAAATCTTTGGAGGGAGTTGAAAGTCCGTGTTGCCCAGCGACAGCCCCAAAACATCACTGCTCTAGAGGAGATCTGCATGGAGGAATGGGCCAAAATACCAGCAACAGTGTGTGAAAACCTTGTGAAGACTTACAGAAAACGTTTGACCTGTGTCAATTGAGAAACTTTTGTTATTGACCAAATACTTATTTTCCACCATAATTTGCAAATAAATTCATTAAAAATCCTTCAATGTGATTTTCAGGAAAAAATGTTCTCATTTTGTCTGTCATTGTTGACGTGTACCTATGATGAAAATTACAGGCCTCTCTCATCTTTTTAAGTGGGAGAACTTGCACAATTGGTGGCTGACTAAATACTTTTTTCCCCCACTGTATAAACCCCAGTCGTACTTTATCAAATGCCTTTTCGAAGTCTGCTATGAATAGCAGGCCTGGTTTCCCATATTTTCCATAGTGTTCTATTGTTTCCAATACTTGCCTTATATTATCTCCAATGTATCTTCCATGTAAAAAACCTGTCTGATTAGAATGAATAATATCCGACAATACCTTTTTAATTCTATGCGCTATACATTTTGCTCGACTTTTTGCATCACAACACTGAAGTGTAAGGGGCCTCCAATTTTTTAAATGGACTGGATCTTTATATTTTCCACTTGTATCCTGTTTCAGTAATAATGAGATCAGACCTTCTTGAGTGTCAGATAATCTACCATTTACATAGTAGTGGTTAAAACAGGCTAATAACGGTCCTCTTAGTATATCAAAAAAGGTTTGGTATACCTCGACTGGTATGCCATCCAACCCTGGAGTTTTCCCGGACTTAAAGTATTTAATTGCATCCAGAAGTTCCTCCTTTGTAATTTCACCTTCACATGAGTCTTTCTGTATGGCTGTTAATTTGACATTATCAATAGAAAAAAAATCTCTACAATTAGCTTCAGTTAGAGGAGATGGAGGCGACTGAAAAGAAAACATATGCTTAAAGTACTTTGTTTCCTCCTTCAAAATATCATTTGGTGAATCATGGGTGACTCCATCAATTGTAACCCGTTTCATGAAGTTATTTTTGGTAGCATTCCTATGTTGAAGATTAAAAAAGAATTTTGTGCATTTTTCCCCATATTCCATCCAGTTTGCTTTATTTTTATAATATATTACACTTGATCTTTCTTGAATAAGTTTCTCCATTTCTATTAGTTTTTCCTCTAATTTATTCTGAGCCTCTATGTTACAATTTTTATTGCCATCTATCTGTTCTGTTAGACTTTCTATTTCCTTTGTTAGTATAAACTCTTTTGACCTACATTCGAGATGAGTACTGAATTGCATGGCCTCTAAAGGCACATTTAAAGGTGTCGCATACAATAAGGGGATTTGCTGTACCTATGTTATGTTGGAAAAAGTCAGTTATAAATTCCTTTGGTCTAATTATAAATAAACTATCATCCAATAGGCTTTGATTAAATTTCCAATATCCTCGCCCACGTGGAAATTCAGTAAGAGTAATGTATATGCCAATTATATGATGGTCCGACCGCATTCTGTACCCTATCAACACTTTTTAAACTTTTGGTGCCAACGAGAATGAGATAAGAAAGAAGTCAAGACGACTAGCTTGATTGAGTCTCCGCCATGTATATCTCACTAGATCAGTATATTTAAGCCTCCATATATCTACTAGTTCTAATGTATCCATGACATTCACAATTTCCTTAAGAGCATGTGGGTGATTGTTTGTGGTGTGATTTCCTTTACGGTCCATTGAGCTATTTAAAACAGTATTATAATCCCCCACCATAATAATATTGTCTTGAATTGCTTGCAGGGTTGATAATTTATTATATATATTGTCAAAGAATTGTGGATCATCATTATTTGGTCCGTAAAGGTTAATGAGCCATATCTGTTTATGGTCCAATAACATATTTAAAATAATCCATCTACCTTGCGTATCTATTTGGACAATTTGCACATTCGGATCGAAATTACCATTAATTAATATCATCACCCCTTTTGAATTTCTTTGCCCATGGGAGAAGTATATTCCCCCCCCCCCCATTCCTTTTTCCACGCAACTTCATCTCGAATTGTTGAATGAGTTTCCTGTATACAATAGATATTATATTCCTTCTCTTTGAGCCATGTAAATATTGTTATTCTTTTGTTATTATCAGCTAAGCCATTACAATTATAACTGGCTATACTTATTTCACCATACACCATAATGAGATACAAGTTTCAAGTCTATTTATCATTATATATGTTTGTAAATTTACCAATAAAAAATACCGTAATGATTGAGTGTCCATATAGCTGTACCGTGATATTTGCATTGCTACTGAGTAACCCTTCAATTGTTCTCCACTAATTCCCCCGCTAAAGCCCCTCCCCATCCCAAGTTGAGCCGTCATCCCAGTGATCGGCATCCCACCCATGTCCCTCCGGATCCCTAAGGCCCCGAGAGGCCAGGACCCATCCATCGAAAACAGCACACAGTGCCACCCACAAAACAGAAGCAGATTAACCGCCAAAAGCATTTCCAATGCTGTCACCTCTATATAACTATTAAAAACAAATTATGCATATCCTATTTTCCATCATTATCAATTAATATGCGTAATAATGTCGGCAGTTCATGCGTAGGATTTTAACATATAACCCGGATTGCCATTGTATTACATTTAATTTATTGACAAGCAATTATTATCCTAGCAAATAATTCCAGTGGTCCATCCCTAAAATGGCCACTTTCATCATGATTTTATCAAAAATGGTTTGTGTTACAAATGTAAAAAGCACATCAAACATTCTTCCTCCCAATGAAGTTTCTATGTCGGAATTTTGTGAACAATCTAAGATACCCCCTCAAAATTGGGCCATGCTGGCATGGAATCGTCCATTTAGTTTGGGTCTCTAAAGGATCTCTGTAAACCCCCAGTGTGTTTTCATCAAAGCCGCCACTAGGTGATAATGATCTCTCAAGCATGCCTGGCCTAATGGATACAGGGGTTACGTCCTGAATGGCACCCTGCGTCCTGAATGGCACCCTATTCACTATATAGTGCACTACTTTTGATGAGAGCCCTATTTGGAACTCAGTCTGGATGATGTCATTAGTACCTGCAAAGGGTGCAACTTGAGGCAGAGGATATCCTCGTCACTGCTGCACACCTGAGCGTACTCCACCAGGGGGTCCTGGATCTTCCTGGCCACAGACACAGCCTGTCTCAGGAGAGGGGGGTAGTCCCGGAAATCTGCCTGTGGATTGGAGAAATAGAAAAATATGTAGAGTTAAGAGAAAAATCTATTTAAGTGTCACTCACTCCACAATATTACAGTCATTGGCAATACATATTACAGATTTTAAAAAACACATTGTGGACCACTCAGAGAGTTTCTGGAGGTACAGTATGTAGAATACCTCCAATGTAGACAAATTTGTCTTGTGAGAAAACATGCTTAGGGAAATGAGGGCAGGACTTGACCTCTGATTTCTTGCTGTTCATGTAGAGCATGGCCAGTTCATTGTCAACCAGCTCCACCCCGATGGTGGGGAAGGAGGACTCCTGCTCCAGCTCACTGGCTGTGCGTTTAATGTCTTCAATCACCATCTGGGCGTCCCTGCACAGGAAGTGGAGTGGGGAATATTACAAACATTCAGGATGCGTCCCAAATGGCAAATGGCACCCAAGTAGTGCACTATATAGGGAATAGGGTGCCATTTGGGATGTACCCTCAGTCATGTTTGTAAGCTTCTTTAAACAGGAGTCTAAGAAGGCCACAGGTGAAAGAAAGCAGTAGAGGGTTGCACACCTGTTCTCCCCAGCTATAGCGATGATGTGAGGCTTCTTACTGTTCAGAAACTTCTTCAGGGTTTCAATATCGTGGATCTAAAGGTATGATAGGACAAATATTAGAACATGGTCAACATTGGATGGTATGGTTATCTGAGCTTCTTCAAAACTCTTGCACTATGTCCTAAATGGACCCTATTCCATACATAGTGCACTACTTCTTACCAGAGCCCTATGGTACGAAACAAAAATATGAAAATGTATGCACTCACTACACTAACTGTAAGTCGCTCTGGATAAGAGCGTCTGCTAAATGACTAACATGTAAATGTAAATAGGGTGCCATTTAGGACCCACCCTTGGTTTGGTTTCATAAATACCTTTTTCTCCCTTTCATCCTCCCTCCATGCGTTCCTCCTCTTCAGGAAGTAAGGAAGCCTGAGGAAATCCCCCACCTCTCCGTCACCATTCACCAGGGCACAGAACACTGGGGTGTCTCTGCGAACAGACATTGGTTTGCAGTGAATAATAACTCAATCATAAACATAGAGATCCTATTAAATTACTAGAGGGGCTATGTCATAAACCCTAGAAATTCCAGAATGGGGTGAAAATGGCAGCTATATTGGCCAGGGAGAAATCCAAACCAGTCTAATTGGAATGAATGGCAGTAGAGGCATAATCCTGATTATACTTTGCAGGAAAATTAAAGTAAGGCATGTGATATATAAAAAATTGTGTGATATAATTATTGTCAACCTAAAATATTGTCATATAATTATAAATACAGTTTTATACAAATTATCAGGATAAATAGCCTCTAACATATTTACAAACAGACCATAAATGTCAAACATTTTGATTTCTTGGAAAGATTTGAGCGCTATTATATTGTATGATACAATATCAGTACTTATTGCATTTACAACTTGTCTAAATCCTATCATCAACTGATTCAGCCAGTGTATGGCTGTGGATTGACTGCATAGAGGTCAATGGAACTCAACCAAAATAATGGAAATACAATGGAAACACGTGGGGTGAACGATGCCGTGGGGGAAAGACTGAATCTCCTCATTGGCCTCCAGCAAAATTAGCCTACATTTAGGCTACTGTTTATTTGTGTCATGGTCACCAATCAACTCCATTCCAGTTAAAAAGACTGACTACCCCCAACGATTTCTCTGTGCTAGCTATGCTACCAGCTTATACAAACGGGAGTTAGCATAGCAGTCACTCAATACTTCTACACCTGAGAAGGAACTACTTCTAAATGTTATGCAGTGAAAACAACCAAATATATCAAAATTGGACTTTAGTAACCACATTATGGGCCGGATTTGACAAATAACCACTTTGTTTGATCAGATTTGTTGAAAGTGCGCCAATCCGGTGTCCTTCTATCCCCCACAGTCTGCATTCCATTGACCTCTTTACCACATCTATTGATTGAATGGAATGTTGGCATATTGGCAGTTCATTTGAAAAATGTATGGAATTATTACTCTAAAACTTGCTAGCTAGCTTGCTAATAAACATACAGTGCAGATAAATTCTTCAAATTCATTATTTTACACAATATTTTATCACAGCACTGGCAAACCATGGTTGACCAACTTCCTGACCAAAATGGCTGACCTTTATCCCATCATAAGAAGGTTAATGTCCATTCTAGTATTCTAATTCCTAATTCTATGGTCACAAACACATTCAATAAATAAGTCATTCAATTTAGCTCACTGTAAAAGTGGTAAAGACAATGAAGTGAAGTTAAACTGAAGTTAGAGACAGTGTCAGTGTCCCAAATGACACCCTATTCCCTATATGGTGCACTACTTTTGCCCAGAGCCACAAAGGGTCTAGTCAAAAGTAGTGCACTACATAGGGAATAGGATGCCATTTGGGACACCACCAAAGTGAAGTCAGAGACAGTGTGCAGTACTCTACCTGCTGGATGAGAAGGCCACTCCCAGCACGCGGATCCCTTTGCCCTGGGCCTCAGACATGAGCTCCTCGTCCTCCTCCTCCACTTGTTGGTCGGGCCGATAGGGCGCCACCTTCAGCCAGTTATACAGCTTCCTGCTGCAGGCCTGAGGGGCGGGCAACCACTATCACAACACTGTAGCAGGCTCAACATACATCAATGCTCTGAGCCGCCTGCTTTGGAAAGTCAATACCAGAATAAGAAAATAAGTCATCAATACCACAGTAGCAACGACATCACATCAAAGTAAAGAAAATAAGAAGAAAAATCAAATTAAATGTTGAGGTAATGACTTCACAATATATCATAATAGATGCAGAAGATGTATCCTCCTCCTTGGGTGTGTGTGTGGGGGGGAGTACCTTGATGATGTTCTCCTTTGCTTCTGCAATAAGTTTGTTCTTCAGCTCTTTAGCCATCTGCGGGTAAAGGAACTGTTTGAGGGATCGTTCGATGGCCAGAGTGCGCTGTCTGTTCCACTCCTGAACCTGGTGGCTGAACTCGTCTCTGTAGTAAAACTGCTTTATCTCTTCATAGTACGCATGGTCACCTCCGTACCTGCTCAACACACATAGTGATATAATGGATACTTGACTGACTCAGGACAGTATACATGTAAACAGAGCACATTTTGGAATATGTTATAAGATGTTATTAATATGTTATTACACAAGCTCAGAGGCTGCGTCGCAAACGGCACCCTGTTCCCTACATAATGCACTACATTTCACCAGAGCATAGTGCACTATTTAGAGAATATGGTGCCATTTGGGATGCAGACTATAATGTTATTAATATGTTATTACACAATGTTATAATAACAAGCCCTCACCCCTTCACTCCAATCAGGTCAATACAGATGTTTATGGTGAGCAGGCCCTCTTCCTCTGCCTGGAACATCTTGAGGAACTGGTCTCCATTCAGCTCCTTTACAGGCTTGTTTTTCAGGTACTTAAAGGAGTAGCCATAATGGGCCTCATCCACATCCTATAGGAGAGATTAGACCACATACATGTATGGTAGAGTACTCCAAACTAGATAATGATATAATAATACATGCACTAACTGTAAGTCGCTCTGGATAAGAGTGTCTGCTAAATGACTAAAATGTAAAAATATGAGTTGATTAAAAGAACATAACTTGTTAGATGTGTTTTTTATATACAGTATGTATAGTGCCTTCAGAAAGTATTCATACCCCTTGACTTATTACACAATTTATTGTCTTACAGCCTGAATTCAAAATGGATTAAATGAATTTGGTTTCTCTCACCCATCTACACACAATACCCCATAATGACAAAGCGAAAGCATGTTTTTTGCTATTTAAGTAAATTTACATTAGTATTCACACCCCTGAGTCAATACTTTGTAGAAGCACCTTTGGCGGCGATTACCGCTTTGAGTCGACTTGGGTATGTCTGTATGAGCTTTGCACATCTGGATTTGGGGATTTTCTCCCATTCTTCCTTGCAGATTTTCTTAAGCTCTGTTAAGTTAGATGGGGAACGGCAGTGAACAGCAATCTTCAAGTCTTTCCAAAGATTTTCAATGGGATTCAAGTCTGGGCTTTGGCTGGGCTGCTCAATGACTTTCACATTCTTGTTCTGAAGCAATTTGAGCGTTGCATTGGCTGTATGCTTGGGGTCATTGCCCTGTTGGAATGTAAATCTTCGCCCCCCCAGTCTTAGGTCATTTGCACTCTGAAGCAGGTTCTCATCAAGTTTTTGCCTGTATTTAGCTCCATTCATTGTTCCCTTTATCCTTACCAATCACCCAGTCCCTGCCGCTGAAAAACATCCCCATAGCATGATGCTCCACAGTCGGGATGGTGTTAGATGGGTGACGAGCTGTGCCTGGTTTTATCCAGACAAAGCGTTTTTTTGCATTCAGGCCAAAGAGTTCAATTTTGTCTCATCAGACCACAGGCTCTTTTGCCTTATGCTCTCAGAGTCTTTCATGTGCCTTTTTGCAAACTCCAGGCATGCTGTCATGTGCCTTTTTCTCAGGAGTGTCTTCCGTCTGGCCACTCTCTCATAAAGCCCAGATTGGTGAAGTGCTGTAGAGACTGTTGTCCTTCTGGCAGGTTCTCCCATCTCAGCCAAGGAACTCTGTAGTTCTGTCAAAGTGGTCATTGGGTTCTTGGTCACCTCCCTGACCAAGGACCTTCTTGCCCGGTTGCTTAGTTTGGTCGGACGGCCAGCTCCAGGAAGAGTCTGGGTAGTTCCATATTTTTTTAATTTCTCAATGACGGAGACCTCTGTGCTCTTGGAAACTTTCAACACTCTAGAAATTGTTTTATACCCTTCCCCAGATATATGCCTCATCACAATTCTATCTCGGAGATCTACGGACAGTTCCTTGGACTTCATGGTATAGTTTCTGCTCTGACATGCACTGTCAATTGTGGGACCTTACATACAGTGCATTCGGAAAGTATGGGCCTTGGTCAGGGAGGTAGAACCTTCCAGAAGGACAACCGTCTCTGAAGCACTCCACCAATCAGGCCTTTATGGTAGAGTGGCCAGACGGAAGCCACTCCTCAGTAAAATGCACGACAGCCCGCTTGGAGTTTGCCAAAAGGCACCTAAAGGACTCTCAGACCATGAGAAACAAGATTATCTGGTCTGATGAAACCAAGATTGAACTCTTTGGCCTGAATGCCAAGCGTCACGTCTGGAGGAAACCTTGCACCATCCTTAAGGTGAAGGATGGTGGTGGCAGCATCATGCTGTGGGGATGTTTTTCAGCGGCTGGGACAGGGAGACTAGTCAGGATCGAGGGAAAGATAAAGGGAGCAAAGTACAGAAGGATCCTTGATGAAAACCTGCTCCAGAGCGCTAAGGACCTCAGACTGGGGCGAAGGTTCACCTTCCAACAGGACAACGACCCTAAGCACACAGCCAAGACAACGCAGGAGTGGCTTCGGGACAAGTCTCTGAATGTCCTTGAGTGGCCCAGCCACAGCCCGGACTTGAACCCGATCTAACATCTCTGGAGAGACCTGAAAATAGACCTGACAGAGCTTCAGAGGATCTGCAGAGAAGAATGGGAGAAACTCCCCAAATACAGGTGTGCCAAGCTTGTAGCGTCCTACCCAAGAAGACTCAAGGCTGTAATCGCTGCCAAAGGTGCTTCAACAAAGTACTGAGTAAAGTGTCTGAATACTTATGTAAATGTGATATTTCAGTTTTTAATTTGTAATACATTTGTTAAAATGTCTAAAAACCTGTTTTTGCTCTGTCATTGTGGGGTATTGTGTGTAGATTGATGAGAAAAAACAAACAATTTAATCCATTTTAGAATAAGGCTGTAACATGTTGGAAAAGTCAAGGGGTCTGAATACTTTCCGAATGCACTGTAGACAGGTGTGTTTCTTTCTAAATCCTGTCCAAACAATTGAATTGGCCATAGGTGGACTCCAATCAAGTTGTAGTGACATCTCAATGATGTTTAAAGGAATTTGATGCACCTGAGCTCAGTGGGTAGCTTAGTGGTTAAGAGCGTTGTGCCAGTAACCGAAAGGTCTCTGGTTCTAATCCCCGAGCCGACTAGGTGAAAAATCTGTCGATGTGCCCTTGAGCAAGGCACTTAACCCTAATTGCTCCTGTAAGTCGCTCTGGATAAGAGCGTCTGCTAAATGACTAAAATGTAATAGCGAAGTGATGTCAATACTTATGTAAATGAGATATTTCATTTTCTAAAAATAAAATAAATAAACATGTTTTCACTTAATGAATTTTGAATTCAGACTGTAACAAAACAAAATGTGGAATAAGTCAAGGGGTATGAATAGGGAAAGGGGATACCTAGTCAGTTGTACAACTGAATCCATTCAACCAAAATGTGTCTTCAGCATTTAACCCCTCTGAATCAAAGGAGCAGTTGTTGTGGGGGCTTAACTGCCTTGCTCAAGGGCAGAACAGCAGAATTTTCCACCTTGCCGGCTCAGGGATTCAAAGAAGCAACCTTGCGGTTACAGTCCCAATGCTCTAACCGCTAGGCTACCCGACGCCTCTGAAGGTACTGTATATCCCATGAAAGACCTAAATAAACCACTAATACAATCAACAAAGAAGTAGAGGTAATTGCAGAATATGGTTGCAAAATTGCAGTAACTTTCCCCAAATTCCCAGGTTTTCCATGAAATCCTGATAGAAGGATAAAGGATTTCTTGCTTTTCACTCCTGATTCCAGAAATCTTCCAACCGGGATTTCTGGAAAAACTGGGAATTTTTGGTAAATTACCATGATTTTTCAACCCTATTGCAAATAGATGGTGTATACCTTCTTTCCCTTCTTGGTGGGTTTGATGTTGATCTTGGCTCTCTCCTGGAACGTCTGTCGGAGCACATGTCTGACTAGAGGCTCTCGAGCTATCTGCATGGCCACCATGTAGCGAGTCCCCTCCAGTACTGCCTCCGCTGTGCTGAATTGGCTGCACAGGCAGAGAGAAAAAAAGTATTTAGTCAGCCACCAATTGTGCAAGTTCTCCCACTTAAAAAGATGAGAGAGGCCTGTAATTTTCATCATAGGTACACGTCAACTATGACAGACAAAATGAGAAAAATAATTCCAGAAAATCACATTGTAGGATTTTTAATGAATTGATTTGCAAATTATGGTGGAAAATAAGTATTTGGTCAATAACAAAAGTTTCTCAATACTTTGTTATATACCCTTTGTTGGCAATGACACAGGTCAAACGTTTTCTGTAAGTCTTCACAAGGTTTTCACACACTGTTGCTGGTATTTTGGCCCATTCCTCCATGCAGATCTCCTCTAGAACAGTGATGTTTTGGGGCTGTCGCTGGGCAACACAGACTTTCAACTCCCTCCAAAGATTTTCTATGGGGTTGAGATCTGGAGACTGGCTAGGCCACTCCAGGACCTTGAAATGCTTCTTACGAAGCCACTCCTTCGTTGCCCGGGTGGTGTGTTTGGGATCATTGTCATGCTGAAAGACCCAGCCACGTTTCATCTTCAATGCCCTTGCTGATGGAAGGAGGTTTTCACTCAAAATCTCACGATACATGGCCCCATTCATTCTTTCCTTTACACGGATCAGTCGTCCTGGTCCCTTTGCAGAAAAACAGCCCCAAAGCATGATGTTTCCACCCCCATGCTTCACAGTAGGTATGGTGTTCTTTGGATGCAACTCAGCATTCTTTGTCCTCCAAACACGACGAGTTGAGTTTTTACCAAAAAGTTATATTTTGGTTTCATCTGACCATATGACATTCTCCCAATCCTCTTCTGGATCATCCAAATGCACTCTAGCAAACTTCAGACGGGCCTGGACATGTACTGGCTTAAGCAGGGGGACACGTCTGTCACTGCAGGATTTGAGTCCCTGGCGGCGTAGTGTGTTACTGATGGTAGCCTTTGTTACTTTGGTCCCAGCTCTCTGCAGGTCATTCACTAGGTCCCCCCGTGTGGTTCTGGGATTTTTGCTCACCGTTCTTGTGATCATTTTGACCCCACAGGGTGAGATCTTGCGTGGAGCCCCAGATCGAGGGAGATTATCAGTGGTCTTGTATGTCTTCCATTTCCTAATAATTGCTCCCACAGTTGATTTCTTCAAACCAAGCTGCTTACCTATTGCAGATTCAGTCTTCCCAGCCTGGTGCAGGTCTACAATTTTGTTTCTGGTGTCCTTTGACAGCTCTTTGGTCTTGGCCATAGTGGAGTTTGGAGTGTGACTGTTTGAGGTTGTGGACAGGTGTCTTTTATACTGATAACAAGTTCAAACAGGTGCCATTAATACAGGTAACAAGTGGAGGACAGAGGAGCCTCTTAAAGAAGAAGTTACAGGTCTGTGAGAGCCAGAAATCTTGCTTGTTTGTAGGTGACCAAATACTTATTTTCCACCATAATTTGCAAATAAATTCATTACAAATCCTACAATGTGATTTTCTTTCTCATTTTGTCTGTCATAGTTGACGTGTACCTATGATGAAAATTACAGGCCTCTCTCATCTTTTTAAGTGGGAGAACTTGCACAATTGGTGGCTGACTAAATACTTTTTTCCCCCACTGTACTATTAGTATTATTGTGGAAGGTATAGGTTTGCATCTCAAATGGTGCCACTTGAGATGCAGCCATGTACAAGTTTGCATATTCACCTCTCAACACCACCCCTGTTACTGCTGAAATGGTTGGGTTATCTTTATATGAAAGTGTTTTCTGTATAAAGTGCAATAATGTGTCGCTGGTTAACCTGCAGATGTAGTCCTTAGCCAGCTCCATGGGCTCAGCAGGAAACTGCTCCGTCTCGTGACGCTGGTAACTGTCACGTAGGTTCTCTCCAAACTGCTCTGGAGTCAGACCAAACTTCTTGGCCAGGCCATCTGATGAGAGAAGCCTTTAAATGGTGGACTCAAAAACAGCTGCAAATACAGTCGGCTTGTGATACAGCAAGTGTACTTCGATTGGCAAACTCTGTTTAAGTACACTAGTCACAGTTTTCCAGTCGCACATTCTTTCGCAAGTTTTTGTATAATCACGAGCTAACTGTATAGACCTGAAGATGTACTGTATGGCACACAAATATGTCTGTAATAGGTGCTGATAGTGGCACCTACTGGACACACATGATAAAGCACTCACCCAGTCCTGCACACTGGCAGATGCTGTACATATCCCTGCGAGACGCAAGCTTCAGGTCCGGCCCCTTCGACTGCTCCTCTTCTTCCTCTTCCTCCTCCTCTACTTCCTGCTCATTACCTGCGAACAGAAGACATGAGAATTACTCTGGTGAGGGCAAAGGTGCTTTCACAATCTTACAATATATAATCTAAATCGTACCATCTTCATCCACTTCTTTGATCTTCTTCAGCTTCTTCTTGCTGGACCTGGCTGCATTCTGCATCTTTGGAATATCCCGGCCATAGTACAGCAGGAAATGGTTGTAGACGTCGCCCAGTTCATCACTAGACTGGACATCCTTCAGCCTTGTCAGACAAACATAATCAGGTAAGCATTCCGATACAACAAAGATAATAAAGGTGTCATAACATAACTAGCGTACTGTCCAGGGGGTGTACTTGTACATCAAGCTGCCTCACGCTACAGAAACAGAAGATGGGCCGTTCTGGCTCAGACAACCCTTACTTACAAGCATGTTTGACATGACAAGCCTTACCTCTCTAAATCTGAAGTGTCTAGTGGTCGAATGCCATCAGCCAGTGGCTTATCTGGGTCTGCTGAGATCTGTTCAAACTGGTATCCTTGCATCTTCTGGAACAGGCGTCTCAGGTTCTGTTTGCGGGTTTTCAGCTGGGTCCACTGAGGAGGAAAGAAAGTCCCACATTAAACAGTAATTAAACAGAGAGAATAAATGAAGGGTTAAAGTTAACAAAAATCCAATGCTACAGTATATTACCTTCTCATCCCACTGCCAAACCTTCCACAGATCATTGATATTGAGTTCAGGCTCCACATACTCTTTCCTGTAGAACGCTATGAACGGAACCTAAAGGTGAAACAATGAAGAAAGTTGTATTAACTGTGAAAAATTATATGGAAGAACTCAACTTTACCTACAGTACTAGAGGGACTGTGTAATACCTCAAAATGTTGGTTTCTCATGAAATTCAAAGCCTCTTTTATCTTCTGGATGGTGCTGGGGCCTTTTCTGCTGAAAGAAGTGGTTGGACCTCTGTCCAAATAGTCTGCATTCTCCTGAAAACACAGAATATTAGATTTTAAAAAACACAAGCATTTTAAAAACAGACCTAGACTGTAGCTTCAGCTTGAACTAATTGTCTTATGAGACCTAGCTAAAAGATCCTCACTCCAGTACCTGCATGGAGATGGTGAGAGTAGAGAAGGCATTCCTATAGATCCACTCAGCCTCTTGTTCCAGCTCATCATCCTCTGCTGGCTTCACACGAGTGGAGCGTAGCTAAAAACAACAAGACCACACACATAGAAAAGGGTATGCAGTGGTATTCAAAGTCAGTGGTATTCAAAGTCAGTGGTATTCAAAGTCGGGGTCGCGGGGGAACTACAGTGAGGTCGACCTCGGGGGGGGGGGACCAAAAATTAAGAGTACAGATTATTGTATGGGACAATATGCAAAGGTTTTTGAGAAAGATAATTATAATTTTTGTATTTTATTTAGTAAATGTATTTATTGGTTTCTTTTCATTTTGATAAGAGATGAAAATGTAATGAATTTAAGGTTATTTGTTGATGTAAAAATCGAAATGTACTGATTTTAAGGTTGTGTCATTATATTTGGCGTGGGGTGGGGTCACGCGATATTGCAAAAAAAATGTGGTCCCCAGAAATTCTGGCTGAAGAAATGGAGTCCCCCCTGAAAAAGTTTAAATACCACTGGGCTACAGTCAAGCCCATAACAGTTATAGGTGAGTTTCAGGTGCTCACGTGTCCTAATGACTATAACTGTGTCCCAAATGGCACCCTATTCCCTATATAGTGCACTACTTTTGACCAGAGCCCTATGGGTCCGGGTGCCATTTGGGACGCTCCCTATAGAAGTATACACACCTGGAACCTCTCTGGCATGTCAGTGGAGCGGATCTCATTGTCCTGATCCGTCATGTGACTGCTCTCCAGCTCGCTAGGCTCATAGATCTCAAAGATACTGCGTCGACCCACCCTCTTCTTGGCCTGCTTCTTGGGCCGGTCCCATGACTCTTCATCTGCATCCTCCTCCTCCTCCTCTGCATCTTCATAGGCTTCAGTGTCAAACTCGGCAAAGTCAAAGTCCCCTCCGAATATCTCCTGGGCCTCCTGAAGGGCTCTGTAAAAAGGGAGTGGTGCTCAGTACTAAATATTGCATGTGAGTAAAGTAAACATGTCTATGTCCCAAATGGCACCCTCTATGTCCCAAACGGCACCCTATTCCCTTTATAGTGCACTACTTTTGACCAGGGCCCATAGGGGAATAGGGTGCCATTTGGGACACATCTACCATATCAAATTATATTGCACAGATAAGACTTCTTGCAGGTGGAGAGGCTACTGCAAATGGGGATCTAAGTGATTAAATTAAATGTCAGAATCACTTACGCATCTGTATATCCAGGCAGCTTCTTCCTCCACTTGGGTTTCTTCAAGGGCTGTCCGTCATCATCCACAATAAAGTCATCGATATCTGAGGAAATAAAAATAAAAAAATGACTCAAATATTTTCAAACGGCTAACTCAAAACAACTCCACTGTTTATAGATGAAGCAACTAAAATGTTTCATACCAGACTCTTCATCATCCTCCTCCTCATCCTCCCCGGGATGCAAAGGCACATCCAATGCTTCGCCCTCATCCGCTCCCGTCCCCATGAAGATCTCATCCGCTATCATGTCCTTCTCATGGGCCTCCCTGACGTCTTCATCTCCCTCCTCATCCTCATCGTCCGACATGTCTCGCAAACGACGGAACTTTTGCTGTTTATGGGGATAAGTAAGGAGTAGAGGTATCAGGGAAACATTTCTGTCAATATCCTTTTACATAGTATTTTTAGAGAGTGGGACTGTGGGACATGACATGAGACCTCAGCTGTGTGTTATACAATGTCCTGATGACAATGCATTTTGCTTGTCAGAATGGCATCGGAATACTTACCCTTTTCACTTTTACTCCCAAATTCTCCTCAATGAGATCAATATCATCATCATCCAAGCGGTCGTCAAAGCCTGTAGACAGAAAACGCAAGATACTCAAACACTAAAGGTGATTATTACTGATATTCATGATTCTGCTGCACACTGTTTGGTGTCACAAATCATGAAGGCTTGAATCTGAATGGGCAAAATATAATCAAAGGGTTTACGCCATTATAGTTTATTCAAAGACTGAAGAGAAGGAAGCAATCACAGTGCATTTACACCAATTTATGAATGACCACTTACTTCTCTTCCTCTTACGGTGTCCAATTTCCTCCCCAGAGTCACTATCTCCTTCTTTATCTTTCTTCCCTTCTTCCTCATCCTCTTCCTCTTCCTCCCCTTCTCCTTCATCCCCACCATCATCAATCAGACCACGGAGGTTTCCATCCTCATCTTGGTCCTCTGTATTCTCCTCTTCCTCCTCCTCATCTAAGTCACAAATCAAGAAGTTGCACATCAAGTAAGATGACACATGACGTGTGCAGCCTGCACATTGTTACCATCGATCTTATTTAGGGTAGTTGTGATGATAAAAACTCTGTCAAGGGACATCTTTGAAATAAAATCAAAATTATTATCATGCTGTACAATGAATAGATTACCATCATTTGCTCTAGCATGCTTCAGTGCCTTTTTCTCTGTGTTCTCTGGACTCCCAAATTCCTCCTCAGACTCCTCTGCTTCCCTCTCGATGAAATCCATGTTTAGGGGCTGTTGAATAGATAATAAACAACTAAACAACATGATTTTCATTAGCTAGTTATGTGTCAAAGAAAAGTATTTGGAAACAATGTTATGGGACATGACATAGGACAAAATTATTCCATCATTTTAAAAACGTTAACTAATTTATTACACCATATTTGACAGTTTAAGTGTTTAAGTATGGCTATGTCATAAGGAAACCTTATTGTCAACAAATAAATATTAGGCTACAATACGCTATGATGATAAGACGCTGCTGTCTGCCATGGCTGACTGGTAAAATGCAGAAGAACATTATTATAGCCAGGGAGTGAGGACATTGCTAGATATCAAAAGGTTTAGCTAGTTAGCTACGATACAAATGCATATGACTTTGCAAATAGTCAAAGGTAGTCTTAGCTATCCAACGGATATCAGGCTGGAGCTGCAGGTATCATTCTTCTTAGCTACAACAAGATAGCTAGCTAGCTTGCATAACAACAATGGAAAGAGATGGCTACCGAGCTAACCCCATCTACTGTAGCTAGCATGCAGTTGTATTGCCAGAAACAGCTGGCTGACTCCCATTGCCCATAACAGTACATACCTATGTGACAGGATTCAGGACCGGCTCCTTGTTAAGTTGACTAATTAGCGAAGTGTGATATGGAAAATAGATTCATTTCCCCACGACCAAAATGTATTAGCTAGCTAGGCGCAAGCAAATTTCCAAGACTGGAATGCAGAAAAATCCCTCAATCTCTAAATGAAGGCGAGGCACGTCACAGATGGAACACAGATCTCCTTGGATTGTAGAGTGCAATCCTTGCATTATACTTTTCAATGTCTTCGTATATTATTTTTCAAGTGTTATGCTATGCAACATAAGACATTTTGGTTTTGCATTACTTTTCAATGTCTTCTTTTTGTAATATTTTTATGTAACATAGAAAATGTTATTCAGTTTAATTGGACCTTGTGTTTACAGTATTATATCATCAACACCAGTACACAAAATTAACTTGAAATATAACTTTATTTTAGAAAACACATTCATTAAAAAATAATCAAAATACTGATGGAAAACTGTAATAGTGTTGTTACACAATGTCACAGAAAATTGAATTTATCTGAAGCTCATTTAATGTACAGTTGAAGTCGGAAGTTTACATACATCTTAGCCAAATACATTTAAACTCAGTTTTTCACAATAAAAATTCCCTGTTTTAGGTCAGTTAGATCACCACTTTATTTTAAGAATGTGAAATGTCAGAATAATAGTAGAGAGAATGATTTATTTCAGCTTTTATTTCTTTCATCACATTCCCAGTGGGTCAGAAGTTTACATACACTCAATTAGTATTTGGTAGCATTGCCTTTAACTTGGGTCAAACGTTTCGGGTAGCCTTCCACAAGCTTCCTACAATAATTTGGGTGAATTTTGGCCCATTCCTCCTGACAGAGCTGGTGTAACTGAGTCAGGTTTGTAGGCCTCCTTGCTCGCACACACTTTTTCAGTTCCGCCCACACATTTTCTATAGGATTGAGGTCAGGGCTTTGTGATGGCCACTCCAATACCTTGACTTTGTTGTCCTTAAGCCATTTTGGCACAACTTTGGAAGTGTGCTTGGGGTCATTGTCCATTTGGAAGACCCATTTGCGACCAAGCTTTAACTTCCTGACTGATGTCTTGAGATGTTGCTTCAATATATCCACATAATTTTCCTGCCATCTATTTTGTGAAGTGCACAAGTCCCTCCTGCAGCAAAGCACCCCCACAGCATGCTGCTGCCACCCCCGTGCTTCATGGTTGGGATGGTGTTCTTCGGCTTGCAAGTCCCCCTTTTTTCCTCCAAACATAACGATGGTCATTATGGGCAAACAATTCTACAAAAAAGTACAATATTTGTCCCTATGTGCAGTTACAAACCTTTTTTTTATTTTTTTTTATTTTTTTCGGGGGGGAATGGATCAGCTTAATATTGCAGATAGATTGTATCTTCTATCAATGTAATTGTCTGCATCACTTCCAATCCCCCATGTTTAAAAAATATATATATATCCTCCCCTTTATTACTTTTCAACCCCACCATCCTTTCCCTACTTGGAGTAAATTAGTGAACAACAATGCCCAGGCCTCTACTTCCGGTCTATACTTACTATCTACACCTTATGGACAGAGTTAATTTTATAATAATTATATTATATATATATATATATATACAGTGAGGGAAAAAAGTATTTGATCCCCTGCTGATTTTGTACGTTTGCCCACTGACAAAGACATGATCAGTCTATAATTTTAACGGTAGGTTTATTTGAACAATGAGAGACAGAATAACAACAAAAAAATCCAGAAAAACGAATGTCAAAAATGTTATAAATTGATTTGCATTTTAATGAGGGAAAAAAGTATTTGACCCCCTCTCAATCAGAAAGACTTCTGGCTCCCAGGTGTCTTTTATACAGGTAATGAGCTGAGATTAGGAGCACACTCTTAAAGGGAGTGCTCCTAATCTCAGTTTGTTACCTGTATAAAAGACACCTGTCCACAGAAGCAATCAATCAATCAGATTCCAAACTCTCCACCATGGCCAAGACCAAAGAGCTCTCCAAGGATGTCAGGGACAAGATTGTAGACCTACACAAGCTGGAATGGGCTACAAGACCATCGCCAAGCAGCTTGGTGAGAAGGTGACAACAGTTGGTGCGATTATTCGCAAATGGAAGAAACACAAAATAACTGTCAATCTCCCTCGTCCTGGGGCTCCATGCAAGATCTCACCTCGTGGAGTTGCAATGATCATAAGAACGGTGAGGAATCAGCCCAGAACTACACGGGAGGATCTTGTCAATGATCTCAAGGCAGCTGGTACCATAGTCACCAAGAAAACAATTGGTAACACACTACGCCGTGAAGGACTGAAATCCTGCAGCGCCCGCAAGGTCCCCCTGCTCAAGAATGCACATATACAGGCCCGTCTGAAGTTTGCCAATGAACATCTGAATGATTCAGAGGAGAACTGGGTGAAAGTGTTGTGGTCAGATGAGACCAAAATCGAGCTCTTTGGCATCAACTCAACTCGCCGTGTTTGGAGGAGGAGGAATGCTGCCTATGACCCCAAGAACACCATCCCCACCGTCAAACATGGAGGTGGGAACATTATGCTTTGGGGGTGTTTTTCTGCTAAGGGGACAGGACTACTTCACCACATCAAAGGGACGATGGACGGGGCCATGTACCGTCAAATCTTGGGTGAGAACCTCCTTCCCTCAGCCAGGGCATTGAAAATGGGTCGTGGATGGGTATTCCAGCATGACAATGACCCAAAACACACGGCCAAGGCGACAAAGGAGTAGCTCAAGAAGAAGCACATTAAGGTCCTGGAGTGGCCTAGCCAGTCTCCAGACCTTAATCCCATAGAAAATCTGTGGAGGGAGCTGAAGGTTCGAGTTGCCAAACGTCAGCCTCGAAACCTTAATGACTTGGAGAAGATCTGCAAAGAGGAGTGGGACAAAATCCCTCCTGAGATGTGTGCAAACCTGGTGGACAACTACAAGAAACGTCTGACCTCTGTGATTGCCAACAAGGGTTTTGCCACCAAGTACTAAGTAATGTTTTGCAGAGGGGTCAAATACTTATTTCCCTCATTAAAATGAAAATCAATTTATAACATTTTTGACGTGTTTTTCTGGATTCTTTTGTTGTTATTCTGTCTCTCACTGTTCAAATAAACCTACCATTAAAATTATAGATTGATCATGTCTTTCTCAGTGGGCAAACGTACAAAATCAGCAGGGGATCAAATACTTTTTTCCCTCACTGTATATATATATTTTTATTTATTTTTTTGCTCCTGAACTTCTTCTACTCTCAACCTCTCCAATCATTTTCATGATGTCCATCCGGTTTGCTTCTATATGCCATATCTTTCTAACTGTGCTCTTTCCCAAAAGCTCCCAACATACAACCTATATACTTATTATGGACACAGTATGCTTACATTATTAGCTATCTTTGTTATTATTTGTTGTTATTTGTTATTAGTCCCATCCTTCAACTCTATTCAATACCTCCCATCTATCTCTTAACACCATCCATATAGGATTTCTATTTGCCATATATATTTCAACCGTACTGTGTTGTTTTACAAAAGTTCTGAACCTTTCTATTCTCATTGCTTCTACAGATTGTGAATTAAAAATATACATTTTTGCTAAAAGTATTATTATATTATTGATTGATTGACTATGACTTTTCAGATCACCCAGTAATGCTATCTGCAAGGTTAGCTCCAGGTAAATATTGCAATCCTTTAGCCATTCCTGGACCTGTGTCCAAAAACAAGCTACAAATGGACAGAACCAAAACAAATGATCTAATGATTCTGTCTCTTCACAGCAAAATCTGCAGAGCTGGGAAGATTGTATCCCCCATATAAATAACATTCTATTGGTAGCAAGAATTTTATATAATAATTTAAATTGAAAGATTCTAATTTTTGAATCCGGTGTCGTTTTGCGTGTCAGTTCATAAACACTATGCCATGGGATCGGTACGTCAAAGATCTCTTCCCAACTATTTTGCATTGCAAACCTTAGTCTGGCTTTTTTTATGGCGGTTTTGGAGCAGTGGCTTCTTCCTTGCTGAGCGCCCTTTCAGGTTATGTTGATATAGGACTCGTTTTACTGTGGATATAGATACTTTTATACCCGTTTCCTCCAGCATCTTCACAAGGTCCTTTGCTGTTGTTCTGGGATTGATTTGCACTTTTCGCACCAAAGTACGTTAATCTCTAGGAGACAGAACGCATCTCCTTCCTGAGCAGTATGACGGCTGCGTGGTCCCATGGTGTTTATACTTGCGTATTATTTTTTGTACTGATGAACGTGGTACCTTCAGGCGTTTGGAAATTGCTCCCAAGGATGAACCAAACTTGTGGAGGTCTACAATCTTTTTTCTGAGGTCTTGGCTGATTTCTTTTGATTTTCCCATGATGTCAAGCAAAGAGCCACTGAGTTTGAAGGTAGGCCTTGAAATACATCCACATGTACACCTCCAATTGACTCAAATGATATCAATTAGCCTATCAGAAGCTTCTAAAGCCATGACAACATTTTCTGGAATTTTCCAAGCTGATTAAAGGCACAGTCAACTTAGTGTATGTAAACTTCTGACCCACTGGAATTGTGATACAGTGAATTATAAGTGAAATAATCTGTCTGTAAACAATTATTGGAAAAATTACTTGTGTCATGCACAAAGTAGATGTCCTAACCGACTTGCCAAAACTATAGTTTGTTAACAAGAAATTTGTGGAGTGGTTGAAAAACTAGTTTTAATGACTCCAACCTAAGTGTATGTAAACTTCCGACTTCAACTGTAAGTATCAGATTGTGAAAGGGCTGTAGAGTAGCCTACAATAATTTTCATGGCAAATAATAATCTTCATTCATAAAAAATGTCGACTGCTTCTAAACACTGTAGGAAGGCAGTAGAATTATAACGTACACATTCAAACACAATCATAAAGCCTGTATGCACAGATATCTTTTTTTAATTTTATTATTCACCTTCAAACTGTCGTAGGTAGCAGCAGCCTTCTCTGGATGGAGTCTGTGAAGCCGGAAAGCAAATTCTGTTTCCACCATACCAGGAGATAAACACTGTCCAGAGGAAAACAGAAACACTGGGTTAGTTTCAGCTTTACGTTAATGGCTCTAATGATTACATTGTGCATTAGCTAGATAAATCTGTTGATTTTTAAAATCAATGTAGTCTGTCATGAGGACACAATGGCCTGATATTGTGGAACGTTACCAATAATAGAACACATTGTTTTCAGCAGTGTAATGTTGGTGTACTGTACTCACAATATGATAAATGAGCGCAATTCAGTGTTGGGTGGCTACGGACGACTGATCAGCTCATTGACAATATAATGAAATATTTCTAATAAGAAGACTAGGAATTAATAACTTACCATGGCTCGAATGTGGGTTTTTAGCCTCTCGCAGCTCTTGCCGCAGCCCTTCTGTCAGGGCAGTCACAGCATACTTGGTAGCACTATAGAAGTTTGTATCAGCACTGGAAACTACACGATGTCCACTCATACTATAATAGAAGAAGATACATTATGGTTTGTACTACCAGTGGATTGTCCAAAGAAAAGCATTCACTGCAACCTGAGTCCAATTGCATATCTGAAGGTAGAGATAGAGTTGTACGGTACCTGTTTATGTTTATGATGTGCCATCATCCACCTTCCTCTCCTTCATAGACTGGTATGCCTCTCTTGTGCAGATAGACAATGCAATGATGTTCACCTGTAAAATACATCCATTGAATATCAATGTGATATTAAAAAATTGAGTGAATGACACAGAACGTGTGACGGCCATACCTTGTTTTTTTTAGATAAATATGGTCAGTGACATTAACACAGAGATTGACGGTTACATCAATAAGAAATGCTATTAAATGATGCAGAGCATGACACAGGATAGTGAAAACATCCCTTGCTTTTTGACTGTGAGTCGCTCTGGTTAAGAGTGTCTGCTAAATGAAAATAAAAATAAAAGATAAATATGGACAGCAGTTGACATAAACACAGAGATCATTGACAGTGACACCTACATCAATCATTGTCCTCCAGCCATCGGTTTTGCCATTCAACAGTGACTCTGAATGGGCCAGGCCAGCATTGTTGATGCACACATCCACTCCCTGATGGAGAGTCTTGATGGCAGAAAACATGGAAAGGATCTCCTCTTCATTTGAAAGGTCACATTTGTAGGGAACAAGGGTGCCACTGTGCCCAGCGCTCTGACATTCTGCTGCCAGTTTCTAAAATCAAGAGGTAAGAGGACTTCATGCACTATGTTCCATAGGTTAAAACACCATGGTGAAGCCATATTTACATTTACATTTTAGTCATTTTCAGATGCTCTTATCCAGAGCGACTTACAGTTAGTGAGTGCATACATTTTTCATAGAGTAATACTTTTTCATAGAGAGTAATTCACAAATGTGCTTCATTTGACACAGAATATTTTCTACAATATTATATACTACTGTGAGTACTGTGGAACACATCATAAAAGTAATGAAACAGTTTGCAAAGAATACTTCACAATTGGCATAGATCAGGTGTCATTAGACTGTAGATCTGCTGAGGGAATTCTTCCACGCTGCCCGACTAGAGGAAGAGGCCCCGAGTGAGGAGGGTGAATAAACCACCCGGGGCCGCATCAGGTCAAGTGGGCTTGATACTCCTCAGTACTCCTGACAACGAAAACCCCAACCATGGCTGGGAGACCACTTCGGCCGTCATCATAACTAAGGGCACGACGATGACGGTGCAGGCCGAAGGGAGTAGAAATGGGAGGACACGGTAATGAAAGGGCCCCCCAACCATATTGCTTGGGATGTGCCCGACCGGCGCCATCCCCTCTCCCCGCTAGACACAGCCACATGGGGCAGGGATTGGGGAAGCCGGTGAACCGGGTCTTCCCACCACGGTCTCACATATCAAGCGATTGGGTCCTTCCCACGACCCATTCGCGGCCCCAGGTACCTAGCAAACCACTCTGCGCCCCCGGGCAGGCGGCGGTATAATGTCTCCCCTCCCGTCGCCTTGGCGACGGCGGCGGCGGAGCGCCTGGACGCTTCAGCTCTATCTAAAACCATTCTGCGAACAATGACCAACACCATGGCGAAAGGCCGACAGGGAGAAGAATGGCAAACTTCCAAACCCTGCACAGCCTCTAGCCTCGGTGGAAAGCAAACAAGGGAGGGCACGGTAATCCAAGTGCCCCCCCACCACAACACACAGCCATCAATATTGACACGCATGCGGTGAGGTGCGAGGGGCAGGAACGGTAACAAGTATCACATAAGCATAAGCGAACATAAAATCAGAACATCTTCATACAACGGCTGAGGGCGCTACCTCCGATTACCGGTCGAATAATCCCTTTTGTTATATTGCCCTCAAGGTTTCTTACGGTGCCAGACCGAGACAAGCAGTAGGAAACGGATGCCCATCCTAGCTGAAGGTTGCCAGATACAGTAGCGCTAGTCCTTGGCGATCTCAATCCGGTAATTAGTGCGTAGCACATTGATGACTCTCAGGACGACTGACGGCCAGTCTGTAAGACGGAAAAGGGTCCGCTCCCGCCAAGCGGATCAACCGAATGTCAAAGGGACGAGCCCCGCTTGGCCGAGGCTCCTCATGTCAAGTGAAGAAATTCAATGAAGCCAGGGCAAACTACAGTGACCATCGGGAAACAGGATGCAACTTAGCTCAATTTCGAGTCTCATAGCAAAGGATTTGAATACTTATGTAAATAAGGTATTTATTTTATATTATTTTAAATAAATATACAAAAATATCTAAAAATCTGTTTTCACTTTGTCATTATGGGGTATTGTGTGTAGATTGATGAGTAAAACAATACATTTAATCCATTTTAGAATAAGGCTGTAACGGTACAAAATGTGGAAAAAGTCAATGGGTCTGAATACTTTCCAAATGCACTGTATAAAAGTGAATTGGTGAGGCTAAATCATGTCTATGACCAGGGGAGGTGTAAGGGTTGGTGTGAGGTGTGACCCAGGTCCGATGTGAGGTGTGACCCAGGTCCGATGCAGGATAGACAGTAGGTAAATTGGTCTCCAAAAACAGGCTGACAGCAAACATACGAAATACTAACTACGACTGAAAACAACAATGAAACAGGGAGAACACTTCTCAAGTACCTGTACATACGTCTCGCGATCAGACACTGATTAGTACTTTTTGGCCTCGAGAACTAGCAGAGAAAACAGAGCAAGGGAACACAGGGAAGTGAGGGCATAAATACACAGGTGAACAGGTAGACACAGATGACACCAATAGGATAATGATTAGTCCAGACTGTGAGTGAGGAGGTGCCTAAGGTTGTCAGAGGATGACACCTAGTGGGTCGCTCCGGAACTGCGACCCCATCCTGTAACAGGGAGGGAAACAAGATAAAGACATAAAGAGCATGTTGGCAAATGACGGTGGTGGAACCACTTCACACAGGTGTCTGTTTCTTAACAAGTCTTCATTTACTTACTTAGAAAAAAAGGTGCTATCTACAACCTAAAATTGTTATTCGGCTGTTCTCATAGCTGGGTTAGCTGACAACATCACGAAAACGATGTGCGCGCCCTCCATGGGGCAGAAGTCAGTGTGTTGTTGTTGTGATTCTGGATGGCCAGATAGCTAGCAAGAATGACAAGAAACTGTGGGGAATCGTAAGTGGCTCGTTTCATCATGTTCTTGATACCATGTCTTGGTTTGAGGTATTTTGACTGATTTCATGTCAATGCTAATATGGCTAAAATTCCCTAGCTAACCAACAACTGTAATGGTGTATTTGACAGACAACAAGTGCTCATTGTGCAAATGTATTAATGTTTGCAATAAACATTGGAGACCATATACAGTGCATTTGGAAAGTATTCAGACCCCTTGACTTTTTCCACATTTTGTTACGTTACAGCCTTATTCTAAAATGGATACAATTGTTTTTTCCCCTCATCAATATACACACAATATATCTCATCATTATACACACAATACCCCATAATGACAAAGCAAAAACGGGTTTGTAGATTTTATTTGCAAAAAAATAAATAAACTGAAATATCACATTTACATAAGTATTCAGACCCTTTACTCAGTACTTTAACAAAGGATTGAGTAAAGGGTCTGAATACTTATGTAAATTTGATATTTCAGTTTATATATTTTTTTGCAACGATTACAGCCTCGAGTCTCATTGGGTATGACGCTACAATAGCAAAGGGTCTGAATACTTATGTAAGTTTGATATTTCAATTTTTTTTATAAATATTTATTTTTACCTTTAACCAAAAAGAGTTCTCCTATGGGGACAGCTGAAGAACCCTTTTGAACCCTTTTTTCTAAGAGTGTATAACAGTGAGCTCCAACATGGATTTGTAAATGCTGTCATGTGAGGAGTATTCGAGAAGCGTTGAAATTACACATTGACTCCTGGTGGTGCTGGTGTGGTCTGACATCCAGGGCTGGTTCCAGGCATAACCCACCTAGCAAAATGTTGTTGAAAAGACATTGAAAAGACAGCTCTGCCCGACGCCCAATCGACGTTCGGTTTTGGTTGAAAGTGTCGTTGAAAATACATTTTTATGTCGTTTAAAAAACGACTATACAAAGACGTCAGTCGACGTTCGGTTTTAGTTGAAAGTGAAAGTTGAAAATACGTCTTTTTCAGGTCGTTGTTTCAACGATTTAAACGTAATTTCAAAGTACTTGCATACATATAGATACAGTATCAAAAATTGGTCTATGAACAATTTTATTAACAATCATACATCCCTCCAGTATTTACACACAGTATTAATTTACAACATTCAAGTGCTAATTGTCTTTATTCCACTACTGAAGAAGCATGACTCAAATCACCTAATCATATTTCAAACATCCAGCGTGATAAAAGCAAAAAATATTATTCCATGCCTCACTATTAAGTTAATTATTACCAATACATATTAACAAAGGTGTTTCCATTCGGTTTTGATTTTCATATTTACATTTCATGTAACATTTAGTAATCATCATTATTTATGCAACCAACTGAGAATGTATTTGTACATTTATATTGTTTACAGACAGGTTAAATAAAGATTTTAAGCCTTGAGACTATTGAGACATGGATTGTGTGTGTGCGACATACTGTAAGCGGTCGCTTAGGGCCCCATGAAATGTGTTATTAAATTGCAACGTTTTCTCTCCGCCTCATGGAAAAATGTGTAGAATTGCAGAAAACTTGCTTTAAAACTGCAACATTTTCTCTACGGCCCATCGCAAAATGTGTAGTATTACAGAAAATGAACAAAAACAAATCTCTCCACAGGTCAAGAGGGGGGCCACTAAAATGTTTTGGCGTGAGGTGTGAGCCCCCCAACCAAATCTCGCTTGGGGCTCCCTGTTGACATCTCTCAGGGTGACTCTATTTCTGCCTCAAAGGTCAGTACCCAGCTAGCACATAATGTTCTGAGAACCATATGTTTCTTAGAGCTTGGTGAGAGCGTGGTTGTCCTATGGCTATTTTGCATACAATCTTCCCACAACATTCTGGGAATGGTGCAGAATAGTTGCTTGGCTTTGGAACATTCACAGTACATTTAACCTTTTACTGCAGTGGGCTAAATCAGGGTCACACAGAGTGTTTCTTGGTAGTCTTAAACAAATCTTCTTTGAAACAAAAGTATACACCTCACACTAATGGTTATGGGCTTAAAAACAAGAAGACACCTGTACCATGTCAGATATAGAATTGAAATTTATTCAATTTTGAGTTTGCATCCCAATATTACACTTTATACAGTGAGGGAAAAAAGTATTTGATCCCCTGTTGACTTTGTATGTTTGCCCACTGACAAAGAAATGATCAGTCTATAATTTTAATAGTAGGTTTATTTGAACAGTGAGAGACAGAATAACAACAAAAAAATCCAGAAAAACGCATGTTAAAATTTGTATAAATTGATTTGCATTTTAATGAGGGAAATAAGTATTTGACCCCCTCTCAATCAGAAATGTTTCTGGCTCCCAGGTGTCTTTTATACAGGTAACGAGCTGAGATTAGGAGCACACTCTTAAAGGGAGTGCTCCTAATCTCAGCTTGTTACCTGTATAAAAGACACCTGTCCACAGAAGCAATCAATCAATCAGATTCCAAACTCTCCACCATGGCCAAGGCCAAAGAGCTCTCCAAGGATGTCAGGGACAAGATTGTAGACCTACACAAGGCTGGAATGGGCTACAAGACTATCGCCAAGCAGCTTGGTGAGAAGGTGACAACAGTTGGTGCGATTATTCGCAAATGGAAGAAACACAAAAGAACTGTCAATCTCCCTCGGCCTGGGACTCCATGCAAGATCTCACCTCGTGGAGTTGAAATGATCATGAGAACGGTGAGGAATCAGCCCAGAACTACACGGAAGGATCTTGTCAATGATCTCAAGGCAGCTGGGACCATAGTCACCAAGAAAACAATTGTTAACACACTACGCCATGAAGGACTGAAATCCTGCTGTGCCCGCAAGGTCCCCCTGCTCAAGAAAGCACATATACAGGCCCGTCTGAAGTTTGCCAATGAACATCTGAATGATTCAGAGGAGAACTGGGTGAAAGTGTTGTGGTCAGATGAGACGAAAATGGAGCTCTTTGGGATCAACTCAACTCGCCGTGTTTGGAGGAGGAGGAATGCTACCAATGACCCCAAGAACACCATCCCCACCGTCAAACATGGAGGTGGAAACATTATGCTTTGGGGGTGTTTTTCTGCTAAGGGGACAGGACAACTTCACCGCATCAAAGGGACGATGGACGGGGCCATGTACTGTCAAATCTTGGGTGAGAACCTCCTTACCTCAGCCAGGGCATTGAAAATGGGTCATGGATGGGTGTTCCAGCATGACAATGACCCAAAACACACGGCCAAGGCAACAAAGGGGTGGCTCAAGAAGAAGCACATTAAGGTCCTGGAGTGGCCTAGCCAGTCTCCAGACCTTAATCCCATAGAAAATCTGTGGAGGGAGCTGAATGTTCGAGTTGCCAAACGTCAGCCTCAAAACCTTAATGACTTGGAGAAGATCTGCAAAGAGGAGTCGGACAAAATCCCTCCTGAGATGTGTGCAAACCTGGTGGCCAACTACAAGAAACGTCTGTCCTCTGTGATTGCCAACAAGGGTTTTGCCACCAAATACTATGTAATGTTTTGCAGAGCGGTCAAATACTTATTTCCCTCATTAAAATGCAAATCAATTCATAACATTTTTGACATGCGTTTTTCTGGAATTTTTGTTGTTATTCTGTCTCTCACTATTCAAATAAACCTACCATTAAAATTATAGACTGATCATGTCTTTGTCAGTGGGCAAACGTACAAAATCAGCAGGGGATCAAATACTTTTTTCCCTCACTGCATACATCATAGAAGACTGAAATATAAGAAAACCGTTTCACATAGAAACACCGGATTTTCTGTGGCAAAATGTTTTATAATGTTTATTAATTAACTTGACCAAAATATATACACTCCGTTCTCAGCATCAACAAAAATCTCTCTATCCTCTATCTTGTTAAGTGTGTTCAGGTTTGTTGGCCGCGCCCACTAATTGGCTACACCTGATCTTAATGAGTGCTTGTTTCCTTAAAAAAGTGTTATTGAAACATTCAGTGAAAAGTTTTAAGGAAGTTATTGAAAAATCTCTAAATAACCTATAATTTCCCTTCTCAGAGCGTTAATAAAACCACCCAGAGTAAAACATTCTCAGAATCTCCCTGCAACCAAAAATAAACGTTCCCAGAACAGGCAAAGTGTTCACTTCCATTAAATGGGAAACCAAAAACGTACGTTCCCACAACTTCCAAGGAAACAAATGTGCTACTGTTTACTCTATGTGTGAGAGTACACCACATCTCAAAACATAAAATTATATGCCAACTATCTAATCAGAATAGTTTTGAGGAAATAGCCTACAAGGAGTGTCTCGCTAATGTATTCAATCATTTTGACTCATATGTGTCTATAAATCGCTCTTGATTGGGGTATTTGACATTTATTAACGAATGTCTAACAATTTATAGATACCAACTGATAAGGGAACAGCCCTGTGTAAATAAATCTTATCAACAGGTATGGATTCAACCTAGTGGGTGGGGTTTCCTTTTCTAGAGGAACTTGCCACCCAACATTTATGAACCAGTTGCTCTGCTTATTGGCATCATTAGATAAATAACTTCATCCGTTTGACCCAACCAAACACAAATCACAATGTATTTACTTATTTCATTTTTCTTCGCCATCATTGTGAAGATTCAAGGGGCAGGTGAGTTTGTTTATTTATTTATTCAATCCTAGTAACTAAAATGGGTTGAAACTTGATCTATGTGTACTTGCATTGGGTATACAATGTTGGGGAAGCTACTATGAAAATGTAGTTAGCTAAGTTATAAAGCTAAATATATTACAAACTACAGTAAACACTTGGTACGCATTAATAAAATAGTAATTTTGGCTGAAATGTAATACAACAAAGAACTAATGTGACTCACAGTAGCAGATCAATCAGAAGGCAAAATGCTCAGTGTGTATGAAATATAAATGGTCAATTATAAAGGCTTGATCAGCCCAACAGCCTGCTTATTGTAAGGAGCATGCAATGTTTTCTCATGAAATGCACTGGAATGAGAGGGAAATTATGACATTTTGTCAAAGCTTACCTCACTATGTGGCGATGAAACTATTGAATTAGACAAATTATTTTGAAATTCAACTACCACTTTCTCAGAGAATGAAATGTTCTGAATATACATTTCTATCAACTGTGGCAATTAAATCTTTCTAATGGTATCTGTCAAAAGCCAATAATATTGGATGTTCCTTTATAGCTGTCTGTATCTAATTGACAAAGGTTGACCTTAACAGTGAACTTTGCAACACATCTTATATCATTTATTTTGAATGTAGGAAGTGAAATACTCAGACAGAACTTGTTTATGCTGTATCTTAAGCACTAACATACCATTGGATGATTCATTATGTCCTTAAATCTCTTCTCTAGATTGGTGCTACCAGTCCCAGGTTACATGTGGTGGCAACTGCACAGGTAAACCATATACAGTACATACAGTGCATTCGGGAAGTATTCAGTCTCTTCCCTTTTTCCACATTTTGTTACGTTACAGCCTTATTCTAAAATTTATTAAATAAATAAAAAATCCTCATCAACCAGTTGCTCCAAGATTGAACTCTTATGCCTGAATGCAAAGCGTCACGTCTGGAGGTAATCTGGCACCATCCCTACAGTGAAGCATGGTGGTGGCAGAATCAAGCTGTGGGGATGTTTTTCAGCGGCTGGGACTTGGAGACTAGTCAGGCTCGAGGGAAAGATTAAGGGAGCAAAGTGCAGAGAGATCCTTGAAGAAAAACTTCACCAGAGCGCTCAGGACCTCAGACTGGGGCGAAGGTTCACCTTCCAACAGGACAACGACCCTAAGCACACAGCCAAGACAACGTAGGAGTCTCTGAATGTCCTTGAGTGGCCCAGCCAGAGCCCGGACTTGGACCCGATCAAACATCTCTGGAGAGACCTGAAAATAGCTCTGCAGCGACGCTCACCGTACAACCTGACAGAGCTTGAGAGAATCTGCAGAGAAGAATGGGAGAAACTCCCCAAATACAGGTGTGTCAAGCTTGTAGCGTCACACCCAAAAAGACTTGAGGCTGTAATCGCGCCCAAAGGTACTTCAACAAAGTACTGAGTAAAGGGTCTGAATACTTATGTAAATGTGATATTTCCATTTTTTATTTTTAATGCAATTGAAAACATTTCTAAAAACCTGATTTTGTTTTGTCATTATGGGGTATTGTGTGTAGATTGATGAAAAAAACAAACAATTTAATCAATTTTAGAATACGGCTGTAACGTAACAAAATGTGGAAAAAGTCAAGGGGTCTGAATACTCCCCGAATACACTGTACGTGACCGTGTAGATTGCCTCTGTGTTGTATTTTGATTGGCGGACAGGTGTCCAGAGGATCAGGGTTGATCTAATGATGATTTATTTTCTGATAAAGAAACAAACAACATCCATAAATGAAATGTTGTGCTGCCCTTATGCACCAACTCCTCTGTAAAGTATAAATGAACAACAGGGGACATGAATAGCCATGCTAGCCCAATGACGACATGTACAGAGAAAAGTACAATAACTAGCTAGCATGTACAGCATTCACAAATCAACAGATGAAAAGTTCATAAATGCATGAAATCACAATATACTGGTAGAAGGTCATATTATTACAATGTCAGTGACTATATAAACTCAATATCTGTGTTTTAACATATTGGATTGATGAGGATTTTCATGGGACAATTTTACATGAACCTCTTCCACATACAATAGAAAGGGAAGAGGTAAAGGGGGGAGGGGGGGAGGCAGGGAATACAGAAGGAGAAGGAAGTATGCGACATTAAAAAGGGCACTTACAACAACAAAAGGAATGTACACTAATACCAGGCATGGGAACTATTCAGATTTTGTGTAATTATAAAACATGAAATTCAACACTTGTTACACATACATTTGCTAAAATACCCATTGGAATCAAAGTTCTTTAAACATAACTAATGTTCTGTCTCATTGTTCGCTGTGAAGGACCTGATGGTTGGGCAACGGTTGCTGGAGCATGTGGCGGAAGAGCCCAGTCTCCAATTAATATTATGACGAGAAGAACTCTACCAGATGGACGCCTTACACCATTTACATTCACTGGGTACCAAGAGGCCTTCCACAGTATCATCACAAACAATGGTCACACTGGTAAGTTTCTATATAGACGCTGCATTACATTTACAGTACAATGTCCCCCTGCTAATGATACAGTATATCAGCATGGTGTATTGTAGTTGTATTGAACACGAATAGCAAGGCCTATTCACCCTTTCAATGCCTTGATATTTCACAGATCTGATCTAAACTCAAAGCTTCATAACATAGACTGAACAATACAATAGTACGGTACATGTAAGGTCCAAGGACTCCACATATCTGCTCTTACATGGACTAAAGCGTTCATCTTTCTGCAGTTCAAGTGGACCTGCCTTCCACAGCGAAGGTTCAGGGTGGAGATCTGGCGGTGCCATATAAGGCAGTACAACTCCACCTGCACTGGGGCAAGGATGGAGGCCCTGGATCAGAACATACCATAGATGGAGAACAATATCCCATGGAGGTTTGATGACCAAAAGAAAGGAAACATTCACAGTACATTTTCATACTCTTGATTTGTGTTTATCGCATTGTTTTTTACGGTCATTTGGGTACAGTATGTCTACAGTAATTATACAGCAATCACATTTACATACACCATGAGTATTCACATTTCATGTATTTGTCCTCAGCTGCATATTGTTAATATAAAAGAGGAATACAACTCTTTGGCGGAAGCTCTGAAAGACCCTGCAGGGGTTGGAGTTCTTGGATTCTTTTATGAGGTATTTTTCATCTTAATTCTGTTAACTGATTATTATGAGATTATCCGTGAGATGTACAACTGTGCGAATTTTATTTGGGTTGTTAGGACATATAATTGATGATACTTATCGTATATTTTCAGGAATCAGGAAGCTCCAACAAGAAATATGACGCCATTGTAAATGCTCTGAACACTATTAAACATCCCAGTAAGTTATATAATCCTATAAACAACAGCCATTGTTATGTAGCATTTTAAAGGATAGATCCAGGTAGACAACACTCCAGGATCGGGATCATAAAGGGATAGGCCTATGTGAAAGTGCCCATAGTACAACTGCCATGTTTGAAAGGTTTCAAAACTTTTATTGTCACATGTACAAGATACAGCAGCTGTAAAACAGTACAGTGAAATATTAACTTGCAAGCTCTTTCCCAACAATGCAAAATAAAGGTAATATACAGTGCCTTCAGAAAGTATTCACACCCCTTAACTTTTTCCAAATTTTGTTGTGTTACAGCCTGAATTTAAAATGGATTACATTGAGATTGTTTGTCACTGGCCTACACACGATACCCCATAATGTCAAAGTGGAATTATGTTTTTAGAAATGTGTACAAATTAATTAAAAATGAAAAGCTTGTGTCAATAAGTATTCAACCCCTTTGTTATGGCAAGCCTAAATACGTTCAGGAGTAATAATTTGCTTAACAAGTCACATAATAAATTGCATGGACTCACTCTGTGTGCAATAATGATAGACTACCTCGTCTCTGCACCCCACACAGTCGAGCAGTGAATTTCAAACACAGATTCAACCACAAAGACCAGGGAGGTTTTCCAATGCCTCACAAAGAATGGCACCTATTGGTAGATGTTTTTTTTTTTAAAAAGCAGACATTGAATATCCCTTTGAGCATGGTGAAGTTATTAATTACACTTTGGATGGTGTATCAATACACCCAGTCACTATAAAGATACAGGCATCCTTCCTTACTCAGTTGCCCAAGAGGAAGGAAACAGGGATTTCACCATTAGGCCAATGGTGACTTTAAAACAGTTACAGAGTTTAATGGATCAACAACATTGTAGTTAATCCACAATATTAACCTAATTGACAGAGTGAATTGAAGGAAGCCTGTAGAGAATAACAATATTCCAAAACATGCAGCCTGTTTGCAACAAAAGCATTAAAGTAATACTGGAAAACATTTGGCAAAGCAATTCAGTTTTTGTCCAGAATACAAAGTGTTATGTTTGGCGAAAATCCAATACATTACTGAGTATCCCTCTCCATATTTTCAAGCATAGTGATGGCTGCATCATGTTATGCGTATGCTTTTAATCGTTAAGGATTTAGGAGTTTTTCAGGATAAGAAATAAACGGAATGGAGCTAAGCACAGGGAAAATCGTTGAGGAAAATCTGGTTCAGTCTGCTTTCCACCAAACACTGGGAGATTAATTCATCTTTCAGCAGGACAATAACCTAAAACACAAGGCCAAATCTACACTGGAGTTGCTTACCAAGAAGACAGTGAATGTTCCTGAGTGGCCGAGTTACAGTTTTGACTTAAATCTACTTGAAAATCTATGGCAAGACCTGAAAATGGTTATCTAGCAATGATCAACAACCAATTTGACGTGGCTTGAAGAATTTTGAAATAATAATGGGCAAATGTTGCACAATCCGTTTGTTGAAAGCTCTTAGAGACTTACCCAGAAAGACTCACAGTTGTAATCGCTGCCAAAGGTACTTCTACTAAGTATTGGCTCAGGGGTTGTGAATACTATTTCATTTTCAATAATGTACAAACATTTCTAAAAACATGTTTTCACTCTCATTATGGGGTATTGTGTGTAAAAAAAAGAAGAAAAAAGTCAAGGGGTATGAATACTTTCTGATGGCACTGTAGATGAGAAGAAAAACAAAAAAAAGAGAAAGACGAGAATGCAGTTATATACAGGTGCCAGTAGCATTAATACAATGTGCAGGGGTACTGGAGTGATTGAGGTAGGTATGTACTTGTAAACAGGGGTAAAAGTGACTAGTAGCAGGATAAATAGCAATGGTAATAATAATTATAATAATCAATATAGCAGCAGCGAACAGTAATAGTAATCACTATGGCAGCTATGTGGTGTGTGCATGGTGATGAGTGGGTGTGTGAGTGTCCAGATGTAGGATCTTAATTGGAGCCAGTTTACTACAGTAGGAAAATAATCCTGCAGCAACAGGAAATGTGAATTATTATGTGGATTATAATTAATGGACATTTTTGTAGGGGTTGATACATTTTTTGTAAGGGAAAATTGTTAAGCTATGGTTCAACCCAGCACTAAGAGAAACAAACACGACTAAGGGAGTGGAGGAAACACAAATTATTTTAATAAAAGTTAAATTTGTCTTAGTCCAAAAACAACTGAAGAAAAGGAACAGAGTGGGCTAGTCAGCTCCGGAGGAAGGAGAGGCTGAGGCAGGCAGGCAGGCAGGTTGGGAGGTATGTCTGAACTGAAGACAAAACAAACGACAGGTTAAGGAGAGTAAAGAGCCAGGCTGAAGACAAAGACAATTAAACTCTACTGGTGAGCCAAGTTACCGCTCTAGTAAGAACAACGATCTGGCGCCGGTGGAGAGCCATGCCCATGAATTAGTAGTGCAGGTTGATGAGAGAATAGGATGCAGCTGCGTAGGCAGGAATCACTGGAAACAACCCGCAGCTGCACAGAAGAGGCAGATCCTGAGCACGCCCCCCGATCCACTCCAGACACACCCACATAATGGGGACAAACACACATACAGATACAACAGACAAAGAGGGGACAAAACAAGGAAGAAGGGAAACAGAAAAGGGAGAGACAAGCTGCCCACATAACAGTACCCCCCCCCCTCAATGGTCGCCACCTGGCGACCCACCAGGCCTGTCAGGGTTGTCGTGATGGAAGTCCGTGATCAGCTAAGGATCCAACACAAAACGCTTAGGGACCCAAGACCTCTCCTCTGGTCCATAACCTTCCCAATCGACTAGGTATTGGAGACCCCTACCCCGCCTCCGAGAGTCCAGGAGCCTACTGACGGTGTAGGCCGGATGGTCGTCAATGAGGCGAACAGGTGGAGGTGGATCTGCCGGCGGACACAAAAGGCTGGAGGACACAGGTTTCAGTTGGGAGACGTGGAAAGTAGGGTGTATCTTCATGGCTGAAGGCAACTTCAAACGAACCGCAGCGGGGTTAACGATGGACTCCACCACAAACGGACCCAGGTACCGAGGAGACAGCTTGCGTGATTTGGTACGAAGAGGTACGTTCTTAGATGACAGCCAAACTTCTTGACCAGGATGAAACACAGGTGCGGGAGTCCTGCTCCTATCCGCTGTCGTCTTGTTCCTGTCAGTGGTCCGAAGCAACGCTTCCCGAGCGTCGCTCCACACTCTCTGGCAGCGGCGGAGGTTCTCCTGAACCGAAGGAACAGCCAATTCCTTCTCCTGAGCAGGAAACAGAGGGGGTTGATAACCCATGGTTACTTCGAAGGGTGAAAGGCCGGTGGCAGAGGTGGTGAGGGAGTTGTGGGCGTACTCTATCCAAGGCAGATGTTTGGCCCAGGATGATGGATGTTGAGCAGCCACACAACGAAGGGTTGCTTCGAGGTTTTGATTGGCTCTTTCTGTTTGACCGTTGGTCTGGGGATGAAACCCTGAGGACAGACTAACGGAAGCACCCAAAGCAGAACAGAACACCTTCCAAACACGGGAAGTAAACTGTGGGCCTCTATCAGATACGATGTCCACAGGTATTCCATGGGGACGGAATACATGTTGGACTAGGAGGTCCGCTGTCTCACTGGCAGACGGTAATTTTGGTAATGCTATATAGTGAACAGATTTAGAGAATCTGTCCACAATGGTAAGTATAGTATCATTACCTTCAGACTTGGGTAGGCCGGTGACAAAATCCATGGCTATGTGGGACCAGGGACGGCTGGGAACTGGGAGGGGTAGCAGCAGCCCCGAAGGGGACTGATGGGAGGCTTTGCCCCGAGCACAGGTTGAACAGGCTGCCACAAAAGCCCGAACGTCAGTTTCCATTGAAGGCCACCAAAAATGTCTCCTAAGCAGCGTCAACGTGCGTCTCATCCCAGGGTGACCAGCAAAACGGGAGGTGTGAATCCACTGCAACACCTGAGACCGGACCGTCTCGGGAACAAAGAGTAGGTTGGGAGGTCCATCACCCGGTCCCGGGTCCGTGGCAAGTGCAGTCTTCACAAGAGACTCGATCTCCCACTGTACTGCCGCCACAACGCATGAGGAAGGTAGGACTGCCTCAGGCTCGCTGGTCTCCGAAGGGTCAGCAAACTGGCGGGACAAAGCATCTGGTTTAACATTTCTTGACCCCGGTCTGTATGTAAGAATAAAGTTAAACCTACTAAAAAACAGGGCCCATCTGGCTTGGCGTGAGTTGAGTCTCTTAGTGGCTTGGATGTAAGCCAAGTTTTTGTGGTCTGTCCAGACCACAAACGGCAGTTCAGCTCCATCCAGCCAGTGCCGCCATTCTTCCAGTGCTAGCTTGACCGCCAGCAGTTCCCGGTTTCCAACGTCGTAATTCCGTTCTGTGGGTGACAATTTCTTGGAGAAAAAAGCACAGGGGTGAAGCCTTTGGTCAGTGGGGGAGCGCTGGGAGAGGACTGCTCCCACACCTGAGTCAGACGCGTCCACCTCCACAATAAACTGCAGAGAGGTATTGGGGTGTATCAACACGGGGGAGGTGGAAAACAGTTCCTTCAAAACCCCTACCGCCTGCTCCGCCTCAGGGGACCACAGAAAAGGGACCTTAGGGGATGTGAGTCTAGTAAGGGGTGCCACCACTTTACTAAAACCCTTAATGAATCTTCGGTAGAAGTTAGCAAAGCCCAAAAATCGTTGAAGTTGCTTACGGGTGGTGGGTGTGGGCCATTCCGTCACTGCCCGGATCTTCTCGGGGTCCGCCTTCACCTGCCCGCTCTCAATGATGAAACCAAGGAACGATGTAGACTGTTTGTGGAACTCACACTTTTCTGCTTTGACGTACAGCTTATTCTCCAAGAGCCGTTGAAGGACGTGTGACTCATGCTCCTCGGGTGACTTGGAAAAAACAAGAATATCATCCAGGTATACAAAGACAAAACGGTTCAAAAAATCCCTAAGAACATCGTTCACCATGGCTTGGAATACAGCAGGGGCGTTTGAGAGCCCAAAGGGCATGACCAAATACTCAAAATGCCCCAGTGGAGTGTTGAAAGCGGTTTTCCACTCATCTCCCTTTCGGATTCTGACAAGGTGATAAGCGTTCCTGAGGTCGAGCTTGGAGAAAACTGTGGCGCCATGCAGAGGTTCAAAAGCTGAGTTGATGAGTGGAAGGGGATACTTGTTTTTAACAGTTATGTTGTTTAAACCCCTGAAATCGATACAGGGGCGTAACGACTTGTCTTTCTTTTCAACGAAAAAGAAACCTGCACCCAAAGGAGACGACAAGGGACGGAAAATGCCCGAGGCCAGAGAATCAACAATATACTGCTCCATTGCCTCTCTCCGGTCGGGACAGATTGTATAAGCGACTAGAGGGCAAGGGAGCACCAGGAAGCAGTTCAATAGGGCAATCATAAGGCATATGTGGTGGTAGAGACAGAGCCTTGTCCTTACTGAAAACCTCCGCTAAGTCATGGTATTCTTTGGGAACAGATGACAGATCGAGAGGAGCTGAGGGATGAGTTGGGTTACACTTAGTGGGGGGAACCGCTGACCTAAGGCACTCTGAATGGCAGTTAGTGCTCCAACTGAGAATGGTGTGACGTGTCCAATCAATTTGTGGGTTGTGAAGAGCCAACCAGGGGAAGCCAAGGATTAGGGAGGTAGCTGAGCCAGACATAACTCTTAACTGAATGCTTTCACAATGATTGCCAGAAATCACTAGGGAAACGGGGGTGGTTTGATGAGTTATCTCCGCGAGGAGGCGCCCATCAAGGGCTGTGACCCGAATGGGGGTAGGTAGTGGCTCCATGGGGATACGAGCTTGTGTAACGAACTGGTGGCTAATAAAGTTGTCTTCTGCACCTGAGTCTATGAGAGCTGAGAGTGGCAGGGAATGACTCTGGAAACGTAAGGTTACAGGTACTTGTAATCGGGGAATGATGGGTTCAGGATCTAACTCTGGGCTCGCAAGTAGACCCACCGTTACGAGCGAGCCTTGTCTTTTGGTCGCTTAGGGCATGTAGCCAGAATGTGTGTGGCGTCTCCACAGTACAGGCACTCACCCGCCTGGAGGCGCCGTTGCCGCTCTGCTGGAGGTAGTCGAGCTCGACCCACTTGCATTGGTTCCTCCTCCGTGCTCGGGATGGGATCAGGAACAAGAAGCTGCCGGCTCCGGGGAGGCGAGACTCGAGTGGTTGAAGGCTGGGGAACTCGTCCTCCTAGATGTGGCCGACCGCCTCTCTCCCGACGCCTCTCCCGCAACCGGTTGTCTAGCTTAATAGACAGGGAAACAAGAGAATGTAAATCATGTGGCTCGTCACGAGCAGCCAGTTCATCCTTAATGGCTTCATTCAAACCGTTTAGAAATGCTCCTTGAAGTGCCACATTGTTCCACTTGGAGTCCGCTGCCAAAGTCCAGAACTCAATAGAGTACTCAGCCACACTGTTAGAACCCTGCCTCAAATTAAAAAGTATCTTGGAGGAATTACCCACATGGTCAGGATGGTCAAAAACAGTCTTCAATTTAGCAGAAAAATCAGCAAAAGTCAATCCAGTCAAAGTTTGATTTGAGCACACAGCCTCAGCCCAAACCAGAGCTCTCCCTCTTAACAGCCCCAGAACATAATGTACCTTAGAGGAATCAGTAGAACACGTTTGCCCCAGTAGAACACGTTTGCCCCGTGCTGTTTCTCTGTTGGGTCCATGGCCAGATCGTTCTGTTAAGCTATGGTTCAACCCAGCACTCAGAGAAACAAACACGACTAAGGGAGTGGAGGAAACAAAAATTATTTTAATAAAAGTTCAATTTGTCTTAGTCCAAAAACAACTGAAGAAAAGGAACAGAGTGGGCTAGTCGGCTCCGGAGGAAGGAGAGGCTGAGGCAGGAAGGCAGGCAGGCAGGCCGGCAGGCAGGCAGGTTGGGAGGTATGTCTGAACTGAAGACAAAACAAACGACAGGTTAAGGAGAGTAAAGAGCCAGGCTGAAGACAAAGACAATTAAACTCTACTGGTGAGCCAAGTTACCGCTCTAGTAAGAACAACGATCTGGCGCCGGTGGAGAGCCATGCCCATGAATTAGTAGTGCAGGTTGATGAGAGAATAGGATGCAGCTGCGTAGGCAGGAATCACTGGAAACAACTCGCAGCTGCACAGGAGAGGCAGATCCTGAGCACGCCCCCCGATCCACTCCAGACACACCCACATAATGGGGACAAACACACATACAGATACAACAGACAAAGAGGGGACAAAACAAGGAAGAAGGGAAACAGAAAAGGGAGAGACAAGCTGCCCACATAACAAAAATAAAGTCTGAAATTTCAAAGTGGAAATGTGAGAGTTTCCTTTGGCGAGGGCGGAGACCAATTTCTAACATGTATGGACCACTGAGGTATAAAATAACCAATAACTTAATCACGCAGCTGACCAATTTACGCAATATTTTAGTTCTGGGTTAACCGAGATTACACTGCTCGAAGAAGTGACTGGCTGCAATCATTATTTTACTCAGCATAAAGTATGTCTGAAGTTACATATCACACAATTACAACAGTGTGTCTGTTTTGGAATAAAATTGTCAATATATTCTCTTAAACATCCACTGTATTGTGTGCTTATTGTTCAACCATTGATATGTTCTAGTGGCCATTTTGAGACCTTAAGGAGCATCAGGTAACAGAAACGAAAACCGAAAAATAACAAAATGTTCAGAGGAACGGAAACAGAACCAGGAACGAAAGTGATCTTTAGTGTTCCGGAACAGAACCGTTTATTTCAAATCTTGAGAACCAGTTAATAACGTTCTTTTTAGTTCCAAAAATATTCCTAATGTCTAGTATATAATTCTGTAATTTTGTGAAGTTATAATGCTAGTATAGCGTAAACATGTTCCAATTCACGTCATGTCATGATGTTCAGCGCTTCAAGCCAAGCAGCATTTGGCTCTCCCCCCATCTGTGAAATTTCAGTCGCATCTTGCGCCTGCACTTATCTGACCAATCAAACATGTAAACAACTCTTACCTGTTCCACAGCAAGCTGCTCTAGTAAATTAATTAGCTAAATCTAAAAATGATGTTGATTTCACAGTTTAAAAAAGGAACGAAAAGGAACTATATGAACCGTTCCTTTTTTTTGGTTCGAACCGCTTCAGAACTTTATTTTCTGGTCAGAACACTGGAACTCAAAACATTTATAAAGTATTTTTAAGGTATAAGTATCCCACACTTTAGATGAGTCCACACAAAAATACTTAACTAATGACTAGTAAATGGTTTATAAGGACCTACTGTATATTAAACATCTTAGAAATTATCTTCTGAATCATTATTAAATAGGTTACGAACATTTACAAATGTGGGAGTAATGATGAATAAATGATGAATAAACTATTTACTAATCCATTACAAATGCTTTATTACATGGAGTTATTATAAAGTGCTACCAAAGTTTAAAATGTCCTGCATTGCAGGAAAGTTCTCCTGCAGCAAGGTGATCAAATTAAGATCCTACATCTGTATGTGTGTGGCATCAGTACTGAGTGTGTGAGCGTGGGTGCATGAGTGTGTGTCGTTGTGAGTATGTGTGAATGAGAAGAGTGTCAGTGTAGGTGTGTGTGCCTGAGTGGTAGAGACCTGTGGTTGAGCATAGAGACAGAGCAGGTAGTCAGTGCGAAAAGTCTGGAAAAGAGGGAGGGCAGGGGTAGTTAACTATTCAACAGTCTTATGGCCTGGGGAAAGAAGCTGTCTCAGAGCCTGTTGGTACGAGACCCGGTGCTCCGGTACCGCCTATCAGACGGGAGCAGGGAGGACAGTCCATGGCTCGGGTGGCTGGAGTCTTTGGCAATTTTTCGGGCCTTTCTCAGACACCTCCTGGCAATAAAAACTGTATATTTATTTTCCATTGTCTTTATTGTGTCCACCTTTAGGCTCCAACACTACCCTTAGTGATGTGTCCCTGGACATGCTCATCCCCTCTCAGAGTAATATGACCAGCTACTTCCGCTACCAGGGCTCTCTCACCACACCCGCCTGTGCAGAAGCTGTCGTCTGGACGATGTTTGAAAATACAATTCCTCTCAGCAGGCAACAGGTGCTTTACAGAATCACCTTTGACATTATACTGTACCTCATCTATGTCACCTTTATACCTGACAGTATACCTGTACAATCATACAATTACCTGCTGTCAGGAAATGTGCTAGAATTGTAGGAAGAATTGTAGGGGCCTTGCTTAGACCTTGTGGGGGGCCAGCGAAACTGTTGTGAGCCACTGTTCTAACATGTTTTAATCTTTGTGTCTTACAGCTTGCTGCATTTTCTCAGCTTCAGTTTGATGATGGAAAGCCTATGGTGGGAACCCATCGCCCAGTCCAGCTGTTGAATGGTCGCCAGGTGTATCGCTCTGGAAGTCAAGTTGTCTTAGTCAGCACTCTGCTACTCATCACCTCTGTGATATCAGCCATTGGACTCCCACTGCCCAACTAAATACCAGGACCTTTGGATTTGGGGATCAGTGAGTTAGAGAGTGCCCACTATTGTCAAAATCTCTAATGCTTGCATTTCGCTTTGCTATGCAGTTGTTCTCTTTCAAGTTCACTTTACTTGCCAAATTATAGTTGATACAGTTTATTCAAGGGGGTAATGTGTTTAAGGACACAGCATAAATAATGCACATTTTATCTATTTTTTGTTATGTATTGAAATAATACTTGAGAGGGCATTGAGCCAAACATTGTTATTACCCTCTTATTGCCTTTTTTTTCACATCATTATTGTTCATATTAAATTCACCTCATAAACGTCCTATTGTTATTGAACGGTCTATGTCATTTTGTGACCTGTACTTTCCACAGAACCAGCAACACAACTGGTGAGAATCAGTATCAAAGCACTGGAACTCTGATCTATATTGTCTGGTAACAAAGAACATCCATGTAATTTTTGTGTACCAAATCAGTTAAAGCTATAAAGCTATCAGCATATCGTTTTTTCTTCACTTTATTCACACTTACTAAGAATAGTGCAGCACAAAGGCTATTTTGATTTAATCTTATGTAATTTGTTCTACAGTCCACCAAGTGGCAGTAATGGGTAACAGAGCACACTTTCCGTTCCTTTCTTAATCCTTTTTGACCACCACACTGCACAAAGCAATGTAATGCAAGTTGTACAACTCCCTCACAAAGTTAGTACTTACTTATTTCCACCCAGAAGTCCCCCCCACTTCTCAGATTATTGATACAATAGAAATGTCTGCAATGGCAGATTCAGCGGTTACATAAGGGGAAAATGTGGTCATATAACCATGTGCTTTGACTGAAAATATAATTTCCACTCTGTAGACTGTATACTTCCCATAGCCAGGTCAGGTTAGTCAGGACACCCCACACCTAACAATGTCACACTAGTCTAATCAGGGATAATTCAATCAATCCCTAGTCAACAACCTGTGGATAATAGCCACTGATTCCATTTAGGGCACTTCTTGTTTAGGTAGAGTTAGGCTACACTATCCATTTCACCTTAAGTAGTCCCATGTTACACAGAAATAACACTGCAGTGCGTTGAGCCAAGGGAATACTCTACTAGCTTCACTGTCATGTTTGGCTATTGCTATAGGACTTCTTCAAGGAGGCTAAAGCCGCACGTAACGCCCTGGACCAGAGCTACTTAAGGACCATAACTTCACCATGTGTCTAGAATACCTACAGTGCCTTGCAAAAGTATTCATCCCCCTTGGCGTTTTTGCTATTTTGTTGCATTACAACCTGTAATTTAAATGGATTCCTATTTGGATTTCATGTAATGGACATACACAAAATAGTCCAAATTGGTGAAGTGAAATGAAAAAAATTACAAACAATAAATAAATGGTGCGTGCATATGTATTCACCCCCTTTGCTATGAAGCCCCTAAATAAGATCTGGTGCAACTATTTACCTTCAGAAGTCACATAATTAGTTAAATAAAGTCCACCTGTGTGCAATCTAAGTGTCACATGATCTCAGTATATATACACCTGTTCTGAAAGGCCCCAGAGTCTGCAACACCACTAAGCAATGGGCACCACCAAGCAAGTGGCACCATGAAGACCAAGGAGCTCTCCAAACAGGTCAGGGACAAAGTTGTGGAGAAGTACAGATCAGGGTTGGGTTATAAAAAAAAATCTGAAAGTTTGAAAATCCCACGGAGCACCATTAAATCCATTATTAAAAAATTGAAAGAATATGGCACCACAACAAACCTGCCAAGAGAGGGCCGCCCACCAAAACTCATGGATCAGGCAAGGAGGGCATTAATCAGATAGGCAACAAAGAGACAAAAGATAACCCTGAAGGAGCTGCAAAGTTCCACAGCGGAGATTGGAGTATCTGTCCATAGGACCACTTTAAGCCGTACACTCCACAGAGCTGGGCTTTACGGAAGAGTGGCCAGAAAAAAGCCATTGCTTAAAGAAAAAAATAAGCAAACACGTTTGGTGTTCACCAAAAGGCATGTGGGAGACTCCCCAAACATATGGAAGAAGGTACTCTAGTCAGATGAGATTAAAATTAAGCTTTTTGGCCACCAAGGAAAACGCTATGTCTGGCGCAAACCCAACACCTCTCATCACCCACGAGAACACCATCCCCCATCATGCTGTGGGGATGTTTTTCATCGGCAGGGACTGGGAAACTGGTCAGATTTGAAGGAATGATGGATGGCGCTAAATACAGGGAAATTCTTGAGGGAAACCTGTTTCAGTCTTCCAGAGATTTGAGACTGGGACGGAGGTTCACCTTCCAGCAGCACTTGAGTGGTTTAAAGGGAAACATATAAATGTCTTGGAATGGCCTAGTCAAAGCCCAAACCTCAATCCAATTGAGAATCTGTGGTATGACTTAAAGATTGCTGTACACCAGCGGAACCCATCCAACTTGAAGGAGCTGGAGCAGTTTTGCCTTGAAGAATGGGCAAAAATCCCAGTGGCTAGATGTGCCAAGCTTATAGAGACATACCCCAAGAGACTTGTAGCTGTAATTGCTGCAAAAGGTGGCTCTACAAAGTATTGACTTTGGGGGGGTGAATAGTTATGCACGCTCAAGTTTTCAGTTTTTTTGTCTTATTTGTTGTTTGTTTCACAATAAAAAATATTTTGCATTTTCAAAGTGTTAGGCATGTTGTGTAAATCAAATGATACAAACCATTTTAATTCCAGGTTGTAAGGCAACAAAATAGGACAAATGCCAAGGGGGGTGAATACTTTCGCAAGCCACTGTATGTTATTTCATGGTAGTTACATAGGCAGATACAGTGTAATTACAGTGTAGGGAGGTTGAAATACTAGTAGTGATGCCCATTGAAATCATTAAATGTGAGAGAAATGGTAGGTCTTCAAGTGTCTTCAACTAAATAAAGGAAAGGTAGGGTGTACAGTGGGGGGAAAAAGTATTTAGTCAGCCACCAATTGTGCAAGTTCTCCCACTGAAAAAGATGAGAGAGGCCTGTAATTTTCATCATAGGTACACGTCAACTATGACAGACAAAATGAGAATCACATTGTAGGATTTTTAATGAATTTAGTTGCAAATTATGGTGGAAAATAAGTATTTGGTCAATAACAAAAGTTTCTCAATACTTTGTTATATACCCTTTGTTGGCAATGACACAGGTCAAACGTTTTCTGTAAGTCTTCACAAGGTTTTCACACACTGTTGCTGGTATTTTGGCCCATTCCTCCATGCAGATCTCCTCTAGAGCAGTGATGTTTTGGGGCTGTCGCTGGGCAACACGGACTTTCAACTCCCTCCAAAGATTTTCTATGGGGTTGAGATCTGGAGACTGGCTAGGCCACTCCAGGACCTTGAAATGCTTCTTACGAAGCCACTCCTTCGTTGCCTGGGCGGTGTGTTTGGGATCATTGTCATGCTGAAAGACCCAGCCACGTTTCATCTTCAATGCTCTTGCTGATGGAAGGAGGTTTTCACTCAAAATCTCATGATACATGGCCCCATTCATTCTTTCCTTTACACGGATCGGTCGTCCTGGTCCCTTTGCAGAAAAACAGCCCCAAAGCATGATGTTTCCACCCCCATGCTTCACAGTAGGTATGGTGTTCTTTGGATGCAACTCAGCATTCTTTGTCCTCCAAACACGACGAGTTGAGTTTTTACCAAAAAGTTATATTTTGTTTTCATCTGACCATATGACATTCTCCCAATCCTCTTCTGGATCATCCAAATGCACTCTAGCAAACTTCAGACGGGCCTGGACATGTACTTGCCTAAGCAGGGGGACACGCCTGGCACTGCAGGATTTGAGTCCCTGGCGGCGTAGTGTGTTACTGATGGTAGGCTTTGTTACTTTGGTCCCAGCTCTCTGCAGGTCATTCACTAGGTCCCCCCGTGTGGTTCTAGGATTTTTGCTCACCGTTCTTGTGATCATTTTGACCCCACGGGGTGAGATCTTGCGTAGAGCCCCAGATCCAGGGAGATTATCAGTGGTCTTGTATGTCTTCCATTTCCTAATAATTGCTCCCACAGTTGATTTCCTCAAACCAAGCTGCTTTCCTATTGCAGATTCAGTCTTCCCAGCCTGGTGCAGGTCTACAATTTTGTTTCTGGTGTCCTTTGACAGCTCTTTGGTCTTGGCCATAGTGGAGTTTGGAGTGTGACTGTTTGAGGTTGTGGACAGGTGTATTTTATACTGATAACAAGTTCAAACAGGTGCCATTAATACAGGTAACGAGTGGAGGACAGAGGAGCCTCTTAAAGAAGAAGTTACAGGTCTGTGAGAGCCAGAAATCTTGCTTGTTTGTAGGTGACCAAATACTTATTTTCCACCATAATTTGCAAATAAATTCATTAAAAATCCTACAATGTGATTTTCTGGATTTTTTTTCTCATTTTGTCTGTCATAGTTGACGTGTACCTATGATGAAAATTACAGGCCTCTCTCATCTTTTTAAGTGGGAGAACTTGCACAATTGGTGGCTGACTAAATACTTTTTTTCCCCACTGTAGGTGTGGAACGCATCGCTGTGTGTTGTCAACATTTCACAAAAATATATTGCACAGTTTGCACACACAGTTTCCACCCATCCCCCACTTCCTCCTTTCTCGCCTGACTTGACTCTGAGGTTTAGGTTGTCTTGACAACAGAGGACATATCTCACTTAAAACTCATCTCACAAGTTTCAGTTGTGCCTACAGTGAGGGAAAAAAGTATTTGATCCCCTGCTGATTTTGTACATTTGCCCACTGACAAAGACATGATCAGTCTATAATTTTAATGGTAGGCTTATTTGAACAGTGAGAGACAGATTAACAACAAAAAAATCCAGAAAAACGCACGTTAAAAATGTTATAAATTGATTTGCATTTTAATGAGGGAAATAAGTATTTGACCCCTCTGCAAAACATGACTTAGTACTTGGTGGCAAAACCCTTGTTGGCAATCACAGAGGTCAGACGTTTTTTTGTAGTTGGCTACCAGGTTTGCACACATCTCAGGAGGGATTTTGTCCCACTCCTCTTTGCAGATCTTCTCCAAGTCATTAAGGTTTCGAGGCTGACGTTTGGCAACTCGAACCTTCAGCTCCCTCCACAGATTTTCTATGTGATTAAGGTCTGGAGGCTGGCTAGGCCACTCCAGGACCTTAATGTGCTTCTTCTTGAGCCACTCCTTTGTTGCCTTGGCCGTGTGTTTTGGGTCATTGTCATACTGGAATACCCATCCACGACCCATTTTCAATGCCCTGGCTGAGGGAAGGAGGTTCTCACCCAAGATTTGACGGTACATGGCCCCGTCCATCGTCCCTTTGATGCGGTGAAGTTGTCCTGTCCCCTTAGCAGAAAAACACCCACAAAGCATGTTTCCACCTCCATGTTTGACGTTGGGGATGGTGTTCTTGGGGTCATAGGCAGCATTCCTCCTCCTCCAAACACGGCGAATTGAGTTAATGCCAAAGAGCTCGATTTTGGTCTCATCTGACCACAACACTTTTACCCAGTTCTCCTCTGAATCATTCAGATGTTCATTGGCAAACTTCAGACGGGCCTGCATATGTGCTTTCTTGAGCAGGGGGACCTTGCGGGCGCTGCAGGATTTCAGTCCTTCACGGCGTAATGTGTTACCAATTGTTTTCTTGGTGACTATGGTCCCAGCAGCCTTGAGATCATTGACAAGATCCTCCCGTGTAGTTCTGGGCTGATTCCTCACCGTTCTCATGATCATTGCAACTCCACGAGGTGAGATCTTGCATGGAGCCTCAGGCCGAGGGAGATTGACAGTTATTTTGTGTTTCTTCCATTTGCGAATAATCGCCCCAACTGTTGTCACCTTCTCACCAAGCTGCTTGGCGATGGTCTTGTAGCCCATTCCAGCCTTGTGTAGGTCTACAATCTTGTCCCTGACATCCTTGGAGAGCTCTTTGGTCTTGGCCATGGTGGAGAGTTAAGAATCTGATTGATTGATTGCTTCTGTGGACAGGTGTCTTTTATCCAGGTAACAAACTGAGATTAGTAGCACTCCCTTTAAGAGTGTTAAAATGCTAATCAATTTATAACATTTTTGACATGCGTTTTTCTGGATTTTTTTGTTGTTATTCTGTCTCTCACTGTTCAAATAAACCTACCATTAAAATTATAGACTGATCATTTCTTTGTCAGTTGGCAAACATACAAAATCAGCAGGGGATCAAATATTTTTTCCCTCACTCTATTACATTTAGCTCTTTCTGCTGTTGTAAACTGGGTAGAGGTATGTGTCAGTGTTCCTGTCTGTTAGCAAAGTGCATTAGAAGACTGGATAAGAGCGTCTGCTACAGTAAATTACTAAAATGTAAAATGTAAGACAAGAGAACAAGCAGTAGTGTAACCTATCCTATCAAATCTTTTAAAGCAATGAAAAGCTGATATCTGCACCTTCCTCTTTTTTTGGAAAAACTTATTTTGAATCAATGAATTATACCATGTCTGAGATACACCCTCATAAGACATGCGTGTTCTTTTTACCCCTACTTCACTCCTTTAATAGTGGCTCTATTCTATTATAAGCCTAAAACAATATTTTGTGTGAATCCCATAAAAGGTTCAGCACATCCTGAGCTTTTCATCTCTTCTCTAGGCTATAGTCAACATGGACAGCACATCAGTATGTCAAATCAATTTGAGAGGGATCAATAAAATAGGCATCAATTTCACAATATCTAAGTAGCTCATTTTTAGTAGGTGATGTTATGTTCTGCATGCCCTTAAAAGGGGGGACCACTGTCTCTGGCTGTGTCCCAAATGGCACACTATTCCTTATATAGTGCACTACTTTTGTCCAGAACTCAATGGGCTCTGATCAAAAGTAGTGCACTGTAAAGGGAAAAGGGAGCCATTTGGGACACATACTCTGTCAGCAGTGAAGATATCTGTCTGTCTATGTGGGCCATATGGGCGTAGGTTGGTTGGTGTATCTCAGAGACAGAAGGAGAGATCGCTGTAGAGGGACTGTTAGACCTCTTCCTGTGGTTTACACCACGTGACTAAGAGGCTAAATAAGAACACCACTGTTAGTTCACACTTCTGTTTCTGCTGGGATAGAGGAGAGAAAGCTGGTAAGACCGTGTGATATACTGACTGAGATATATTCATTGAATATCATTTTGTATAAAACATAGGAGAGGTTTACTGTATGGTGGCAGTAAAGACAATGTATTACAAAACTATTGTAACATTTTACTGGTTCTACTGTTTGAGACGATTTTAGTGCACTTTTATAAATTATTAGATCATTTTGTTACACATCCGCAATGTATTACACATTTTTTGAAACGTTTTTGTGATGATTTAGTTAGTTCCTGTCTTGAATTTGTCTGCTGATTGGACTGAGGAGGGGCTCTGAGCAGAACCAAACACGAAGCTGCCACAGCAACGAGAAGATACTGATGTACAGTGCAGTCATCCATAAAGTAGAGAGTACTACTAAACTCCTCTGCACAGTGTAGTGTTTCCTACTTTATGGATGAGTGTACTGTTGGCTACGGAGGAAAACACTACAGGGACTCCATTGACATCAATGAAAGATTCTGAAAAGCTTGGAGACCATGGTCTATTTTTAAGTTGTATTTCATTTTTGTACTAGAAATGCAGTCCTCTGAATAAACGTTAAGTTCCCGTTAAGTATTCAGTCATGTTTCTCAAATAAAAGTAGATTTGATTGCAATATTGTACTAATGAAAATAAATAAATAGTGTTTCTTCATGGTTTGCTTTCCATGGGTTAAGGTAATTCTACAATTGTAGATATTTGAATAACAATCACAGTGCAGTTGATAGTAAAAGTGGTTGTTCAGTTACACTTGTTTCAGTGTTCAGCATCTGGTTTTGATGAAGATCCTGCGCTGTATAATTCTAAACCCACTAACATGAGGTACAGAGGAACAAGGGAATGAAACCGATTTTCTGAAAATGAACAATTTAATAGTACTGCTAAATTCTGCATACTGTAGATATCTTCATTCAATGTGCTCAATGTTCCCGTCAAAATCTCAGTTGGTCATGAACAAAAATGTACAAACACCAATTGTATATAAACATACAAATAGTACTAAGGAAGAAAATGATTTCTCTAACAGGAAAGATTGCTCACAGCTTTCACTATAAAATGTGCATGGGTATTTTCTAAACCGGAAGATGTAGTAAGGCAAATATAGGCATAGCTACAACATACATCCCGGTCAGCAAAGTGAGAATAAAAATAATATTTTTAAGGCTACAATACCCTAGCTGCTGACAAAGCATTATGTAATACGATAACCTTGAAGTCATTATTTTGGCCAATCTTACTGCACCTTAAAATGTCCAACAAAAGGTTTGTAGTTCATAGGATTTCTTTGGACAGAGCTAAATCTGTCTACTGCGTTACTGTGCATGATGGCCTGCACACGGCTCATAAAAACCCTATCCCATGATCATTCCAACTCCTGAAGGAGATTTCTGTGGTCACAAGTATTTATGCAGAAGAAAAAATATGACAAAATCTTGATCTTTGACACAGTAATATCCCTTCAGATATCCTTGAAAATAATGTTTTGTTCATTGTATCTGATTCTGATTCTTGACATAATCTCATGTATCTGATGCTCCTTGTTAATCCTATTCCCATGGTAGTGGTTCCAGGTAGTTGGATGGCACCAGACCTCTCAGCCCATGAAGGTCCCCCTGGATGGAGATTAGACATTGGCAAAGCAGTAGTCATTTAGATATACAAGCAATGGAAAACAAGGTTCAATTTCCCCAAAGACTACTTAATGCAGTCCAGCACTCACATAATAGAATCCATCTTCATCCATCTCACCAAACACATATATTATGTCCCCTGCACGGAAGGCGAGCTCAGCCTACAAGAAAATGATTGGGGGAAAAGTTACTGTTAATTTGGTGTAGCTGTAATATGCACATTAAGGCCCTATAACTGGGATTACCTCAGAATTGGAGTTCACTAAATTCAAAAAAACAAAATAAGAAAGTTAAAGTGAATTTGGTTCCACACTCACGTCGCTGTCCATGTTGGGGGAACTTTCCCAAGGGTCATACTCAAAGATGGCCACCATCCTGCGGACGACCAAGTCATCTAGCACGCTGGACTCCTCACTGGGATCTGATGGGAAACACAGAGGTCAAGAGTTGAAGGATTACATCATAGTCTAGGACTGCATCCCAAATGGCACCCTATTCCCTATATAGTGTACTACTTTTCACCAGGGCCCTGGTCAAAAGTAGTACACTACAGTATATAGGGAATAGGTTGCCTTTGGGACGCACACCAGATCTCAATTGTCATCATTATGAAATCTCAGATTATTTTTTATATAAATTATTTCAGAGAGAGAGTGAGAAAGAGAGTGTGAGCGAGAGTGAGAGAAAGAGATACCTGTACAGGTGAGGTCGACCGGCAGGAAACCCTGCTGCATGAGCTGATGCTTGAGGTAGTCATCATCCACTGGGATCTCAGATACCATGTTACTAGGCACGACACCAGACAGACCACCAGACTCCCCGTGGTAGAAACCATCATCGTCTTTATCTCCAAACACCTTGCAGAGACAGAGACAGCAGTCAGCCATTTTGTTTTCATGAGATTTGTTTGGTAATGATACAGCTCTACTGTGCATGTGTAAAGAAAGGAACATGATTGGAAAGTTATCGGTTCAACATCAACCAGTTGCAAATGATGACAGGAAATGAGGAAACCACAGCTTTTGCACATCAAGTAGGCCTACGCATTAACAGAGAACAAACAGGAAACACCAGCATCTAGAAAATCCAATATACTGTATAACTGATTATAATCTGCTTACCTCATATTAACCCAGCCATATTCAAACTTGGTTTGATCATATCTACCCCTTTAAAATGGGAGGTAACTCTTTACATAAGGTATACTAAAGAGGAGTATTTAAAAAGGAGTTTATAAGTTGTTTATAAACTGTCAATCATTAGTTTATAGACAGTTTAAACACCTGGTATAAACATGTATAACACAACGGTTGATATTCTACAGTACAGATAAACTAGTCAGTACCCTACCTTGATGATCTGCCCTGGCACAAAAGGGAGCTCCTCCGCAGCGGTCTCAGGGTTTGGGGACATTGCAGCAGGGTTGTATGGGAAAAGAGCCACAAAGAGTCGGACGGGTGGTTCCTGAGACACCTGGCTGGACACCTGGCTGGCGGTCTCCAGCTCCCATTGCCTAATATCCTCTGGTGTAGCAATTCTCAGTCCGTCAGGGTACAGAAACACATCCACTCCTAGCATCCCCTCCATTAGCCCTTATGTGAGTGAGAGCAACCCTGATGACCGTTAAGGGCCAGAATGTGTTGCTTTTAACAATAAAGAAACATTTCTATCAACTTCCACTGTCCTCCAAGAGTTGCTGAATTCCCTCTTCACTTCAGTGAGAGCCCCCCCTCTCAGCTCTACACTGAGCAGACAGATGGCTGCTGGAGACAACAGGGCTCTCCTTACCCTCACCCCTTATGAAGCTAAGCTACCGGAGGCTGTAATCCTCTTTGAGGAAAGTGGATAACATTCTCATCCCAACCCTCTCTACCTGAGGGACACAGTCTGTCTGTAGAAGTGTAGCTGGTAGAGCACGGCGCTTGTAACGCCAGGGTAGTGGGTTCGATCCCTGGAACCACCCATACACAAAAATGTATGCACGCATGACTGTAAGTCGCTTTGGATAAAAGCGTCTGCTAAATGGCATATTATTATTATTATTATAATTATTATAAGTGTAGCAGCAAGTGAAGAATGCTCAACTTTGCATGCGCTAAAGATGTGCATTGTTGGGGGAAGTTTAAATGAAAGATGATAGTGTACAGTCGTGGTCAAAAGTTTTGAGAATGACACAAGTATTGGTCTTCACAAAGTTTGCTGCTTCAGTGTTTTTAGATATTTTTGTCAGATTTTACTATGGTATACTGAAGTATAATTACAAGCATTCCATAAGTGTTAAAGGCTTTTATTGACAATTACATTCTGTTTATGCAAAGAGTCAATATTTGCAGTGTTGACCCTTCTTTTTCAAGACCTCTGCAATCCGCCCTGGCATGCTGTCAATTAACTTCTGGGCCACATCCTGACTGATGGCAGCCCATTCTTGCATAATCAATGCTTGGAGTTTGTCAGAATTTGTGGGTTTTTATTTGTCCACCCGCCTCTTGAGGATTGACCACAAATTCTCAATGGGATTAAGGTCTGGGGAGTTTCCTGGCCATGGACCCAAAATGTCGATGTTTTGTTCCCCGAGCCACTTAGTTATCACTTTTGCCTTATGGCAAGGTGCTCCATCATGCTGGAAAAGGCATTGTTCGTCGCCAAAATGTTATTGGATGGTTGGGAGAAGTTACTCTCTGAGGATGTTTTGGTATCATTCTTTATTCATGGCTGTGTTCTTAGGCAAAATTGTGAGTGAGCCCACTCCCTTGGCAAAAGCACTCAATCAATGGTCTCAGAGTCTCTGCATTTGAACTTTGTGTTTATTGTGGTATAGCGTGATATAAACAGAATTCAATATAATTCCAATGCAAGAACCCTGACAGCATGTTCCAGTTCCTGCAAATATCCAGCAACTTTGCACAGCCATTGAAGAGGAGTGGGACAACATTCCACAGGCCACAATCAACAGCCCAATCAACTCTATGCAAAGGAGATGTCTCGCGCTGCATGAGGCAAATGGTGGTCACACCAGATACTGACTGGTTTTCTGATCCATGCCCCTACCTTTTTTTAAGGTATCTGTGACCAACATATGCATATCTGTATTCCCAGTCATTTGAAATCCATAGATTAGGGCCTAATGAATTTATTTCAATTGACTGATGTCTTTATATGAACTGTAACTCAAAAGTGAGTGAGAGGGGAGGAGAGAGAGAAAGAAAGGGGGGAGAGAGGGGCGTGAGAGTGTGAGAGGGAAAGAGAGAAGGAGAGATGGCAGTATTCTTTCTCCATAAGAGAAAGAAAGAAAGAAAGAAAGAAAGAAAGAAAGAAAGAAAGAAAGAAAGAAAGAAAGAAAGAAAGAAAGAAAGAAAGAGAGGCAGGGAGAAGAAAGAAGGGAAGCGTTGGTGCCTTTGCAGCCGTCCTACATTGAATCATCTGACGTTTGTGATACCTTAATCAGCTTGGAACATCTTTACTAATTAGCTGATCTGTCCCTCCAACTGGAGCCAGGTGTGAACCAAGTGTACTGATTCTGCAGAATGCATGTTCGCCATTGTCCCCAATACAACAATACACGTAGGACTCCTATCCAGCTAATATTGAGACTTGTGGGACTGACAAAAGCATACTACCTGCACCTATAGTACTCTTAAAATACATAAAAAAAAGTCAAAATACATTAAGTTTAGGGGTGAATCCTAAACTTCCACTTCGATAGAAATTTCACTAAATCATGCATTAACGTCAATGGGAAGTTAGGATTCACCACTTAGTGATTCGCAAATGCAAGGAGTTAGCACTGGCCGTGATGATTCATCCATCCTTTGCACTGAGTCATGACATTATACCATGCTGTACCAGCAGAGGGGGTTCTGACTGACTCATTGTATTGGTGCTACTGGACTAAATGTACAGAACGCAGGAGGTCCCTTCTCCATCACTCCATCTCCCTGCAGAAACGTATGCACTGACATTGTGTGCAATATAGTGCACTACTTGGTCAACAGTAGTGCACTATATAGGGAATAGGGTTCCATTTGGGACTGCCCACACCCATTGAATATGAATAAGGATACCTGGCATTTGAAAAATGTTTGGCAAGACTTCCAGTTGGGTTGCAAGGATGGTATCTGATTTTATCAGAGGAAACAGGTAGCGCAATCAAGTTGTAACACTAGTATATGACAAACAGTTGTATTAAGCTTATCTTGCCAGGAGAGGTCAGCCTTTGCATTGGTAACAGTGAGTGGTTAGTTCAGTGACAGGTGTCAGGTAGAGGTAGTGGTAGGTTTAGGGTTGAGCCAGAGTGTGTGGACATTAAGTTAAGGATAGGGTTATGGGTTAGGGTAAGGGTTAGGTTTAGAATCACTAAGGATACCTATTGGACTAAATGTCCCACATTGATTGCCTAGTGGGAATGAAACAGGAAATCTGATTCGCTCTCATTCCAGATAAGCAGGACCTCTGGATTCCCATGTAAGGACTGTTACATCAGTAGCAAGACACCCACCTTTCTGAGTGATGACGCAGCCGGGGGAAAGTGTGAGGAACGAGAAAGGGTGTCCTGTCGGCACTAGCACAGACTGCACCGAACAGCTGCAGCCTAGGTTCGCATAGAATTTCACAGCATTGCGAGTAGTACACATATCATTTTATCCCAAAACCTATAGAATAACGTTCACACTAACCAAATATTAAAATGGTTGATCGCGAGCAGCTGGTGCAGAAAGCCAGGCTGGCTGAACAGGCTGAAAGATATGATGATATGGCAGCTGCCATGAAATCGGTAAGTCTCTCCTCCAAAACCATTGAATGTGAATAGCCTATGAATGAGGTCTATGATATGGTGTTCAATGAAACATTGAATTATCTACAATGTAATTCTAATAAATATGAATTATCTCTATTTAGATATTTGATTCCATTCCTAGAGATTTTTGATGGATGCGGTGTGTATAGAAATTAAACAATTTGATATTAGATTCAGTAAAGGTTTTGCCAGCAATCCTAGACATCACTACACTGCATTGCAATACTAGCCTACACCAATACTAGCCTACACCATTCAGAATATCAAGTCTGTTTCATAGGGCTCAATCACTGTTTAGTTATAACGAATAGAATAGCCTACATGTGGAGCTCAAACATTCAAGAAAGGCAATCAATGTATGCTATTGAATGCTCCTTGGACGGTGCTTGGGCGGTGCCTGTCTCGTGTCTTTAAAATAAATGCAGTGGAGTAATACTACCACGAAATGTATTGAGGCACCGAAGAACATTGATTTCTCTGTCAAACGTGTCCCTCACATTATACAATTTGATATATGTTCTATGCCACTGGGCACAGACGTCAATTCAACGTCTATTCCACGTTGGTTCAACGTTATTTAATTGAAATTACGTAGAAACAACGTTGATTCATCCCAGTGAGAATTAATACCCCATGTGATTTGTTAAATTCAGATAATTTAGAATTGGTCTTTAGGATAGTGCCATGTGAGGTTGCTCGAATATTGATTGATTCTTCCTGTAATATCTATATTTAATTAAATAATAGCCTAGTAATAATAGTATTTATTTATTTATTTATTATATTTGTGAGTTAATAAAAAAAATACTATATATATATATTATATGTCTGTTAATATAGGCTACAGATGTTCTCTGGATGAGCATCTATTCCTGCATAAATGTTTATTCAGTTTCCAGCTCTTTACACAAAACAAATGTAGGAGGCAGCATAATTCTCTCTAGAATGTTCTGTATGTTGTCATATTGCAGTGAGTCAATGTTCAGATTGGATATTGGTCCTTTTGTTTTCAGTCGTTGAGTTACATTAAGTTACTTGATCACATTATCATTCTACATTGCACCTGTATGTCGCATTGTGTGTCACAGTCAACGTGTGCAGTAGCCTCTAGACATACTGGATATGGATGGGGTGATGCTGTGTGTTCTTTAAAGCAATTTAATGAAATTGAGATTATTGTTTGGTTTATTGATACAGGTCTTACATTATGAGAAAAATGCGTTGTCATTAGGCCCTAAACCTATATGCCCAGTCTCCTCCAATCATTATGTAGCCTAGCCTAGTGCTTTAGAAGTAAAACTGTACTCAACAACTGTTTTTTCTCACTGTAATGAAATGACATCTTAACCATTATTATTACTACCTAGTAATACTTTCTGTCTCATCGTCTGCATAATTTAGATCTATTTCCCCTGCAGATTTCTGGTTGCAAGCAACGGCATTTTAGTGATGTGTGCATGTGGGATTCCTTTCCCTTTAAGCAATTTGCTGTGTCAGTGCATGCAGTCAGAACTGGGCCGTTTTGCAGTGTAGGGGTGTGTACTCATTCCCCTCTCCTATGGGAAATCCCTTGCCACTGCAGCCAGGGTTCACTTGATGGCAGGACAAAGCAACGAGAAGTATACTTTTATGTTCAGATCTCACCTTGACCAGTACAGTACAGTACTATATTATCCTGCATACATGTTTGCATTGGTTCCTTAATGCATCAACGCAATAAGATGCAATTATAAGCAGTGCTGCTTTGTCAGTGAATGCATTGAATGTAATTGAAGGCATTTGTTTTATTTTATTATGTAATGCATTTACAGTAGCATAATGTGTTCAGGATAGTCGTGACATATTTTTACCCGGCCCATCAATAATTGTTCAGGCTGGCAATTAGATATTCAGATCAGTATGGTAGGCTGCCTCTCTTTATTTATATTTACTGACATCAGCATTTTGGTACAATGATGATTAATTGACAATAAATGCATGTGATGGCTTTTCCAACATCACTTGTGGTCTTTTGCACTCTCTGGCCTTTATGTTTCTTACATATCCATCAAGATGGACTAACAATCAGATAGTAATTGAACATTTGCTTAGTAATGCCATGGCATTTGAGCTGTGAATTGTATGTTCTTGCATTTAAAGCTGGGAAGGAAAAACGCCTGCTTAGAAATATAATGTCATCCATGCACACAATGGCTGTGATGTCACCTTTCAGCCGCATTGTTTGTGCTCCTCTATCAGGCTGGGAGGGGAATGTCACATCAGCTCACCAGAAAGGAGCAATGTTAGCTTCTCAATGAGAGAGAGCACTTTGCTAGAATGGCCCACCCATTAAGCTGTATTTCCTCTGTAGCTGTATTTATACTGTAGCCTTGTGCTGTCTGCATCTTCCCTCTCTATAGTTTTAATCTAGATAATCTAATGATTTAGCAGATATTGATTTAGGTGGAGATAAAAACATGTGTTTTATCGATGTAAGGTTATCTGGAAGTGGACTGGAAGTGATAATGCATGGAGCGTCTTAGGTCTTTTCAGTTGCTCTTAATGTGATATTCAACACAAATAGGGGGGTCATTCCACGAAATTAGTGTATTTTTTAAATCCCTTTGATATTTGAAGTAGAAATTATGCACCAATATTGCATTTTAAAAGCCTGTTATATTAAATTAAGTGCCCTTTAATATAGACCACATGGATAATTCAATAAATCAGATTTTTAATATGAAGTCTGCATTTTGACATGTCCCTCCGTGCACCCTCTGTGACTTCCAGGAAGACTTTAACCCACTTAACCTCAGAATTTCACCATCATTCTAAAGCCCTAGTTATTTTGTTGTTTTGAAAAAGTCTTTCTGAATATTATTATTTATTTAATGTGATTAGTGATTTATTTGAAGGTAAAAAAAAAATATTTAAAAAACCTGTCCCTGAACTGAACTCTATGGTAAAACTATTCCTTTTGAAATATACAGTTGAAGTCGGAAGTTTACATACACCTTAGCCAAATACATTTAAACTCAGTTTTTCAAAATTCCTGACATTTAATCCTAATAAAAAGTCCCTGTCTTAGGTCAGTTAGGATCACCACTTTATTTTAAGAATGTGAAATGTCAGAATAATAGTAGAGATAATTATTTATTTAAGCTTTTATTTATTTAATCACATTCCCAGTGGGTCAGAAGTTTACATACACTACATACACTCAATTTGTATTTGGTAGCATTGCCTTTAAATTGTTTAACTTGGGTCAAACATTTTGGGTAGCCTTCCACAAGCTTCCCACAATAAGTTGGGTGAATTTTGGCCCATTCCTCCTGACAGAGCTGGTGTAACTGAGTCAGGTTTGTAGGCCTCCTTGCTCCCACACACCTTTTCAGTTCTGCCCACACATTTTCTATAGGATTGAGGTCAGGGCTTTGTGATGGCTACTCCAATACCTTGACTTTGTTGTCCTTAAGCCATTTTGCCACAACTTTGGAAGTATGCTTGGGGTCATTGTCCATTTGGAAGACCAATTTACGACCAAGCTTTAACTTCCTGACTGATGTCTTGAGATGTTGCTTCAATATATCCACATAATTTTCCTTCCTCATGATGCCATCTATTTTGTGAAGTGCACCAGTCCCTCCTGCAGCAAAGCACCCCCACAGCATGATGCTGCCACCCCTGTGCTTCACGGTTGGGATGGTGTTCTTCGGCTCGCAAGCGTCCCCCTTTTTCCTCCTAACATAACAATGGTAATTATGGCCAAACAGTTCTATTTTTGTTTCATCAGACCAGAGGACATTTCTCAAAAAAGTACGATCTTTGTCCCCATGTGCAGTTGCAAACCGTAGTCTGGCTTTTTAATGGCGGTTTTGGAGCAGTGGCTTCTTCCTTGCTGAGCGGCCTTTCAGGTTATGTCGATATAGGACTCGTTTTACTGTGGATATAGATACTTTTGTACCTGTTTCCTCCAGCATCTTCACAAGGTCCTTTGCTGTTGTTCTGGGATTGATTTGCACTTTTCGCACCAAAGTACGTTCATCTCTAGGAGACAGAGCGCGTCTCCTTCCTGAGCGGTATGACGGCTGCGTGGTCCCATGGTGTTTATACTTGCGTACTATTGTTTGTACAGATGAACGTGGTACCTTCAGGCATTTGGAAATTGCTCCCAAGCATGAACCAGACTTGTGGAGGTCTACAATTTATTTTATGAGGTCTTGGCTGATTTCTTTTGATTTCCCCATGATGTCAAGCAAAGAGGCACTGAGTTTGAAGGTAGGTCTTGAAATACATCCACAGGTACACCTCCAATTGACTCAAATGATGTCAATTAGCCTATCAGAAGCTTCTAAAGCCATGACATAATTTTCTGGAATTTTCCAAGCTGTTTAAAGGCACAGTCAACTTAGTGTATGTAAACTTCTGACCCACTGGAATTGTGATACAGTGAATTATAAGTGAAATAATCTGTCTGTAAACAATTGTTGGAAAAATTACTTGTGTCATGCACAAAGTAGATGTCCTAACCGACTTGCCAAAACTATAGTTAGCTAAAAAGAAATTTGTGTAGTGGTTGAAAAACGAGTTTTAATGACTTCAACCTAAGTGTATGTAAACTTCCGACTTCAACTGTATATATTTCAAAATAAATTTGATTCGTAGACAACAGGTGTAGACTAACAGTGAAATGCTTACTTACGGGTCCTTTTCCAACAATGCAGAATTAAAGAGAAGATACAAAATAAAATAAACATCGACCATCTAATAGTCAAATCATAGTGTAAAAGCAGGTGAGCTGGTTCTACTCTTCTTTTGCCATTTTCTGGTGTTTTGTGATGGGAAACTGAGCGGGTTGAGCATAACACGTCAACCCTGTTACCCATAGATAGACAGGCTAGAAATGTTTTAACAATAAAAAAACAAAAATATGCTTGCATTCAATTGCCCCTTCCTGTTGAACACAATAAGCTTCCATTCCCCCTGTCACAAGGGGATTTATGGCTGATTTAAGATTACGTCAACCGTGTTACAGTCAACCCTGTTACTTTATTTAACTGCTTGAGATGGGAAAACATGTTTTTTATTAAGTTAAACATGTGCTCTTTATGACAGAATCTTTGTGAAATCAAAATATTTTTTTCGACCAAGTTACAGAATTCTTTCCACCAAGTTACTGTATATGACATTTGTTTGTGGGTTAAACTGTTGAAAATATTTTTGGTTACTTATTGTAATTTGCTACCCAATGTCTTTCAGTCAGAGCCACTAAATACCTTGTAGGTTAGTGGAACGAGGTGTAGCATTTAGACCAAGTCAGGATTTACAATGTTAAAAGTTCAAAGGTTACTGATCAGTTGTGCTTTTTACAGTACACTATTTGACATTCACGGGATTAACACATTACCTCCTACATTGTACGTATAGAGTCAAGTAGTAGGTGAAAAGCATGTCCAGGGTGACAGCATTACATGGGGTTTCAGACAGGTGAAAAGGTCAGTTTAAAGCAGAGGAGAAGGTCAGGGAGACACGTGAACTGCCTGTGCGATGATCGACTGACCGTCTACACTTACACTGCAGCTGCCCCAGGATTCCTCGTGGGAACATAGCTACCTCCAACCCTCTGCCCCCTCTCCAGTCCCAACACCCACTCTCTCTCACTATCTTGAATATGGTTCTCCACTTGCTAGCATTAACTGTACACAAGCAGCTGGAGCTACTGGTGCTCTAAATGAGCTGATTGCCATGGAAACTGGGAATTGCACATGACGAATTGAATCTTGCTCATTCCCAAGAACAACATACTGTACAGTAAATGCTCTGATATGATTTCATGTAAAACCACACCTTCTGTACGTGATATTGTTGAAAAATAACTGTTTACATTCATGAATGCATAAAAAAGGGGTTTATTGGCTGTCTTATACAGCTTCCTAAATCACCGCCCAGGATATTGCATTTATGACCACTGCTCTGTCCCCTCCTCAGGTAACAGAGCTGAATGAGGCCCTATCTAACGAGGAGAGGAACCTCCTGTCTGTGGCCTATAAGAATGTGGTGGGGGCTCGCCGTTCCTCTTGGAGGGTGATCTCTAGCATCGAGCAGAAGACCTCTGCAGATGGAAATGAGAAAAAGATTGAAATGGTTCGGGCCTACAGGGAGAAGATTGAGAAGGAGCTGGAGGCTGTGTGTCAGGACGTGCTCAACCTGCTGGATAACTACCTGATCAAGAACTGCAACGAGACGCAGCACGAGAGCAAGGTGTTTTACCTGAAGATGAAGGGCGACTACTACCGCTACCTGGCCGAGGTGGCCACGGGCGAGAAGAGGGCCACCGTCATCGAGTCATCAGAGAAGGCTTACAACGAGGCCCATGAGATCAGCAAAGAGCACATGCAGCCCACCCACCCCATCCGCCTCGGCTTGGCTCTCAACTACTCTGTTTTTTACTACGAGATCCAGAATGCCCCTGAGCAGGCCTGTCATCTGGCCAAGACCGCCTTCGATGACGCTATTGCTGAGCTCGACACCCTGAACGAGGACTCCTACAAAGACTCAACTCTCATCATGCAGCTGCTCCGAGACAACTTAACACTGTGGACAAGTGACCAGCAGGATGACGAGGGAGGGGAGGGCAATAAAGATTAATAAACCACACTTAGAAAAAAAATATTATGAACGGCCGGTGGGCTTTGGCAGCCGCTTTTGCCGATGATCGTACCGCAGCAGCAATTCTTTATTTTTCCATGTGTTAAAAGAAAAGAATCAAAAGAAAGGTGAGAGGGGAGGTTATATCTTAGTTTCATATATATATAAATATATATACATGGTTGAAAGGGCCGACATCTTCTTGATTTTCTCTTTGACATTTGCCAAAACCACTGAAATGTCAGTCAATCAGCCTGAAGTGGCCGTTGTTGGATTGGTTTGGCAACCTCACACTGGCATAGGGACTGGTGTCGTTGTACCAAGGGAAGCTGCTTAGTTAGGTTTATGCATGATAGAGATGCAGACACTTGAGGAAGGGAAAAAAAACACTTGAGTGAGAGTGCCTCACAAAAATAGCTTGCAATGGTTCCAGGACTAGCTTAAAGGGCAACTCCGCCACTTTTCAACCTCATATTCATTATCTCCAGCACCAAACCAGTGTCTACATATGTGAAAACAGCGCGTTTCTATGATCTGTGGTCATACTACTAAAGGTCCTACAAAATGCTTCTCTGTGACATCACAGGGTAGTTTTAAAAGTAAGAAAAACTGATTTTCAAAACCTGCAACGAGTTTCTAGCAGGAGGGAGGGTATTTTCTTGCTCCCCACGTCACCGCAAATCTCATAGTGTTTGAAAATCACTGTTTTAAAATGTTTGAACTTTTGTAGACATTGGTTTGGTGCTGGAGATAATTAATATGAGGTTGAAAAGTTGCAGAGTTGCCCTTTATGATATATAATATCACTCACTCTTGAAGGGAGTGCAGGAAAGCCAAGAAAACACAAATAGTATTAATCTCACCAAATCGACTAGGAAAAGTAAAATGCAGATGTTTTGTTAAAATGTTGGATGTTTATTGTAAAGTTAATGCCAATCATGGCAATGAGGTAAGGAGAAAATACTGTTATCAATTTCCTCTTTCACACGACTTCTAGTTTTAGGGATATTCGGCGTTAAATCAAATTTGACTGTCCTCTGACTGCTCTAAATATGATACTGGAACCATAGACTCTATTGGAGGTTAAGCTATCTAAAGGCAGAGACTCTATTGGAGGTTAAGCTATCTAAAGGCAGAGACTCTATTGGAGGTTAAGCTATCTAAAGGCAGAGACTCTATTGGAGGTTAAGCTATCTAAAGGCAGAGACTCTATTGGAGGTTAAGCTATCTAAAGGCAGAGACTCTATTGGAGGTTAAGCTATCTAAAGGCAGAGACTCTATTGGAGGTTAAGCTATCTAAAGGCAGAGACTCTATTGGAGGTTAAGCTATCTAAAGGCAGAGACTTTGTTTAAAACAGAGAAATTATCTTAAAGCAGCTTCAGAGTTTGTGGTTTACTTCTGTGTTTGTTTTATTAAATGCACTTGCCTACTATACTGTTTCTTCAGTGTAAGATGATTACTACAATAATATCGATTATTCAATATTGTGCATGCTTGTGATGTATTGAAACATACAGTAGCTTGACTTTATTAACTTATACTGTGGGTGTTAAGTATTCATATGATTGAGAAAACATAGGCTTTGTCTGATTATTTCTTATTTATAACTTATTCTTATTTTGTTTATATTTGCTATACCAAAATGGTAATCGTAAAAAAAAAATGTTAACGTTATGAGCATTGCTATAGTGGCATGCAATATGTATATTTAATTTGTTAATGGAAGAAAAAATTTGGGGAAATACACACCAGTGATTGCTAAATCTTACCTGCTGGTGTTTGTCATGTTAAATTATAATAATGGCTTTGTCACATTAAATTATAATAATGGCATTGTAAAACAAATACTTTGTTCTTTGAACTATATTTGAGTACTTCTTTTGTCATGTTATTAACCAGTTTGAACAATGGTGAAGTTTTCAGAATCAGTGTTTCTGTTATGAATTCACAACATGGACCACAATTTATTTCTGACAGTATAATTTTTTTTGTTTGTTTTTGTACCTTTTAGCTGTTCCTGAGTGACAAATATCTTGAATGTGAGTTATTATGTAGGAGTTGCACAAGAAACGAGATAACTATGATAATAAAAAGATAATATGACAAAATGGTAAATGCACCATTTCCACGGTGGTCGAGTGTATTGTTGTGATGTCACTAATAAGTCAACTTTTGCTTTTTAAAGAAAAGTTTTTAAGATAGAATGTTGTAACCTCTTGTTGTGTGCTGCTAATATTCTATTATTGTGTGTGCCTCCTTTGCCACTTGAAATAGTTGATTCAGCGTCCTCCATAGGCATCCTCCATAACCATGTATGCAAAAAGAGAATCATAACTATAGTAAAAACCCACTTGTGCTTTTAGATCTACACAAACTTGTATGACATGTCTGCTCATGCAATATAATGCAAATGGTAGTCAAATAATAGCTGGCGATTAGGACTTCAGGTTGAAGTAAACAGGGAGAGTAATTTGTCATTGTTAACATCATTTACCACAGAGGGCTGAATGTCCCAACTGAATGATTCCCACGAGGACAAAATAATGGATCTAAATGATCTAGGACTTTAACAGCGTCCCAAATGCCACCCTATTCCCTATATAGTGCACTACCTTTGACCAGAGCCCTATGGGCCTTGGTCAAAAGTAATGCACTATAGGTAATAGGGTGGCATTTGGGACGCCACTCTGCCATTTGGGACGCCACTCTGCCATTTGGGACGCCACTCTGCCATTTGGGACGCCACTCTGCCATTTGGGACGCCACTCTGCCACTTGGGACGCCACTCTGCCACTTGGGACGCCACTCTGCCACTTGGGACGCCACTCTGCCACTTGGGACGCCACTCTGCCATTTGGGACGCCACTCTGCCATTTGGGACGCCACTCTACCATTTGGGACGCCACTTTAACCCACTCTGTACATCTCACATCCTCTGAGCTAACCATGTATGCAAATATATATTGCTGAGGATGTTGTTCTCCATCTTGCTGCAATGCTTTCTAGATTTTATTAGATGTATTATCTTGATCGTAATGGGCTAAAACTTAGCAAATTGTATTTTGGGGTCTCAGATATTATCACTTGCCCTGGCAAATCTTGAGGTGTGTCAGATTTAGATATGTATATTCTTAAGCATAGGGCGTTACTTTTTGCCATTCATCTAGTGCCATCACCAGAGAGACACTGTTATACGTTACATTTTTGCCATGCTAATCTAAGAGCAGTTAACACATGTCATTTAGTAAGTACAGTTAACACATGTAATTAAACCTGGTCCTTCATTAATATACATAGTCCCTTCTGAAACACAAGGCCACTGTATGTTACTTTTTCCATCTGTATGTCAACGTAGGTAGCGAGAGTGAACGATTCAGATGACTTTGCATCTGAAATAAACTTTAAACTCTTTTATCATTTGTTTTGTTTTGTTTTTTGGACACATATCAGAAGGGATGGTTCATTCATTAAGAACAGTTCATTCATTGTTTTGATATACAGTAATGCTTGATTTTATTTTGTTTTTTTGGGCTGTTTTGTTTGTGTTTATTTATTTAATTTTCAATTTGTTTGACACAGATCCTTGTGTCTGTGAGTCTATGTAGAACACTACTGTAACATGTATGCTCTCTTTGCTCTGAAATGGAATTCAACTTAAATTGAATCAAGTAAAGGGTTGGCACCATGGTTATACAACATAAAAAATTTAGACTGAAGGCGCATAATCTTATCAACAAATCGATTACCATTAAAATTTAGGATAAAAATGGGTTTAATGAATCACGTACAGTATGTTTTTAGGACATTTTGTTGCCATCTGTTGCTCATTCAAGCTATTTGTTTGTTAGTATATACAGTAGATGATTTATTACAGTATATATCTATTATTGTCATTCTGAACTACCAGCTCATTCACTATACTTCATCCTATAAACTCAATGCTACAATGTTTCCTGTCCTCTCCAGTATTTTACTCAGTGCTACAATGTTTCCAGTATTTTACTCATAGACATTTAAAAAAGGAAGAGTGTAGTGCACCATAGACATTTAAAAAATGAGTGTAGTGCACCATTGGACAGTGTGACAAAGAAAGCCATTTGGGACACTGTGCTCTCATTTGAAACACTCATGTGCTGTTCATGTGCTGGGTCAGAGATGCTGGGTCAGAGGTCATAGTTCAAACATGTTGTAGGTATCTGTGGAAACTGTGTATACAGTGGGGAAAAAAAGAATTTAGTCAGCCACCAATTGTGCAAGTTCTCCCACTTAAAAAGATGAGAGAGGCCTGTAATTTTCATCATAGGTACACGTCAACTATGACAGACAAAATGAGAAAAAAATTCCAGAAAATCACATTGTAGGATTTTTAATGAATTTATTTGCAAATTATGGTGGAAAATTAGTATTTGGTCAATAACAAAAGTTTCTCAATACTTTGTTATATACCCTTTGTTGGCAATGACACAGGTCAAACGTTTTCTGTAAGTCTTCACAAGGTTTTCACACACTGTTGCTGGTATTTTGGCCCATTCCTCCATGCAGATCTCATCTAGAGCAGTGATGTTTTGGGGCTGTCGCTGGGCAACACGGACTTTCAACTCCCTCCAAAGATTTTCTATGGGGTTGAGATCTGGAGACTGGCTAGGCCACTCCAGGACCTTGAAATGCTTCTTACGAAGCCACTCCTTCGTTGCCCGGGCGGTGTGTTTGGGATCACTGTCATGCTGAAAGACCCAGCCACGTTTCACCTTCAATGCCCTTGCTGATGGAAGGAGGTTTTCACTCAAAATCTCATGATACATGGCCCCATTCATTCTTTCCTTTACACGGATCAGTCGTCCTGGTCACTTTGCAGAAAAACAGCCCCAAAGCATGATGTTTCCACCCCCATGCTTCGCAGTAGGTATGGTGTTCTTTGGATGCAACTCAGCATTCTTTGTCCTCCAAACACGACGAGTTGAGTTTTTACCAAAAAGTTATATTTTGGTTTCATCTGACC